CCAACAGCAGATATATCACACCACAACAGTAGACATGTCACACCCCAACAGCAGATATATCACACCGCAACAGTAGACATGTCACACCCCAACAGTAGATGTATCACATCCCAACAGTAGACATGTCACACCCCAACAGCAGGTCCTATAGATATCGCAACCCTTCAGCCTCGATTCCATGATAGACACAGTAAATTTGGGAAATATTTAGTTAGTGAGTGAGTGAGTGAGTTAGTTAGTTAGTTAGTTAGTTAGTTAGTTAGTTAGTTAGTTAGTTAGTTAGTTAGTTAGTTAGTTGAGTTATTATTATTGCACTCCGGACATGTCCATAGGTACTCAGATCCTCCCCTCTGTATGAAGCCCAACGTCCGATGGCTAATTGTACTAGTCCTATGTTGATTAACAAGTCTTCTGGTGTGTCTGGTGTTGTCTTTTTTGTTGTTGTTGCTATGCCGATCTTAATTCCCAAGTCTGCCATTGTGGCGAGTGATATGGATTCACTGCTCCCAAAGTCCTCTATTCTTCCCATTTCTCTGAGGGAATTAATAATATCAGCATGATCCATAGGCTGACCGTCTGTAGTGATAGCGGATCCAGCCAACCTATCTTACTTCAGTTGCGTATCATTTACAGGACGTTGCAGAACCAACCCCAACAGCCCCTGGCTGTTGCGTGGTTTTTCTAGGCAAATTTACGTCCAGTAGTTTGCCATTGCTTTCTGGTCGGTCGGCTTTCTTGATACCACTGTCGAAACCAATGCAAGGCGCATGGCCCGCAGCTGGGATAGAACCCAGCATCCCGGCATTAACGAAGCGTTCGCATCGACTTAGCCACGAGCCGACAGCCAACCTATCAGCTTTCATTTCCATCTACGCCTGCGATTCCCGGAACAAAGATAAAGGTGACTCCACCCACAGTGACCTTCTGTAATGATTCAAGCCATTGTCTTCACACCGAACCTGCCTGAACCGTCCGGATCATACTCATTGAATTACTGAGTATACATACGCGGGTGTAGTTTTGTGTTTCAAGCCAGGTGAACGCTTGCGTCACTGCCATCACCTCCATCGTCATGCTGCTGGTTGTCATGGAGAAGGCACCGTTAGCTTCTTTGACTGTTCTGCCCGCTGAGCGTGCTGTGAATGACCATGCGCTTCTTTTTTTGGCGTATAACGGATCCGTCTGTGTAGATTAGTGCATCTGCTTCGTCTGAATTTTCACTGATGAGAGCGTTGACCTCTGCATTAACAGCAACAGATTCTCTTCTCTACATTGCCCGTTGAGTGTGGCAATACAGGAAAATGTACAAATAAACGCATGAGGCACAGGTATCCACTCTGCACCAGGGGTAATGTTGGTTAGGCTGCATATTTGCCTAATAACATCTTCTGCCCGACCTAGCCATGATTTCCCCCTCTTTAGCCTGTCACCCTTTTCACTAAAAAGCGCTTGATGCAGTGGGTGTTTCTTATCAGTGCATATTTTAAGGTATTCCCAAGCCCTCCACATCCTGATCCTTTGGTTCATAGTTGCAAAGTCAAGTAGATACCTCATTGCTTCACAGGATGTGTCTCTTGTACATCCTAAAATAATGCACATGGCTTCATTTTGCACCTTTTCGAGTCGTTCAGTCTGTGTAGCACTGACAGTGAGGATGATCAGAGCGTATTTAATGGGGAAAGGACCAGACCATAGAATAGAAGTATTAGTAGTCTTTGCTCAATATTGGAAGCAGCCATAATCCTCATTGCAGATAGATCTTTGCGTGCTATTGTTATCACATAGTCAACATGTTCCCTGAATGACAAGCTGCGATAAAACCTCACCCCTGGAAACGTCATAACGTTGATTCTGATTAACACATTATCACGCATTTTCACTTCTTGTAAGTCCGACTTGACAATGTGATTGTTCTAAAGAGAACCATGACACTGATGCCTTCGAAAGATTGACATAGGCATTGGAACTATCACATCAGGTGGCTATTCGATCGAGTTCTTTGTGCATTGTGCTGGCAATTTCATGTCTATCATTTGCTGATGACAAAGTCCTTCCCTTTCCATTCAACTGCTGCTCAGTGATTATCACCGTAATTTGGGAGATATGTGGCTTTTTTGCCTACCTCAGAATGTGAACTTGGACCACAAGCAGTTTGTCACCGACATGCAGTTGGTTTAACCAACTTAGCTAGCCCACTGGGCCCCTGCCATATCTAGATTACACAGTTAAAATTTGATAGAAGATATAATACAGAGACAAAGAAATGAAGCTCCATAATGAAAACATGTTTACTAAAACAATTAACGTCATGAAAAACAGAAATATCACAAGCAAACCCAAAAAATGCACTCACTGAAAAGGTGCTCAGTGCATTTGAATGATGAAACAATAAATAAAAAAAAGTTCCAAAAAAAAGTTAAAGTCAATACTAAGGAGACAGTGAATAACAGCAGCTGTTGTTGGGAGAAACATATAATTTAAAATAACTGAACTAACAAAATATAACACTGTCTCTGAATAATATTTACAGTTGAAATAAAATATATTATCCATTTATTCATTCATTTTTCAATTTTAGCAAACCAATTTCTATTGATAATGTTTATTCCCCTTAATATATGTTTACAAAAGTTGCGCCTTAAAATGAACCACATTGTTAGAAATATTGAAAGGATTGTCATAGAAATCAAAACTATCACAAAACATTTAAACACAACTCTGTGTATACAAATAAGATAATAAAATAAAATTGTGTAAAACGACAACTAGTACACACAAAATGCTTTTAAAAAGCTTAAGCATGGTTTAAAAAAAAATTTTTATATTAATTAATGTTTTAAAAAAAGCCTAAGCAGGATAAAAATTATATAAACTGATATTAAAATGTAAAACGATTAATTAAAGATTAATTAGATACTGCTTTTTTTTTAGGTCATGGGTTCGCTCCCTGGTGGAGCCGGAATTTTTTCCAAAATGACCTTGGCTCCCAGGTCAACCCAGCCATGAGTGGGTACGGGGTGCAGTCCAAGGAAAGTAAAGGCGGCCGGCATGATGCTGACCACACCCTCCATCTTTTGCCAATCAGTCTATAAAAATATAGGTCTAGCCCTATATGCCCTATATGCCTAAAGGTGTGGAAAAGGGTCGTTTACTTTTTTTTTACTTACTGCTTTTTTTTTTTTCAAACAATTTCTGCAGCAGAAATGTTTAGAGATTAATGCAGCTAATATTAAACAGCTGAATATTGTCAAATTTATGAACAATCTGAATACACTGCTGTCTCATATGTTAATTCTGATGTATTTGTGTTTCCTAAAACAGACAAGGCAGGATTTCCACGAATAAGCAGCAGACCAAACACAACTTCTGCACAATGGAAATAGTTCAGGCTGAAAACTACATGAATGCCTTTCTTGCCTAAAAACAGATAATGGCAGGTGAGAGGCAGAAATAAGAAAGAGAATGAGAAAGGCCAATGAAATATTCATCAATATAAAACAGCTTTTCACATCTGAAAGATAAATAAATTAAAACAAAGAGTACTCAAGTTTTAATTTACTCTACATTATTACAAAGTACAATGGACAAAAAATTAAAGATAGATTTGGAAATGTACCAGACTGAAAGAATATCATTGGCAGAGTAAGATAACAAACAGCATTATTCCAAAAACTGACCCAGGAAGATCAGGCTGAGATAATTAAGATTCTAAGGCCATATAAACAGAAACAGCTCCTAGTTAACAAATGAGATGGAGTGAAAAGTAGATCATGGAGGAAGTCTGCAGAAATGCATCACTAAGACTCATAATGGAGTGTGTTGAAGACCAAATTTAAAATACAGACAGCTTTCACTGTGGAGATGGCATATGATAACGATAAGTCAGGAAACTTCAACATTCAGTAAATTGCATGGCAAATGAAGACTGTTCAAAAAAATACCATCAGAATAGCTGGGATTAGATAGAAGATCATCAACATCAACATCATGTGCCTTGCCAGGTGGCATAGGGGTTCATGCATCTCCACAGATCTCTGTCTTTGTTCTGGATCGATTCCACTGATGATATATTCCTCCATGCCACTGTGTTAAGCCATCTATTATTATTTCTGTTGTGGATCAATTCCACTGATGATATTCTTTCATGCCACCATCTTAAGCCATCCACCATCATTTCTCTTAGTCTGCCTCTGCCTCTTCCACCAGTGATCTTTCCAGTCATCACAATATTTTCCAGTGCTCCTTTTCTCATCACATGACCAAAGAACTTTGTTTATCTCCTTCTCATTGTTGTATACAATGTTCTACTTTACTATAATTAGCCATGTTCATGCAATCATTGTTAGTTTTTCTGGCAGAGTAAAGTATTCACAACATTCTTCTCAAGAAGCACATCTCAGTGGCCTCCAAACTCTTCTCAGTTTTGTTTGCTCACATTCCAAGAGTTACTGCCATACAACAGAACATGCTCAATATAACGTTTCAGTAGTCGTTTTCTGATGCTTAATGAGAGTGATTTATTACATAAGATGCTTTTCATCTTCTGAAATGCTGCCTTTGCCTGACCAATTCTGCTCTTACTTTCTGTCACACATCGGCCATCTGATGTTATGAATGTCTCCCAATACTTAAACTTATTGACTTGGTTAAGCACTTTTCCTTCTATTACTAGGTCAAATTTTGGCTTTATTTTCTTTTTTGATATAACCAAAAAATGAAAGAGATATATCACGGGAAAATGCTGAGGCTATTGGATCCCTACCATAAGAAATACACACTCAGAAGCTGGTTGGGCTCACAGATAATTGATGAAAGAAGAAAAAGCAAGAAACAATAGACAATAGAAAAGTCAAAAGCTATAGGCACAGTGAGATTTGAACCTTTCTCCTAAAGTGCAGTTTGAATGAGAAAAGGAGTTCCAATCCAGCACTGTTTCCATAAATGCTTACTAGTTATTGACAATACTGAGTCATTTGCCCTACTAGTACCAACATATTCCATTAGTTGTGTGTCTTTGGTTTCACAAGGAACTCTCTGACAATGGGTGGTTCTGACACATCAACTGTTAGATCAACCTTTGTCATCACGGTTGGAACAGATGTACCACCTCCTCTAAGGCCCTCCAAGAACACTTGAGGCTTGGATATATTGCTGTAGTTGTCTTGTTTGGTCTGTGTGTCTTTCTCTCTGTGAAAATATGGAAAAGCATGTACCTATTAAATGACCAGTGAAATCCGGTTAAACATGCATATTAGCTAGGTTATCAATAATATCACAATAATTTGTGTTGGACTACTCAAATCTGGCTTTAAAACTTTGGTGAATATGTCATCCATTGTTTCTATGCATCTTGCTGATAATCACCTAACAACTTGCTTTGATAAATAAATGTATTGCTCTCAGTGTCAGCTTGGAAATCAAAAATAATTTACTAAATATTTACACTGTGATGCACAGATTATCCTCTGCAACTTACTTTGGTAGATACACTTGTGTTTCATTGTCTCTGCGCATGTTACTGCCGTTTGTCTGCATTGCATGAGTAACTTTAGTTCTCAGGTTTGCCTGTACATAATACACAGACAAGATTATGTGTGAGATGATTTTACATTGTGATGTATAGCAAGAATAGTAAAATGTTGTGTAACAAAAATGGTTACCAATTTTCAGAATTAATGTAACAAGAAAAGAAACTGGCTAAGCCGTTTCAGATTACCACTGAGCTAGAATATTTAAAGGTACCACTTCATACACTAATGGCAATATGTGCAATGGGAATACTTCTATACTGTTGCTACATACAAGCACATATTTAGCATACACTAAAACAAATTAAGAGAAATCACTGCTCTCCACTCAAGATCTATGTAGTTCATTAAACTAACTTCATGTATAACTGCTTTTCCTGTTTTTGTTTTGTTTTTGTTTTTAACTTTCTTACACTCAGTTCATCCATATATTTGCTGCTTTTAATCTTATATTATATTTCAAGAACCCAAATGCATTATTTTAGGACAGGTACAGAAATTTAAGGATCCAGGAGCCCGGCTCACTTGCGTAGTTGGCTAAACCGGACTGTGCTGTGACCAGGTGACGAACTCCTTGTGGTCCTGGTTCACGCCCGGGGTTAGGCAGAAAAGCCACATTTCTCCCAGATTTACTGTATTTATCACGGAATCAAGGCCGAAGGGTTGCGATATCCATAATATCGAGCCTAAAGGTTAACAACTCATGGCTTCTGGATACTACCAACAAAAAAAAAGTTTCCAGGAACACAAATAACATCTAATGGAAGATGCATCACAAAAATCAAGAACAGAATAGTACAGGCTAAAACTGTCCTTATAAAATGCTAAAGATTTTATGCAGTAAAACAAAGTCATTGAAGGTTAGATAAGCAATTCTCTCATGCTACATATAGTTCTTAACATATGGATGTGAATCCTTGACAATTAATAAACAAGCAAACAATTTCTGGAGACCTCAGAGATGTGTTTTACAGAAGAATACATAGGACAGCAAACACACACAAAAAAGAGCAGCCAAAGTGTTTTGAAAAAGGTGATGACTTGAAACATTACAAACATCAGAAAGAGACGGTCATCATTTTTTGGTCATGTTGCGAGAAGAAGGAAACTGGAACATGCTGTAAAAAGAGTCACAAGAAGACAATGTGAGATAGCCATCAACAGATGAACTGATAAATGCTGTTCAAGATCGCAGATTGTGAAGAGGCGTGATCACCCATACCAGTCGACAAGGCAGATGATGATAATGATGATAGGGTGGCATGGGAATCACAGCCCCCCCAGTGATGGCCAGTGTGACCAGCAAGAGCCGCTTATGTCCAAACATGCCTTCCACAGTTAAAAAGTAAAAGTAAAGATCCCTTTTTACGCCTTAGGAGCATTGGGCATATGGAAAGAGCACCCATATTTTTACAGACCATCGGCACTAGGTGGGTAGTGGGGTCAGCATTACGCCGGCAGCCTTTACCTCTCCAGGAATCAATCATGTAACCCATTTTAGGGTAGGTCAACCTGCGATGCCCCATACCATGATAAAAATCCATGCAGCCAGCAGTGGGTTTCTTTCGCAGTACGTTTGAATTCCACAGTTAGTCCATGGGATTTCTGGACCACTGTTGCCGTTGCATGTATTTAGCTCTTTCAGTCTCAAACAAACTCACCATGCATCTATTGGCATGCTATGCTTTTGTGAGCTCCTTGTGCTTCATGCTGCTGTAGCTTTAAACCATTCTATCCCAGCAAGTACTTCAGCTTCTGTTTTCCCATAGTGATATTTTGGGATCCCTTTTGTCCAAACATATACTATAAGCAACTATTGCTTAAGAAAAAGATGAGTTAAAGACAATAATGTTTGGGTCCTCAGGCATTAATGTGCTTCTTCTCAGTCACTCAGCTCTTATTGTCTCCTTTATTCCCATTGCCTTCCTGATTTTCCTTCTCCATGCAGTATGGTCCATGACATTTGAATGAAGTTCATCCTCACTGTAGTACAAAGCCTGGTCACTATTGTAGAGACCATGTGTTGCCCATGCATCATTATTCATCACTCAGCCTGCCTTGTTTACTCCAAAGGAAAGTTAACACCAAAATATTTTGTACAAAACATGCCACAAAAGCTGCATGATAAAAAGAAGCAGCGTTCTGTCTGTCCACCTGTAATGCTTCCCTCATATGCCAGTGCCAGCCAAGGCTGAAGGCCTGCCCTGCCTTGCCATAGCATTAGGTTTTCAGAATAGCATTTCCTCTTTCTAGGATAAGACTAGTATCCTCTCTCATGCGCTCCTCTGCCCAAAGCTGTTCATGTCAGGTTTAGTATATGCTTGTTTACCTGAGATATATTATACCTCTGTGTACATTTTTGATTAATGACATCAAGTCTAGTGAGACTCTTCATGAGCAATGGAACTAAAGTAGGCTCACTACTGAGATGCCACTAATATTATAGTTGGTTACTTTTTTCCTTTTTTTTAAAAATTTATCAAGTGTTTTTTTTTTTTTTTTTTTTTTTTTAAATTTACGATTATATACATGTACATTAAAAAAGTATGAAAAAAAGAAAACCATGAACAATGTCTCTTTACCAGTTTGATGGCTTTTCGTCTCAGCTCCCATTCATTCCATTCATATGTTTTGACAATATTTGGTTCTAGGATGTGTGTGTCTGTTTGTGAGGCACTGTCACACTTGGTTATTGGCTTTTCTATCAATTTACCAGACTCCTTACCCTAAAACAAAATAGTTGTTAACTGGCTTGCAGATGAACTTACATGGATATATAAAATAATCTATAAAACTTTCCAAATTAAAAAAATATGATTTCCTTCTAATGGTTATCAGATTATCTGTTGCAGTTCCAACTTCAGGGCCAATGGTTTAACCAAGAATTGCTCTGTATCTGTGCCAGTAAAACCACTCAAAATGCCCACAGTTACATGTGAAAATTTAGACTGCAGTCTTAGCAAAATCCAACAACTCGCAGATGCTTCCTTCTAATTAAAAGCAACTAAAATAATTTACAGATGCAACAAAAGTTGACAGGATTTCTTATATGCACATGTATTTGTTAGAACTGCTAAATAATTTATTATAAATAAGGCAGGAAACATACTTCTGCAGAGGATAGAAATATGAGAATGTGTAAAAATATGGATTCTATATAAACAAATAACTATATATGGAGAGAGGTCATCAGTTCTTTTCCTTAGGATCTAGCTTTGTTTAACCTGCAGAAAGGTCATGTTCTCTTTAGCACAGATAGCTTGATGAAACAGCTTTTTTTTTTTTAAATTATCTAGGAGAAACACATATTTAAGAAACTCCTAACCACAGATATTCATGACGGCTGGCAGGAGAGAAATCTCAAAAATTATTAGCCAAAAAAAATATATATATATATAACTTCGAGTTAAAAGGTTTACAAATGTAAAGTTACGTTCAAGATTTCTTTACAATACTAGAATTACCTAATGTAACATAATTGACTTCAATGTTCCCTATGTGGCTTCTGGGGCCTCGTTTTGGGGGAATAGTGAATGGACCTACTGCCCCCTAAAGAAAAAGCATGTCCACCAATTAGGACTAATTAGGAGTTTGCTGAAACTGGGATGTGTTGAGCTGAGAGGTACCAAAAGTGCAGCCTAGCTGTAAACAACAATACAGGACTCAACCAGCCTTCTAAAAGCATAGACAAAAGAAGAAGAAGATGCAGAAGATTTACTTTAATTTAAATCAATCTAGTGCCATCTCTAGAATGATGGTTGGCCATGATGAATCATCATAACTTTCTTTACTTCACTTTGTGGTACACTCTGGCAAACAGTTCATTCATTTCTTGAAGTCATATTGCCACATGTATTTCTGTCTTCATTTTGCTTTATTTTGACACTGCTCTCATGTAAGGTATTTATAAGTGTAACATCCCTATAGGCTACCTCAATAAGTTACCTTACATGCTACATCAATAATTTATCTGTCTTTTTTCTATTTTCTATCAACTATATTTTCATACAAAGCTAATCCAAGACTTGTGCACTGGTTCACGTTGTATCCATGAAATATGATCTAACCTGCTTTTTCACATTTGTAGGACTTAAACTCTATTTCCTAATGGCTTGTTCACTGTCCAGGTTCAACATCATGCAGTACTGTTGAGTTTTTAATATAAAGAACTTGACTGTTCTTATTTTACATTTCTATCTTCACATATTTTCACATGCAGCTCATCATATTTTTGGCTTTACCTATTTTTTTTTTTTTTCAATTTCTTTCTGCTACTAACATTATTAATTTTCATACACAAACAAAAATGCGTCATTTGTTCTAGTGTTTCTCAATTTACCAGACTTCATTATATTTTCAATTATCTTTGTATTGCTAATTATCTGCTGCACAAGGTCCTGTAGAATGTGTTCACTTTCTTATATGAGTTTCAAACTGACCACAATCAACTCTGAGGTCACTACTCAGTGTGTCTGACCTGGTCGTGAACGGTGTGTTACAGAGGTTGTGCTATTTTGAAACTTCTTACTCCGCTTATACACTTGCTGGACTGACAGGCATGCATCACCATACTGGACCTTCATTCACAGATGAATTTCTATAGGGTTTATACCCTTCACTGATTTTTTTTTAATGGATAACAGAAAGCTGCTCTTCCTTGATGTATGTCAAAAGTTGAGTAAAAATCTTTAAACTCTTATTACGACATCACCATGTTTATTTGCACAGTCATGTCATGTGCTTAACACTTCTGAAATCCTTAACAGGTTACAAAACAAAGGCATGATCAATTTAATTTCTATCAAATTTTTAAAGTTTTCATTTTAAGCCCATTCATAAACCATTGTGTCATTACAATATCTGTGGCAATGATTTTGGTCACAGACGTCAAGGAAAGTTAAGATCACTGTGATGTGTATAAGGATAACATTTTCTGTACCTCATTTCGGGTGCGGGTAGGCTCCGTGCTGGTTTCATAGGTCCTCATGCAAGATTCCTGCAACATGTCTCTGTCATGCACCACCGATTATGGCTTGTACGAGCAAAGACTGAGATGGCAGAGGATCTCAAATTTGCTGGCTTCCGGAGATGCAGTGCCTCTGGCTCTCATCAGCCCCTCCACCCTCCCCACTCCCTCCACCCTCCCCCATGTGCATGGGTTACAAGGTCTACTAAAAACTCATTTGAAACATGAGTGGAGCCCACTGGCTGAATATCCTCCTATTTGATCAATCTTATTTGTATACATCTGTTGAAGCTCTACCAACAGACTAAAATGTCAGAGGTCACTGCCAACTGATTTGTTTGTCTGTGTGAGTGGAAAGGTTCAGTATTTCGAGCATCAATTGTCCCATTGAGTGACAGACAAGGTTCACACTTGTTAGAGTGTCTGGAACAGACTGAGAAGCAATACCTGATGCATGCTTCTCCTATACTGTCCTGACTAGGTGTCTCAATGCAACAACATTGAAGGTATCTAACATGATGAGGAGGATTGTGCCTATCTGTGTGGTCATCGAAGTCCCGATCTGCAGGCTGTTCTCTGTTGATCTCCAAAGGGTGCAACTCATGATCAGTGAGAAGCTGAATACATAGATGCTCCAATTTTAACATGATGACAAAATGCTTTGTTATTTTTTGATGGCTGTAATTTCTCTCAGATTGTTCTGTTCCCTTATCATGGATTGCTATTTTGTGCACATTTCCAACGCAGGATATTGTGTGTTTTTCATGGGAGCAGTGTGTATTGTGGTTGTGCTGTTTCAGGTAAAGATAATGACTGATAAATTTGGCAGCCTTGACCATGATGCCATTGCAATATTTTTGAAAGTGTAGGCCCACCATCCAGGAAGAGAATCTCGTCTGCAGGAAACTGTAACTGTCTAGATAGCAAACTCCAGAAACACTGTGCCCAGAAATGGAATGTGTCAGCCATGATTTTGATGGGGAGGAATCGACACATACAGTTAGCTCAATGACCATGCACAAATATTTATCCAGCTGTGGTACCACCATATTAGGTAACAATCAGTTGAAAGTGGGATCTCGTTCCCACATCTCAAACAGATTTATTCTTTGCCACCAACAGCTCTGTGTCTTTCTGCATTGCTAGGGGAGGACAGGGTATCACTTCTAACTGCGAAGACATACTTCCACCCCTGGTTTTAGTGCAGTGGAACGCCAAAGGTGTATTTAATAAAAAAAGAGAACTAGAAGAGCAATACTCGGATGAGAGGTTGATCAGGCATGTGAGGAGATGACAGTTCCATGGGTGAGCTCAGGACCAGAGCATCATGTGTCAGCTTTACATTTATGGAAGTCTCCTTGGATGGCATGGAATGCCCAAGATCTGCCTCTCCTTTCCATTGAGGGCCTACCAGTCTACATATGATTGCCCTGGATGGGTTCTCCAGAGGCAACACCTGAAGATAAAGAGATAAAGAGGGCACCTTACAAATGAAGTATGTCATGTCCCAAGAAACCAACCAGGAAGGTTAGCCTGGTGAACAAATGTCTGATCAGCTCAGATGTGTTGGCTGAAAGTCGCAAATATCGCAGCTATGCTGTAAATGGGCACAACTCGATTACATCAATAAGATGAATGAAAAAAAAGAAAATTTAAATCCAAGGCAATTCATTATTCTTTCACCTTTAAATAAACTATAAATTACAAAGAATATCCACAAAAAAAAATGTCTTCAATATTCAGCACACACAAAAATAGAAACTACCTGTGAGTAGAGTGCAATAGTAGAAAACTGTGTATGAAGCTCAAGAAGCTGAATCAACTCTGCACTTTTCTTTGCACCCTCTGCTATCAATGCTATAAATCTGAAATAAAGGAAGACAAATTCACCTCAACTCACAGATCCAAGAGTCTAAAATGGTACCATGGGATGTTCTGGAAACTAAAAGCTGTCATCATATCAGCCATTAACCACATCCTCTACTAAACGTCTATTAGTCTCCAAAAATGCAAGGCCAGCACCACAGATTCACTACACCTCATGATGTAGAAAAAGTCCTGAACTTATTTACAGTCAATACATGCAGCTGAGGTGGATCAGCGGTTTTAAAAACTTGTCTAAATGCTTTAATGGTCATGTATTAACATCACCATGGAGGAGGTGGGAGAGGTCTTACCATACTCCAAGGTCCAAGCATTTCAGCTTAACTATTTGAGTCCCAGGGGGTTTAGTATCAGAGGCCCAAGGGGTGGTAATGCAATTTTTTAATTTCACAAGTGTAACACTTTAAAACAGACCATACTAATTCAATTGCCATGCAACATGCACATATTATACATCAAAGTGACCAAGGATTGTTGAGGAATAATTATAGAATTCAGCTACAACAAATAATTGTGTTAGTAATTAAATATAAGTATATAAACAGATGGTATGTTTACAAAAATTAGTAAAATGAAAACATAAACAACTCCACTTACCACAATGGCACTCAACGAAAACTTGTTTAAAATATATACAAAATGAATCACAAAGTAATGTATAAGTAAATTATAAACTCAATCTAAGGTTAGATTTTGTTCCAAAGAATCTTTTGAAGCATCATAACAGAGCACCATTATTTGGTAAAGAAAACTGACTCCCAAAACAATAAGTATCTACACACAAAACAAAGTTTATATAACACTCAATTCGCCTGTAATTGTGTGATTAGGTTCATAAATAATAAGAGGAATAGCACTAGAACTAACTGACACTGAAGAAAATCGTCTTTTCACTAATGTTTATACTATTTGTGCTAGCTGACTTTGCTATCGTTGTACCTTCACATGAGGTACACATTAGACATATCCCTCATTAAAGTTTGACTCTATAAATGACTGAAGCACGTCTAATTCACAAAGTTATCTATCTAACTTTGGATAAATCTAATAAACAAGTACTTTATTTAAATTTGAGGCTTCTAAAGCCATAAATCATGTTGGCATGCATGTAGAATACTGCTTGGCGGCCATATTCTTTTAAAACAAACGTTTAGTAACTCGGTAAATCTCGCAAATATATATTTTTTAGCTTTCAGACCACGTTTTTAAATGAGCATGCCAGATTTCAGACACTAGAACTTGAAAGGAAGTTGAAGACGACTAAGAACTTGAAAGGAAGTTGAAATTGAGCGATCCGTGTAAAAAAATTTGTGACCCCAAGACTCAAATAGTTATAATGGGGTGGAAAAAGGGTTACTCTGATTAGATCACTTCACACACCCATTACACTCTCATGACTTGTTAAAAAGGGGGGGGGGTCTCTTTTCATTACAATGTGGTTCCTTTTCAAATTTTTGGTATATGGTGTAAGGCACATTTTTATAGACCAACTGACACTCACAGGAGAAGTGGTCAAAATCACACAGGCTTCTTTACCTCCCAGGACATTTCTGGGTACCCATTTTATACTGGGTTAACCAGGCACCCCGCGTCAATTCAAATTAAAGCATCTAGCCACTGCACTACGGTGGCTCTCCAGAATACAAAGAAAATTTGTCACATGTTTCTCATGGCTTTACCATGATCAAGCTTCCATGTGTCAATTAGAATAATACAGATTGCATATAATAGTATTATCACAGCCAAAGGCAGTGTCAGACTGCATGCACTGAGGGCTGTCTAGTCAAGCCTTATGAAATTGGATGTACTGAGGGACACACAAATTTTGCAGCTGTTTACATTCAGAAGTTAAAGCCCGGATTCTGGAAAAAAGCAGCACATGTTCTCTGTGCTGCCTAGCCAACAGTAAAGGAATAATGTCTACTTCAAACTTGTGATTCTCACAGTAACATTGCAAATTTAACAATTCTGCATTTCCCTAGAGTTTCCTGTTTTCAGAAGAGACATAAACCTGACACAAGGACAAGTTCATGTGATTGTAGTCATGTCAGAGGAAACCTAGATATTTAGGCTCATACTCTATCAAGAGATGCAAAACAAAGCAACAGACAGATGGTACTGCTGGCAAGTCATATAATCATAAAATTTAATTTTTTTTAAATTTTTTTTAAACAGACACCTTACTCTTCAGGATCCTCTGCAAATTCATACGCTGCCTTCTTAGAAGAGAAAGCATAATAGTGTTCTTTGTAACACAAGACACCAATCTCAGGATTTGCAGGTATCAGTAGTCGGTCATATTTACCAAGTGTGTAGGCACAGTAACCCTAGAATAAAGATTAACAAAAATTTGTTATGTAGGCACCGTAACCAAGGAATATAGATTAACACATAGTTGTTATGAAGGCACAGTAACCCCAGAATATAGCTTAACAAAATGTTGTTATGTAGAAACAGTAACCCTAGAATATAGCTTAACAAAAACTTGTTATGTAGGCACAGTAACCCTAGAATATAGATTAACAAAAAAGTTGTTATGTAGGCACAGTAAGCCAGGAATATATATTAACAAAAACTTGTTATGTAGGCACCGTAACCCTAGAATATAGAATAACAAAATGTTGTTATGTAGAAACAGTAACCCTAGAATATAGCTTAACAAAAACTTGTTATGTAGGCACAGTAACCCTAGAATATAGATTAACAAAAAAGTTGTTACGTAGGCACAGTAAGCCCAGAATATATATTAACAAAAACTTGTTATGTAGGCAATGTAACCCTAGAATATAGAATAACAAAAAGTTGTTATGTAGGCACAGTAACCCTAGAATATAGATTAACAAAAAGTTGTTATGTAGGCACAGTAACCCTAGAATATAGATTAACAAAAAGTTGTTATGTAGGCACAGTAACCCTAGAATATAGATAAACAACAAGTTATGTTAGCACAGTAAGCCTAGAATATAGATTAACAACAAGTTATGTAGGCACAGTAACCCTAGAATATAGATAAACAACAAGTTATGTAGACACAGTAACTCTAGAATATAGATTAACAACAAGTTATGTAGGCACAGTAACCCTAGAATATAGATTAACAAAAAGTTGTTATATCAGAGTTACCAAAAAATCAACATCTTTCTTTATATTCATGATGACAGTTGATACACTATCAAATATTTCAGCAATTTAGTACAGAATGTTTCCAACAACAAAATGAAATATATTTATAAGGTACTGAAAGGCTGTCAAGAGTCTTCTTGTGTTGTCTTTTTCAGTAAACCCTTCAATTGTGACATCACCCAGCCCATTGAGTGACATCACCCAACCCATTGAGTGCCAAATGACATCACCCAGCTTACTGAGTGCCAACTGACATCACCCAGCCCACTGAGTGCCAACTGACATCACCCAGCCCATTGAGTGCCAATTGACATCACCCAGCCCATTGAGTGCCAATTGACATCACCCAGCCCATTGAGTGCCAATTGACATCACCCAGCCCATTGAGTGCCAATTGACATCACCCAGCCCATTGAGTGACATCACCCAGCCCACTGAGTGCAATTGACATCACCCAGCCCACTGAGTGCCAACTGACACTACCCAGCCAACTGAGTGCCAATTGACATCACCCAGCCCCTGAGTGCCAATTTACATCACCCAACCCAATGAGTGCCAATTAACATCACCCAGCTCACTGAGTGCCAACTGATTAAAAAAAATATGAGTCTAGCATCACAACTGTGAAGCCCCAATGGCATAAAAAAAAGAGTTCTTTGCTTCAATGAATAATTGAAAAATTGTATTTTTAAATAATGCAGACACAAACAATAGATTGCCAGACATATTTCTCTGTAATCCCGTCAGGTGCATTACTACAGGCAATAAATTGTGCAATGCATTGTATGTCTTTACATTATTTACATTTACAATGGGAAAATATTGTTTTTAATCATTTTATACTCAAATATTAAAGTAAAGTAAAGGTCCCTTTTCCACACTTTTAGGTTTATTGGGAATATAGGGCTAGACCAATTGGCACTTGGTGACTGATGTGGTCAGCATCTTGCCTGCCACCTTTACTTCCCAAGACTGCACCAGGTACCACTCAAGGCTGGGTCGACTTAGGAGTGAGGTCATTTAGAAAAAAAAAAAAGTTCAGCTTCACTGAGATGCGAACTCATAACCCTCCGATCCACAGGTGGGCGTCTAGCCCCCCCATGCCACAGTGACTCCCATGCTAAAATATTAAGTTTACCATATTACAGTTTATATTTTTGCATTGTTTCAACTGCATATTTATACACATTCGTTAATCTACAATGTTAACATTTTTAATAACTTACTCTGTACTGCAAGTGCAACTTTGCAAAGTTTTTTGTTGTGTTTGAAAAGAGCCAGTCTTTGTCTACTACTTGATAATCGTTTGTGTTGACATACTGACCAACACTCTGCAAACACGAAAGATGCATGTTTCAATTATTGTAAAATTATATGACAAATAGTAAAATGTGTATTCTCATATTAAGATTAAAAAAAAAAAAAAAACAAGTGCCATTTCAAATAATGAAGGGATACAAATAAACCATTAATCAATTAATTTATTATTACATTCATAGTTAACTCTCTTGAGTTCTAGTGGGTTTAGCATCACAGTCCTAAGAGAGACATAAAATTGGCACATCATGCATTACCTGGCCTTCTAGGTAGGACCCTATGAACGTCTGATGCGTTTCTTGGGACTCAAAGAGTTACCTTGCATATAAAAAGCATAAAAATTAAAAATATACAGTTTTCTAAATGAGTCATTGAAAATGTTTATACACACTTCATTAATACGTTCCTCATCAGTTTTGACTGTCACACCATTCAAATATGGGGCAAGAACATCATCACTGAACATCTCCCTCTGGGCCTGTAACCAAAATAAGAATTGTACATGAGGATTTCTGAGTCATATGAAAGTGATTATTTTATCTGCCAGAACATATAGGAAGGTTCTGTAATGATAAGGGTAAAATAATCCTCTACTATTTTTACTTCATAGCATAGATACTTAAAAAAGTTGTTTTATTATTCAGTCATAGTTATTGATATAATTTTTATTGTTGTCATACACCTGTACAATAAAGCCATAATTGTCAATGGTATTTTATATGTTAATTTGTAAATGGCCATAGAAGCATATTTTTTCAATTATTTTGTTCAAATTTAATTTATCTTTTACTCTAACTGTGTACTCTAACATTCTGCAAAAACATTTTTTTTCATAAAGTCGGAGAGAAAATATTATGTTTCCTTAAAGATAAAAAATATGGCAAAATTAATGTAGCCAATCAACCCTTGACTTGACTGTCCAAAAGATAATAGATCTGCTTCACGAGATTTTATCATCATCATCATGTAGCAGGTCCTTTGCAGAATGTCGCTCTCATCATGGTCTGCCTGAAAATATTTGCCTTTCGCCAGCTCTCCCACCACATGCACTTTCCTACTCAAGGAGTCACTTATATCCTTTACCCATCTTCATGTTGGTTGGCTCCTGCCCCTCTTTCCTGGCACCATGCTTTCCTGCTATAATTTTTTCGGCACTTGACAGGACCAAAATATTTCAGCTTCCCAGACAGGATGCTGTTTATTAGCCAATCTTCCTTGATGTTCCGATCTTTTAAAATGTCAGTATTTGTTTCTTTGTCCATGGTATTCTGAGAATCTTGCTATAGCAATTCGGCTCAAAAAGCCTGTATATTTCTATAAATGACTGGGAGATAGTCCAGGACTCACTTTCGTTTGTTGCTACTATGCTCTTAAAATTTACATTTTGATTTCCTTGCTGGTGCTTAACCATAGATTTTTAAGGCTGTTTAATCTTTGCATTGCTATGGTCACCCTCCTTTTGATTTTTGTTGAACAGTCTCCATTTTACTTGCATGAATTAAGAAGCAATTAAGATCAGTATCAGATATTCAGTGATAAAATTTTAACACAACAGCTGTGGTTGTTAACAATTGTATTTTTTGTTTTGTTATTTTGAACATTTTGCACTAATGATGCATCAATACTGTTTTTAATCTAAAAAAAAAGTTAACCAGTATGGAACAGCCTGATATTTTATGCAACATATTTTCCCTTTCTTTTTTTTAAATTGCTGAATGTTGTGAGTGACGCTGAAGAAATAGCGGGCACCAAGTACAATTGCTGCCTAAAAACAAAAATAAAAATTTGTCATTTATTTCAGATGGACATGAACCCTTTTGCATTTTCAATGAAGCTATTAATAAATTGCACAAGTAACACTTCATTTTATGTGCACTAAAGATCGAAGCCTCCAACAAAACTCTTACAATACTTTTAAGGAATTGTCAATTGCACTAAATCCCACGTAGCCTAACATTCGGACATAATTGAAAACAATAAAGTAAAAATGTCAAAGATGAAAACACAATTTTCCCTGTATTCTTTTTTAGTGAATGAAGCTACATTCAGATCACACACACACACAAAAAGAGAGTTCGGCCTTTTTCATTATTCATATATGAGTGTGCTGATGAGTGCTGTAAAAACATTATAATGTTTTAATGCATATCAAAACTAATGTGTTGCAATGTTTTCAGCGCATGAGGTCTGTTCAAAACAGCTGAAAACTAATGTTGGCAGATTATATTCTGTGAAGTTATCCAGTATGAGATTTTATTATGTGATCTTATCCATCCAGTATGCTCTATAAACACAACTTAGTCATAATACGAGACTGCAGATGTAAACATGGCAAACCAGTACAACATATAGACGTTTTTTAAAACATGATTCTAGTCTGGGTTATTTAATCATTTTTTTTTTATTTTCCCCTTTCTCCTCAGAACATGCTGTTTTCACCCAACACCTAGTAAAGTTATTTTCAACACCTGCCACTGCTAAAACTATTGTCTCAGTTAGTGTCTTGTAGCATGCCAAGCGGTATAACTGTAGTGCTCAACAGTATTCTTATTTTCAAGTTTGTTATACGTATAACAGCGAACATTTTTTTCTGAATCAAACAAACGACCCTTCTCCTTCCGTCACCTGGTCTTTAGAATACTCATTCTTGTCAGTGGTAACAATGTTCATCACTGTCCCTCCTTTCACATGTACAACGATGTGGGTAATATTCCTTTTCTTAATCTTCCTACTTGAGCACTTGGATTTTGTATGTCAGTCATTCATGGGATTCTATGGATTCTATAACCTATCCAATCGACATCACTATATTTTGGGCATTTCCATGCTTATTCAGTTCTCTGATGCAGCAGCCGCCCCATGTCATCTCTATGACTGTTCCCATGAGAAGTTGGTTATAATGTATCCTATCTCGACCTTGAAGATGGCACCGATGTGCTTCACCAGACTTCACCAGGCTGTGTGGTTGCTTTTTCTGCTGCCTTTATGAGAGCTGCACATTGCATGACTACATGTATAAAAAAAATTTCCATATTTGTAATCAGTATTCATAATTGACACATGTACAGTAGTCAGCATGTGACATAATTTGTTAAATATTGTTTTCTGACTTCAGTAGACACAGATTTATTGCACATGAATGAAAGAGTTGAGATATTTGACATTAATCTACTTCAGGCATTCTCAACGTGATAGGTACCCATCTTCAGTAGCCAATGAAATGTTCATGCTGCTGGGCCCAATGACATCCAGGCCCTCTGCTCACTTCCCAATCAATCAGTCTTATAGTGTGCTACTCCTGTTTGTTCTCCTGCATTATCGACTTGATCTCAGAGAGCTTCCACCATGTCTGTCTTATAAAGTGGCATCGAGAAACAGCAGGTGGCCAATCTATCAGCCTGCTCATTATGCCACACACTGTAAGTCCCCAGGAGAAAATCTACATGTCTTTGATCTACTTGACTGTCTCTTTTAAAAACTAGTGAACACAAAATTAGTTTTGGCAAAATCTAGAAGCATGCACACACTCTAAATCCATATGGCAGTTGCTAGAGGTGCCAACACCAACAGTTGCCACCACAATTGTAATTTGTCACTGACAGATTTAGTCATTCATAATTAGCTGGCCGTACACACACAATATTCATACATAAGACATTTGACTAGACCAAACATAAACCTACCACCAGTCATTTTAAATTTTCAGAATGTCACAACACATTCACTACAGGCAGAGATGAAAGCATTCCACATGAAAAACACAGAAAACCTACCACCAGTCATTTTAAATTTTCAGAATGTCACAACACATTCACTACAGGCAGAGATGAAAGCATTCCACATGAAAAACACAGAAAACCGTGATGCACCAAGCACTTAACGAGTAGCTTAGGCAAAAAAATTGTGGACTTCAATACACATGCAAAAACTACACAAGTGTGACGAAATGACCTCAGTGGTCTCAGAAGTTATATTGTTTTAATCATTTCTTATGTTCAGAGAAGGACAAAGAATTATAAGCAATATGCACTGAGCCTTAAATAGTTCTAAAACCACTACAAGGAATTTGAAAATTGTTTAAACTTTGTTTCTGTGTCTCTCTGCAGACAAAACAACCCCGTTTTGTGTAATATTACCTAATACTACCTTAGTTAGAGATTCGTTTCACCAGCCAGTGTAATAAAATTATCTCCTGCCCACAGACTGTAGAGGCGAGTAAATGGGGAAATAACTTAGTATCACACCTGAGATTATCTCCCATGAACCCGACCTTAGTGTCATAAATGTTACATAACACAGACCGAGTGGGGCCTTTTGAACAGAGCAGACCAGGGGAATTAAGTGGTCTGGTAGACAACTCTAGACATGATGGCGTCCAGTGGCTGGAGGTTCACACATGTCAGTGAAATTCTCAGGAGAACAGATGTTTGCCAATTAGGAATGTCTGATCTTGGTCAAGGTCGTACTGTAGGCCGTTCACTTTGAATGAAAGGCCCATTTATAGCTATGTTGATCTGCAAGGTACATCAGGGGCGTGGCTTAGGTCATCTCCTGGAGGGTTGGGTAGAACCTAGTAAAGGGAGGAGTTTAACCTTGCAGACAGATAGGGGTATTAATAAGACTAGCCTCTGGAATTTCCGTCATAATCGCATCCCACCGGCAACAAACTCAGAACGACAGAAGAGGTAATTCTTACTGTTTGTGATTCTTGTTTGGTGATTGCTGGAAAGTTCCCAGCTAAGCTTGTACAATTGTTTTCAATCTTGTATACATAGGGTGGTGAGTTAGCTAAAGTCTATTCTACCTTTTCCTAATTTGTCTACACATTCTGCTTGAAATAGTTCTTTGTGAGTATTCAGTATCTCAGTTAGGGAACTGCTAAACCATTTCTATTTCTTGTATGTTTGTGCCACATGTTTTTCAGTGTATGTTTTCATGTTTATAAAATAAGACTTGTATACTGAATTATAATGAAATTATAATGTTTCAACCATCAACCAAAACATGAGTTTGGACTTTGGGAAAAGATGCCCACATATGCAGCCATGCTGTTACATTTTGTGTGTGTCCCACCATGTGCTCACTAAATTTGTTCACCTAAACAGGGGGTTTATAACACCAGGGGAAGAATCATGGGTGTATATTATTCACTGTCACTGAAAGATAATATTCAGGACAGCATGCACGTATAAAATGTTTTGCGTGTTCAGCACATAACCTGCGCCACATGTTTATGTCATATCAATGTCAGCCAGTTGGAAGTCTGAGTGATGACGGACAACAGACTTAGAAAGTCAACTATTATGACAGAACATGAGAGGGAAGGCAGGATATGTTAGACGTCGGTGTGAGACACAAAGACCTTCAGACTAGACTGGAGAGAATGTGGAATATGAGGAGGTGTGATGAGAAATAATGTATTATTATATATGGTATTAATTGACACATGTATTCTTAGTGTAAGTCAAGATACTACACGTATGTGTTTGTTTCCATGATTACAACTTCCATGTGACGATCAGTCTTTTCTAAGAACAGAAATAGAGGGTCATCACGGTCACGAGACTACATTGTGTTAGAACTCGGCCAGCTGGGAAACAGGTGGGAACCAGGTGGAAGAACCAGGAGAACTGGGCGGAAAAGTTGGAACAGCTAAGAAGGGACTCAACACAAGGACTCTCAGAGGTTCCACTTTCTAAACCAACCTAAGTTACGTATCATGTATTTATGTAACTAAACACCACCATTATCACTTCACTCTAATCTTAGGTGCTCAGTTAGCTGAAGCATCTCATTACCTCCATACCATCACTGTTGACTAAAAATATAAATAACCAAAATGATTGCTAGGTTAATAAATCAATTATATGGTCTTATCCTGCATCAGATTTTGTAATTCCAAGTGTGTCTGTTCTTACATGTGTAATTTAACTGTTAAGATAGAATATCATTTGGTGGGGGCTCATTGAATAATAATAATATTAATTCTTTACCAAGGGAAGGTTGACGGAATGGGTCAACTGCCCTGTGTAGTAAATCATTCAACATAATAATATTTAGACATCTAAAACCCATTTCCTTCTCTTGTGGGTACCAAGCGCAGCTAATGTTAAAATATGATTGTTTTCTTGGATATCCAGGACTTTGTCTGAGTGCAACACAGCCCGGATATTAGTTCAGTTAACCTGGTGGAGGGGATGTGTTGAGAGGAAAATTCTCTACTCAACATATAAAATTCAGTTAAACCCAAATCCAGGAAACCCACGACCTGTTACATCACATTAAAGATTTGTAAAGATCAAGGGATCGTGAGGGCGTTACGTCACAATAAGCAAACCATAGCTAGAAGACAAAAACGCTGCAGAACTTTAGAGGACTGCCTGCCTACCCACTATATCTGAACAGAAGTCATGCATCACATGAGACTGAGCACAGATGTAGGTATTTGTATAGAATGAAGTGTACCTTAACAAAGTAAACCAGAGCCATTCTTGGCTAAATCCAATTCATTCTGAATGAAAGACATATGCTAATACTAGAGTAAAAAAGAAATATTACACTGCTAAATGGCTCAAGGCTTGCCACGATGTTACTGAGGACGCTTAGCAAGACCATTTCATCCTGGAAGCTGCTCCACAGCTGAGCTAGATGTATGAACTGAGGCTGTGGATGCAAAGATTGAGTAGTAATCTCTCACCTAGTACATTTACACATTCTGAACACAATTTATAGTTGAACTGAAGTAGCTAAAAAAATACAGATATTTAAATATTTATTGTGATGTTTTCTGTAAACAAACAAACTATCCGGATTTAAAAGTATGATTTATGAGGTTGTTTGTTTGTTTGTTTGTTATAGTATCCAGAAGCCATGAGTTGTTAACCCTTAGGCTCGGTATTATGGATATCGCAACCTTCGGCCTTGATTCCATTGTAAATACCGTAAATCTGGGAGAAAATGTGGCTTTCCTGCCTACCCCCGGGATTGAACCCGGACCACAAGGAGTTCGTCACCCGGTTTTCGCGCAATCCGGTTTAGCCAGCAACGCTAGACAGCCGGGCGATTTATGAGGTAAAATCATAATCAGTAAGTGGTTATTTACCTTTTAACCTTTTTGCTCATAAACCTGTTGGGAAAAGGGGCAAAGAATCCAAATGTTACCTCTCCCTCCCACCACTTTTAAAAACAGCCATTTTAAACATTTTACTACCAATATTCAAACAATTTATAAATATATATATTCAACATTTTGAGAAGTATATCAAGGGGGTTAATTAAACAACACAAACAGAGTGAAGAATTACACACAAAATACATTCCTTGAGGCCTAAAAAACGTGCTGGGTTACTTGACAGTATGCAGTTACTAGATAGAATTACAAAGGTCAGATTTTTAAGAGCATGCATCTTTCCCATTGCAACATACGCCTGTGAGACCTGGACACTTACTAAACAAGCGGAACAGCGCATAAATGCATTTGAATATAAATGTTACAGACAGGTTCTAAGAATATCTTGGGTAAAGAAAAAAACAAATGCATCCATACTTCAAGAGCTGAATATTGAAGAGGGTTGGCTAGTAAAGACAATAAAACAAAGAAAATTGAAATATTTTGGTCACTTGAAACGTCATGAAAGTCTTGAGAGAACAATAATGGAGGGGTATATGCCTGGGAAGAGAGGAAGAGGAAGGCCAAGGAGAAGATGGGTGCAGGATGTGGCAGATGATCTCCAGATGGGTGTATCAGATGCAGGACATCTTGCACATGATAGGAAGGTTTTCCGGAGGGTTGTTATGGCAGCGAGGTTCCGCGAGGGACATGCTACTGAATGAATGAATGAATGCAGTTACTAAGGCTTAAGGCCAACTGTGATGTTCTGACGGTTAGAAAAAGCTTAGTTTTTTCAAATTACCCCCCCCCCCAATCACCACCAAGTATTGGGGGGGGGGGGGGGTTTAAGTAATGTTAACCGTACCTTATTCTTCTTCTGCCCATATCCTTCAAAGGAGCATAGGCCCTCAACCAACTAATGACAAATCATCACATCGTTCCCTATTGTTGCAGCTCATGCCATGTCCTCCCTATTTGTTAACTGCACTCTCTAGCTACCTTCTCTGTGTGCATTTTCATTTTTTTGGTTTTGTTTTTGTTTTTTGGGGGCTGCCTTTATTTCTATACCCCTGAGGGTTCCAGTGCAAAATCATTCTAGTTATATTACTCTCAGGTTTTCTAAATGTGTATCCGATCCAACATCTGTACTTCACCTCTTGATTCACTCGAACTTGTTTAGTTCTCTCCCAAAGCTCAACATCAATAATTCTATAATACCATGTAATTCCCTCTATTCTGCGCCAGCACCAGTTAATGAATGTTTGTAGTTTTAATAGAAGCTGTTTTAGCTGTTCTCCATGTTTCCGCTCCATACAGCAGTACTGATCTGACATTAGAATTGAACATTTTAACTTAAATATTAATTTTAATTTCCTTTGACTTCACAAATTGCCTAGTGCTATGAAAACTCTTCTTGCCTTTTGTATTTGTATTTTAATAATAACTGTATCCGGCCCTCCTAAATACTAAACAGGTAAAGATATAACCAATGCCATTAACTAGGCTTGTCAGGGACAAGCTAGTGTAGCAAGGCCAGTTTAGCTGTATTTAATGGAGATTAATAATGGACAGTGATGCCACATTAGTGGCAGTACTGGTCAAGTCAATCAATCAGGTGCCATCTGCACAATGACAGTTGGCTGCAATGCATTTCCGACACACTATCTATTCTCTTGATATTGTCCTCATCTTTGTACCATTGCCGACCTCTTACTTTATAACTTTTCCCTTCAGTATGGTTTTTAAAAGAGTGTTATGTCTTATAATGTAGCCAAGGGGTCTCCATGGCAAACAGATCAAGTCGTTTGACTCATGGTTAGATTGTCACAAGTTCATTTCATAGCTGTGTCATTCGGTTCGAGGATGCAATTTTTATTTAAACTCATGGGGATCATTGCTGAAGCTACAGTGTTTGTGCTTTGTGTGACGCTCTCAACAGGAAACTAGCCAGACAGAGACCAAGCCACATGGGATAAAACCTGGTGGAATGAAGTCGATACTCTTGACTTAGCCTTAAGCTTAAATGTGGCAAAATATTTCAAGTAACTCTTTTTATTTTTTATTTTATTTTAGTAACACTCCCTTCCTTCCTAGTTTCTCCAGCACCTCTCTGTATGTAACTGCAATTTCATCCCATGAAATATTACTTTTTATTGTGTATATCCAAATCTCCAGAGACTTAAAGCGGTTTTTCTAGTTGCTTTTTTATTGATCTAGGGATTTAATACAATATGATATGCTTTATCATTGTAAGGCCATTTTGTTTTAATCAACACTCCTGCTATTTTAAGCTTACATTTTTCTACTGGCTCCTCCAACACACAAGACTTACATAAACCTGTGCTGTCGGCACTGCCGTCTTTGCTTGTACTGTGGCCTTCAGCTGATCCATTCTTACTGCCAGCTGGTTCTCTAGCTGCTCCACTTGGTGGGCACATGTGATCACATCGTTCTGGTGGATTATTATATGAATAAATGCCACTGACATTCAGTGAGTGCACTACTCCATCAAGTAACAAAGAAAACTGCTACCATAGATATTCAGTGCCTTAATCTCAACACAACACATTTCAACACAGAAAACTGCCCATTTATGCAGAATAAATGCCTTGATACCCAATGTTGAATGATAAATGATGAGTTAAGAATCAACATCAAAGCACTCAGGACATTCTCATAAGTGCTCCATCCACATCTTCAGCAGCAGTTAAAGAGTTCATATTCTGAGAACTGGTTAAGAAGAACAGGAAAAGCAACCAGAGAAACAAAACAAATTCTTTTCAGCATGACAGCACAGGACAGGATGCCATCAGCAAGGTTTGACATTGACCCCTGTAAGCAGTGGAAAAAAATGGACCTATCCACCATGGTGGGATGAAGAGGCTGAAAGGGCATGGCTGGAGAAGAGGCAGGCTGTCAGGGTGTGGCAAATGGCCAGGAAGAGTAACACATCTCAGCCAGATTTCATGTTTCATGAATGACCTGAAAGATAATGTTAAAAAGATGACCATGGCCTGCAAGCTATGTGCAACATAGGTCAGGAATGAGAAATGGAATGTGTACAGTAAGAAGGTATGCTCAGAAGGGTCTCTTGCAACAGTTTAACAACTCCACCAGGCAATAAACAGCACCACTCGACATCAAGGTATCCTAGACTTTCAGAGCACAGACATGGCAGAAATCTGATGCAGACAAAGGACAGGCCCTTCTTTTGTGGTACTTAAAGCAGACTGACCAGAAAGATAAGACAGCCAGACTGAGAGATAAGACGATACTCTCGGAGTTGTGCGAGAAGGCAGAGCTGAGTAATGACAATGTTATCACAATTAAGACCATATGGACACTGCTCAAGAAATCACACAACACTGCCCCAGGCCCAGATGGCATCTCATATGCTGATAAGCTGCAGATGTCAGAGGACAACATGACAGAACTCGCATGAGAATTCAATGGCAGAATCCAGAGTGGTCAAATCAAAGATGAGTGGCTACACAGCTACTTACTACTGCTGCCAAAACCAAACAAAGACCACTCCAAGAACAGCAGCTACAAAATTATTACGATGCAGAACACTCTGGGCACACTTCTGGAGAAAATAGAAGCAAATAGAGTGATGACTTGGAAAGGTCTGGCAGACTACCGTCCACACTTGGAGGGTACATGTGTAATAAAGAGACGTGGTTCAATGCAGCAGTTTTCACCCATGATGTCTATGAAAGTTTTCCGGTGAAAGAAAAGAAATGTGCGGCTGCACTAGATTTAGAAGATGCGTACAACAGAGTACCCTTTGACTACCTGGTGCAGATCTCCTCCAACTAAAAATATCTCCATTCATCATTCACGGGCTAGCTCCAGCACTGTTCCAGAGACGGATGGTACCCAGGTGTGGTTGTTTGTCCTCAGACCCGATAACCATTTGTCCTAAATTACCTCAAGGTTCTCCGCTGTCCCCAGTCCTCTTTAATGTGTTTACATTGCGAATAACCGACCAACAATTGAATGGGTGTGGCAGGACTCTGTCATTTGCTGATGTCATTCTGGTCCATCGACATGGAAGAAAGCTTCATGAGATTGCCAATGCAATGCAGAGCGAACATGATCCTATCTCCTCCTGGTGTGAGGATTCCAGTGCACATGTAAACTCTTCAAAATCCTTAATAATGGGACTTTCCTTGAACATGCATATGGTTGAGGCAGACCTACCAGTTGTGGAAATTAGTGGCGAAGCTTTGACGAGAACACACCTGATGACATATCTGGGTGTGAAGTTTGATCACAGTCTGTCTTTCAAAGACCACTTCAACCATGTTATAATGAAAGCCCGTAAAGGCTTATCAGCAATGATGGTCCTGGTCACCGCCAACATCGAGCAGAGACTGCTTCTGCTACTGTTCCAGGGACTGTTTGGCTCTTTCTCCGATCGAATATTCTTTAGCAGTACTTACTGTCAGCGATACTCAGACAGAAAGACTGGAAAAGGTGCGAGATGAAGCCACGTGCATTATTCTGGGGTACACAAGAGACACCTCTAGCGTAGCAATGAGATATCTTCTTGACTTTCTGACAATGCACCATAGGATAAAGATCTGGAGGACTTGTGTATACCTGAAGATGTGTTCAGATTTGAAGCACCCTCTGTTATCTTTAGGAAAAATAGCAACAGGCTAAAAAGGGGCAAATCATGGCTCGGTAGGGCAGAGGATGACATCATACAGGTCTGCAGTCTTACAGACATCAACCTCAGCGAAGAATGGATACCTATGCCCCAGGTGCTCAATTGCGCCTTTTCCTGTGTTGCCAGGCTTAATAGGAGCTATCAGGAGTTGCTGTCAATGCAGAGATCCATGCGCATATATGTGAAAATTAAGCTGAGGCGGATGTACTAATCTACACAGATGAGCCCATTGTACGAGAACAAAAAAAGTTCATGGGCATTTATGAGCATCTCTGCAGGCAAAACAGTTCAGAAGGCCAGTGGTGCCTTCTGTATGACTACTAGAGGTATAATATTACTACCTGCAGTATGACAATGGAGGTGATGGCGGCAAAAGGAGCTTTCATGTGGCTAGCATCGCAGGGCTGTTCTCACGTGTGTGTGTGCTGATTCCATGAGCATGATCTGTCGGGTCGAAGCGGGTTTTGTACGCAGACAGTAGATCGAGTCATTGCAAAACTCCACTGTGCATGGAGTTACCTTTATCTTTGTATCAGGTTATGCAGGTGTTGTTGGCAATTAAACAGCTGACAGATTAGCCGGCTCTGCCTTAGTTTCAGAGGGCTGACCCATGGATCATGCCGACACTGTTAATGCCCTTAGAAAGGTAGGACGTTCAGAGGATTTTTGATACAGGATTTCCACATCTTTGTTAAGAGTGCAAGAATTAAGAGTAAAGACAGGCACAGCCAGGCATGAAAAGCACACAGGGCGCACAAGAAGTCCTGTCAACCAACACAGGTCTGGAACTATCAACCATGGGACGCTGATGTATATGTTGAATGGGGAAATCTGAGCGCCTATGGACGTGTCCGGAGTACTGCAAAGATAAAAAAATCTTAACTCATATAGGCTAAATGATGAATGTTGAATGTTGAATTAGGAATTGACATCACAGCACTCGGGACACTCCCATAAGGACTCCATCCCCATCTTAAGCAGCAAGCAAAGTTCCAATTTTCGATGGCTCTAGTAACTGTCTGATTGTACATCTGTCTTGCCCTTCCCCTGAGTGTTGAGCATCTGACAGATCACCTGATAACTCCTTGCAGCGCCATTCTCTTCACATCATAATGATGTATCTGTGCCTCCACATTGTTCACTCGCTCCCAAAGGGCCCTCACAATATCTAGGTTGTCATACATCAATTCACCAACAAGTGGCGCACAGCCGGCTGGTCTATCCACCCGCTCATTTCCCAACATACCAGTATCCCCTGGAGAAAATATCCAAAGGACACTAACTACACGGAGCATGAAACTGAAAAGTCTGTGGTAACAGCACTAGCCCTGCAGCCTTAAATCCTCAGGCTCAAAGACTCACTGTCTACACAATAAAAGTAAAAAATAAAGGCAGTAATGACAGATAGAGAGTGTGTGTGCGTGCACATGTGTAGGTGTGGCAAACTTTCATTGACACTCAGTGCTTGTATCTCAACATAACATATATAAACAAACTGCCCCACTATAAAAAATACATCTCAGGCAGAGATGCTAATACATCAGGGTCACAGTACATTTAATAATATCTCTGTTCACCTTACTACTGAGCAGCCTATAACCAAACTCTAGTCTTACTACTGAAGGAGAAGTCCACCATGCTCTCTGTAGTGGTCACATTTTCACCACAGCATGACTGCAAGAGTATCACAACAAATCCTCTGATCACAGTAGGTATCAGCACCTGTATCCTTTACAGCTGAAGCTAAGAGACAATCTGTAGTGGTAATTAAGAATCTGAGAAAATTCTACTCACAAGAATGATCTTCAGGAATGTTTCATGCTGTCTTCTGTTGATAAGAGCTTCCTTGAGCAGCTTCATGGAGAGACCTTCCTGCAGTTGGCGCTGGTACATAGCTTCAATGAGTGCAGTATATTTATATGCACTGTGAAGAGTGGTCTGGATCTCATGATCTAAATTCTGAGAAGTAGCTGGTACAGCCTCATTCAGTATTGCTGGCACTAAAGAGTGGGGTAAGGGAAAAGATATAGTGGTATATATATATTTATTTATATGTATGTATGTATGTATATATATATATATATATATATATATATATATATATATATATATATATATATATATATATATATATATATATATATATATATATATATATATATATGTATATTTAAGTGAATCCTGCATGTTTATATTTAAAGAGACAACTATTTATCATGTGGTGTGCTTGGTGGCATGGTCGTCCATAGTCCTCCACAGCCATATGTCTTCAGTGTTCTTTATAAGTTCTATGCTACTGTAGCATAGTTTGTTGAGCTTTTAAGTCAAATTTCTCTGGAATTCTACTGTAGCAACCCATCCAGTTAACTACCTCTGATGCTATATTTTATGACAATAGGTGGCTAAACTGAGTGTTCATAGACAGGCAGATAAACATACAGATAAGGAGGTGGATGGATGGATGGATGGCCTATACTGTTCTATCCACATGTGATAAACTTCAACATTCATCACATACATGCATTTCTTAAATCACAAATTTACTTCAGAAGAGGATGCAACTATCCTTTATCTGTTTCCCACTTGCCACAATTTGGCTGCAGAATTGCTAAAAGCTGAGTATTTTTTAAACCAAAAAATACAGCTACTTGGCTGTTTTCAGAATTCAGTGTTTTCAGCAAATTATTACACTCTGGCAACAAGAGTTAACAAACGTAAACTACAATGATACAGAAAGCTTACAGTCGTCAATGCCTTCTCCACCTTTGCCACATTCTTTATTAAAGAGACGAATTCCAGTTACAATCATGGTCAACTCAGATAGCTGCCTTTCTTTCTCTCTTTTTGTTAGCGTCATGAATGTTCCCAACTCAGTTTGAGGAAATACTGATTGAAGAGCAGCTGCAATTAATAATTCACAGAAGTTAAATGTGAGAAAATATGTATCAAATAAGTGGGTAAATTAATATTTATTAAGCTATTAAATAAAACAGTTCTTGCTGTTTGTATCAACATCATAACTTTATTGCTATGGAATCTAGTATCTAGCAATGAAAACTGATATTACTCATATTTAACAATGTTAATCAGTATACCAGCCTAAACATAATTATGGATGTGATTGTCTGAACCATAACAAGAACAGTGCATGCACAAAAATAAACAATCTTGTTTCATGGCAGATTAGGCATATGGTGATAGGATGGATGCATACAATGTCTGTTGTGTGAATACACATTTAAAATGAAAAATGATTTATCTGATTAAAAATTGCTGTAGAAAAGCATAAAAGACATGGGTAAAACAGAAGAATCTTTGTTAAGTACAGTATATAATTCACTACCAAATATTCAAAGAAAAAAGATATAGGAGGAGAGTAGAAAGACTTAACAGAATACCAAACATAAGAATTCCAAAAAACCTGGAAGATATAGAAGAATTGATTTTTATTAGAAATGTGCTGCAAATAAAACATGGCTATGTATGAACTGTAAAATTACTAAACCGTGTTAATCCAAAGTAAAATGCAATTAATCAAAATTTCTGAAGGGGCCAGAAACAAATATTAAAATAAAATATGTGCAAAGGTGTACTAGCACACTCATATAAACACAAAGCTACAAAATTCTATGTCACCTGCAGATAGGAGATATGGTGCTATATATTTACACACATAGCTAATACAATCACACAGATGTCATATTCATATTTTTCTGTCTTTAATCCCCCCAGTGGAGCACAGGCTTTCAACCAACTCATGCCAGGTCATCCTAACCTTTGCAATCACATGCAGCTCATCCCATGTTCATGTATCTTCAAACTTCACTCTTTAGTTCCCTTCTTTATGTGTTTCTGGGTCTGCTATTATTCTGCTGACCCTGTGAGTTCTAGTGCAAAGAAATTCCAGTTACACTGTTGTCAGATTTTCTCAATATGTGTCCTATCCAATGCCAGACAATGAAAATGGAAGATAATGAGAATAGCTTTCCCTGTCAGCAGTTAAATTAAATTAGGTTTACTGACTGCAAGATGGAATTAGTAAATCTACTTGAGGAGACTAATTTTTATTTCTGTTAGAAATGATAATACACTCTACGGATATACCGGTTGCCTCCCGAACAACAGCAATGTCAGTTGGGCTTCCGAGGCCAGATTTTAGAAGAATAGCTGAAACAATTTTCCTGTACAGACTTTCCAGTTCTTCTCGTGTTCGGGCTCTGCTATCTGTGATTTCTCTTGTCACAGGAAGTAGTCGAGATTCCAGAACCCTTCTATGTTCATCCAAAAAATCACCTGTACAGAAAAGTTTAAAATCGGTCAAGCCTTATTGATGAAGTCTGAACATTTATACAGCTTCCTTACAAAATATGCTTTATTAGCTTCAGAATTAGGTTATATTAACTAAATTTATACTAATATAAGCACATTAATTAAAAGTTATGTGGACATCTGTAAACCAGAAATACAGAGAAGAGCTAATTCTGACTCTTCATGTAATGATAATAAACTGTAACCGTAAATGACGATTTAGGAAGACAGAAAAGTTAACGAATATCAAGAAATTCTACTATGGATGTCTGTTCATCATCATCATCATCATGTGCCCTGCCAACTGGCCTAGGCGTTCATGCATCCACAGATCACGATCCCTGGTTGCCTGGAACAGCTCTCTTGATGATATCCCTAACTGCCATCGTTTCAGCCCATCCATCATAATTTCTCTTGGTCTGCCTCTACACTCTTTTCCACTCATTTTTTCAGTTGTCACAATGTTTTCCAACGTATCTCTTCTCATTATGTGGCCAAAGAACAGTGTTTGTCTCTTTCTTATTGTTGTATATAGAGATCTACTTTCATTAGCTTCTTTCGCCGTTAGTTACTCTAACCGTCTAATGTATTCATAACATTCGTCTCAGAAACCACATCTCTGTTGCTTCCAAATTCTTCCTAGTTTGTTCACTGACATTACAAGATTCGTTGCCATATAGCGTTTTATTGCATAATATATTTATCATTTTCTGAAATGCAACTTTCGCTTGAACTATGCTGCTTTTAATCTTTGTCACACATTTTCCATCTGACGATATGATTGCTCCCAGATATTTGAATTTATTGACTCGGTTAAATCTTTTTCCTTCAATTGATATAACCATTACTTCTGTTTTCTTAATTTTCAATAAAAGTCCTTTCTTAGCATCCCCATTAATATCCAGCAGTTGTTGTAAATCAGTTGCAGATTTCTGTTACTATTACTATTTACTACATTTATTGAAAGAAGTGGATATGGCATTTGATGATGATGCTGATGTTGATCAGAATAATACCTGGAACAGTCAAAAACAAATATATGCTTCAGACAATTTATACAATCAAGTCTAACAAAGTACATCACTAAACCAACTCAGTCTGAGGACAACAAAAGCTTCTTTAACAATTTGCAGACTAATCGCTAGTAAACTGGCGTTTGAATTTATCCCCATTAGACTAATCACCAGTATACTGACACTTTATAGAGACACAAATTTTTATGAACAAGTTTTGAAAAACTAGGATTAGCAACAGAAAGTCTTTTTATTTGTGATGTTTAGAAAGGTCAGTGCATTAGTTTCTGATTTTAAAAAAAAAAAAACTATTTAGATGTGATACCATTTTTATGTGATTTTTCTATACCAAATGATGAGGGAAAAGGTCTAGAACTGTTCACAGTGCTCTGCCATTGTTGAATCTCATGCAGATAGTGAAATAGTCTTGATATTATGATTGATCATGCGTGTGCCAAACCTGTGTTGATAAATAGGTAAGAATGAAGACAGAACTAATTATTTCAATCGGATCATCTCTGTTTCGGGATCAGCTGTTTTCCTGTTTTTGGTTGTTCTGAAATCTTACATGTCATACAAAAATGGTCATAACATCCAAAGTATTTGAATTGACTGTTTCAAATAAAGACTACCTGATAATACTGATATATAACTGACCAGAAAAGGCATGTGAATTCTTAGAAATTGTATTGCTAAACAAGAAAAAAGTAAGGTAAGCACACAATTATTTTGTGTAAATAATTTTCATGTGTGTCTAACATCCTTGAATGTTGTGTGGTCTGACACAAAATTCCCCTAACTTTTTTTTTTAGCTAATATATTCACATACTGAATGTACAAACATTTGCACAGTCACAAACGAACAATTAGCACTGACTATATATCTTTTAAACATATCACTATAGACAAGACAGGAAAATGACATTTACATTGTAAATACACATAAACACAGTTAACATAACATGAAAATACACAAATGAAGAGGCAGACACCAAAATTCAAGACAGAAACTATAAAGATCATTTGATAGCATATCCCCATTAACATTCAAACCAAGGCAACCCTATTCCAGGTCCCTTGGTGCAACAAATCCTGGCATATGATACCAGAACATCGAGTTTTAGATCAGAGGTGGAGACAGTCACTGGGTTCTTCCACTAGCTTGAAAACCAGCTGCACACAATATCAACATTGTAACAATCATACAAACCATGCTCAAAACGGTGAAGATAAGTATGCTCTATGCAGAGTGGCAAACACTGCTTCAGAAATTCATGGATAGTTAGCATTCTTTGGCTACTTTCTCAGCACATGCAAGTGAATTGGGAAATGAACAAATAAACAGACTGTTTCTGCACCACTTGGTGTGCACATCCATTTTACAGACATGGCTCATTAGTAAGCAGACTGCTGTCAGGCAGATGCATTGCAATTTCAAGGAAACACCCTAATTGGTCACCTTTAATGACAATGCTTGTTGGGGGGCAGTGGGTTTATTCCCCCCCCCCCCCAATCCACTCCCAAATGTGGCTCCAGAACTCACATGGGAAAGTACATATGTCTGTGAAGGGGAATTTGTCACTTATGCAGCCGTAAAAGAAAATGCAGAATCAGATATTCACATGCAATTAGCATGAAATGGAATTGAAATTACAGGTTAAATGTTTATTTGTTATTTTATACCTTACTGCCCCTCCCACCATCTGAGAGAGAGAGAGAGAGAGAGAGAGAGAGAGAGAGAGAGAGAGAGAGAGAGAGAGAGAGAGAGGGAGAGAGAGAGGGAGAGAGAGAGAGAGGGAGAGAGGGAGAGAGGGAGAGAGGGAGAGAGGGAGGGAGGGAGGGAGGGAGGGAGAGAGGGAGGGAGGGGAGGGAGAGGAGGGAGGGAGAGAGAGAGAGAGAGAGAGAGAGAGAGAGAGAGAGGGAGGGAGGGAGGGAGGAGGGAGGGGGAGAGAGAGAGAGAGAGAGAGAGAGAGAGAGAGAGAGAGAGAGAGAGAGAGAGAGAGAGAGAGAGAGAGAGAGAGAGAAAGTGTGTGTGTGTGTGCGTGCGTGCGTGTGTGTGTGTGTGAGTGAGATATATATATATAATATACAAGGTCCGACAATTAAGTAATGAGACTAATTCAATAAAAATTTAAATAAACAACCATTGAAGATATAACCTGTATTTTAATCAAAGTAAGACCCTTGTGCATTGATACAGCAAGTGGCATGATCTAACACACACTGAAATAACCTCTGTAGTTCTTTCTGTTGTTATGGTCCTTAAAGTCAATGTTACAGCCCTTTGGTGTCATCAATATCATCAAAGAAGCATCCTTTCAATGAACCAAAAATTCCTGTACAACTACCGCCTGGTGAGCTGGTGCATTGTCATTATGAAGAAAAAACTGCCAGGTGTTAAATATTCGGTTTGGACTCTGAGAATCCTTTTCAACAGATGTTTTAAAATACTTAAATTAACTGTAACTGTGTGTCACGTAACAGCATCTTCCCTGCCACAAAAGACATGTCCACATTTTGGACACCACCATGTTAATTAATTTATTTATATCTCTGGTGGTCCTTTCGTGTGTAAATAGTTCTTTTGTTATTTGGGGGTCCAAATGTTGGAAATATTTGCAGATCACTCCTAATTTTAATCCTTCTTGACGAATAGTGTCAGTGTATATGATACGACACGTTTTCTGTGTCTGTTGAAGCTCACTGTTTTGACCGCTTCACTATTAACCATGAGCCATTTCATTGCCCAACAGTTGTAGTTAGGGAATAATATTCTCTCCCTCACTTTTGCTTAGACTGCTCAAAGGTGTAGATGTGTTTCAGCGCTGTGGCCATTTGACCATTACTGATGAAAGTCTGTTCTGCTGCCAGATATTTTTTATCATCATAGGATGTCAGAAAATCCAGTCAGAGTCGAGGCACTAGTCGAGCTTTCCAGTCAATCGTCGACTTGTGAAACCAACCCATATTGCAACGCCACCTTCTCACATCTTATGCCGATTTATGAGACCGTCTATTGAAGTCGATGCCCATGAGTCTGTGTGGTGACTAACTGATCTCTCCACTTGTCTGTGGGGAATACTTACAAACTACAGTGGTGCTTGGGAAACTGAGGAACTGTGGGGATTTACACTCTCAGGCTACAGAGGAGCTTCTGGATTTCACTCAGATAAGTCCTGTAATATCAACGGAAAATCTTGGCAGCCGAAACCAGAATGTACCTCATAATCCAACTATGCTCTCAGTGCTGTGATGAGAGTGGATGTGTTTATGGCACCTGAGGGAGACCCGTCTTCTGGTTCTCATTCTTCAAGAACATTTTGAAATTTCATTCTATTCCTATTTCATTTACGTCTTATCTTGTTCTATTATAGTATTCTCATTAGATTATTATCTTTTTTCAAAAAGTGTCTTGCTCTTAGATAGGGTTGTCGTGATCTAATAGCTTATTGTTATCAAAGCTGTAACCATGTCTCGTCAGATATACTGGACTGTATTCGTTTAACTGTGTCAACGTTGTTTTCTAGTCTGGAAGCGAACAGAGTGTTGAGGAAGTCAGGCCGAGGATTCATATTATTTCTGTGGAGTCAGAACTCGAGTTGCCTCATCCCTGAGTTAGACTGAATGTATGTTTGGACCGAGGACTTAGTACCTAGACAAACAAGAGCTGACATTCAGAACAACCCTGTCTCAGAGTATCCGAGGATTTTAGGTAAATAATCTAGAAATAAAGGTATGTGACAAAACTGCCATACGGCACTGTGACAGTCTGTCCCTCTGAAATAAGTTCTTTGTGATAACTCTTTTGCTGTTGGAGAAGCACACCAACATTGTCTTCACTTTTAACTTTTGAAAAAAAGATTATTTTGCCTTTTGGAGATAATGATGAGTTCCACTGAGCACTTTGGCGTTAAGTTGTGGGATCATAGCGACAAATCCATGTTTCATTCTCTGCAACAATCAGATTAAAAAAATTTCTGTGACACGTTTTGATGATGTATTTTGCATACTCAACATGCTGATGTTTTTGGTCACCAGACAAGGAATGTGGTACAAACCGACAAGCAACCTTTTTCTTGCCCAAATCTCACACTAAAATTTTATGAATGGTCTTTCTTTAACATCAAATTCATCCGCCATCATCCTCACAGTCAAACAATGATCTTCTTTTATTCTTTCTCTGACTTTTGCAATGAGTTCCTCATTACGAATAGAAACTGGATGTCAAGTCTAGTTGCAACTGAAAATCTGTGCACGAGATAAACAATTATCACCATAAACTTGTCGCATCAACTCAAGTGTCTCAATGGTGCTTTTTCTGAATTTTAAACATAAATTAATGTTACCTTTTATACTCCATGCTGATTTCGTAAGAATGCGCATCTAAGTAGGTCAATAAAATTATAGCTTTTTTGTCATCTGCTTATCAAGCAGCAATGCAAAGTTGCCAGATCATAAATAAAGGTTGCCTCTTTGGATTCCATGCTTTGCTTCATATATAACATTTCTGTCTTGGCCTTTTGTCGGACCTTGTGTGTGTGTGTGTATATATATATATATATATAAATGTATATATATAATCACATTTTGACAATATCACGTGAATAAGGGATAGTTGAGAATAAATTAACTATTATGGTAAATTTTAAAGTTTATGAAATTTACTGTCATTGTCAATTTGTTTAGATATCTGTTCACTTTAAATTTCTTTTCAATGTACCCCATCTGCATCCACTCTGTAACATTACTTATGAACACCATTAACTTGTATGACTAAGGCTAAGGTAGGCTAAGAGGCTACACCAAATAAATTGGTTCTAAAATGGACTAATGAGTCACAATAGTTGGAAACCACTAGATTATGTCAAAGATATTGTACAATGTCAAGGATCTTGCTGTCCCCAACCTTTCCCAGAATTAAGAAGGACAAAAAGACAACCAAAATGTTACCAGTCTGCCAGTGGGTAGAATGAACAAGACAAAATGGTTAAGAAATACTTTCATATTATTTTACAACACAAGCTGAAAAAAATTGTACTGTTATTAATATGTTTGTTTGTTTAGACAGATGAAAGCAAACCTCTGGTGGTATAATTCATGTCAAAATAAACCTGCATCTTGATTGTGTCCAGAGCTGGTGATTCTGAGTCCAAAAGTCGGTACACACACAACTGAAGAAAAGACCAGCATTATAACAAATTTAAGACATCTTAAAAAGTGCTGCCTGTTGTATTGTAAATATTTTCATCTAAAGACTATTACTCCACACTGATTAAATAAAGGCATTCTAAATATGCCCTTCCTTCTTATTCTCCTTCTTCTTCAGCATCCTGAACCCTTGAGGATAACTGCTGCAGGTATCACCCACCTCTATTCATCTCTGTGAATGGCCCTGTCTTTCCAGTTGGTGACTCCAAGTGTTTACAGGTCTGCTCTCCATTGTCTTCTTGGTCTGCCTCATGGTCTATAGTGATTCAAATTCCTTGAATACACAGTTTTCACCTCTCTCTCATCTGTCATTCTCTTTATATGTCAAGAAATTTGAGTCTATTAGCCTTTATGATGCCAGTGCTCACTGGTGATTTGAACAGATTATGAATTTAGTCTACCCTTCTATAAATTAAATGTTATTTCATAAACAACTGTCATGCTAATTTTCTCTAATTCACATGAAAGAGAGATAGAAGTTAGAGTACAGAAGGTAAATGCTGTCACCTACCAGTTAGCCCTACTGCTTGGACACCCAAATATCTCCCTTCCAGACAAATAACAAATTATTAATAGCATCTTCAAACCTACTTTATGCTATCAGTGCCAAACAAGGACAATGAATAGGACATTAGAACAGAAAATAACTACAGGTGAAATGTACTGTCTCCAAAAGGTCCCTAACAACACAAGAAGAGACAGGGTTATGAATACCAGCATTAGAGATAAAGTTTGCAAAAGCTTTTATAGCAACTGTAGAAGCAAAGTTAGAATAAATTCTTAACCATTCAAAGTAACATCTGGAGTAAGACAGGGATGCATCTTATCACCACTCCTGTTTATCACCTACAATGACAGTATAAGCAAGGATGCCAGGCCCAGGAATGAAAATAATAGTAACATCAACGAATTATTCTTTACTGATGACCAGGCCTTGATTGCAGATACAGCCATGATTTGCAACAGCATCTCACATCCATGAAGGAAGAATGTAAATCAAATAATATGAGAATCAACATTGAAAAGCCAGAGGTAATGTCAACAGGAAGAAAGAAGCAGGATTTAAAGATAGTATTAGAGCATACATACATTTAACAGGCATCTGAGTTAAAATATTTTGGAACAACATTCACTGAAGATGGTCAACTGGATGAAAAAATTGACATTTGATGCAGTAAAGCTGGCCAAGTATTGGGACAGCTGGCACCTCTCTTACAGTGTAAGGCAATCCCAATCAGCACAAAGAGACATCTCATATAAAGCATATTCATTCCCACCCTATGCTATCAGTGCCAGATGTGGTCACTGACAGCAAAACATAAAAGAAAATTAGTAACCATGGAAATGGGGTGTCTGAGAAAGACAGTAAAAGTGCTCAGAAGAGATAAAAATCAGGAAAGAGGTCACATGAGATAAAGTGGGAGCAGAACCAGTTCTAAATTTTATATAAAGACAGCAAATCAAATGGTTTGCCCACTGAGAGAGTTCCTTCTGATGCTATACCATACAAAGCACATACCAAAAGAGGTGAGGGACATAGAGCAAGAGGAGACCAAGAACAAGATGAGAAGATAACATCACAGAAACTCTACAGCACCAGGATGTGTCTATGGTCAAATCAGGACCTTATAACTCCCTTAACACCCAAAAATTGTAAAAGAGGACGTAAAGAAGAAGAAGAAAAGAGAAAGTTGGAATAAGACCATGACTGGATTACATTGACAGACAATGAATGAAATGGTTTGGCCATCTAGTGAGAATGCAGCCAGATCCAACTGCTTATAAGACTTTTTAACAGCAAACCATCTGGGAGAAAGGCGTGTGGAAGACCAAGAAAGAGATAGATAAATGATATAGCTGAAACCTGCAGAAAGATGAAGAAATGTATCACTCAAGCCACCCGAGAAGCTCAAAACAAATACAGAAAACTATGACATTGGGCTACAATATGTTATCAGTAAGACAAGAACAAAGAAGAAAAAGATATATGCTGATGAAGGTTGTGAATGTATTTCATTAGGAAACTGACATAATTCAACTTTTCATTTAGGCTGATTTTTCCTAGTAAAACATGATAGGCTGTGATAATAAAACAACCAGAGTAGAGAACAGTGATTACCTTAATGAGCTTCTGCACATCATCTTTTGTTAAAGTTCTGTCAACATTAAACTCATTTTCAGGGTTCAAAACTACTGCCTTTACCTGCACAGAGGAAAATAAAACATGCCAAATGACACCAGTTATGTTTTGAAACTCTACTGGAGATTTAAAGAATGACAAAATAAAGTTTATTATGTCATGTAAGCTCATAAAAATTGCATTTTTTGCATGATGCATTTTAAACATAAGAAAGGATATTACTAAAATATGACAATTCTTTAGGTTTACTGAATTTTACTTACCATGAATGCAACTAATGTTTCTGAAACAGCCTGGCCCTTACTGGCACATTCTTGGGCTATTTCCCTGATTATATTTTTTATCACACTTTCTGCTTGGGCTCTTGACATGATGAAACCTAAACTGTTCTTACTGAAAATAAACACAATGAGGTTACTGCAATTTATAAAAAGAACACCAATAAAAAGGCATAAATCTGTCATGTTTGGGCTTAAATGTATTTAACAGTAAAAAAGAAACGTATAGTAGGATCTCTGATATGATTTTATCTGATTATTAATGTGGCTTTAGAAATGTACTAAGTAAATGAAATCCCCTTTTTATAGCCATAGTGAGTTAAGCATATGATGCTAGCCATGGTATTTTTCAGATACCCTTTTAAATCAGACTTAACTAAGAGTCCAGATATATTTTTAAAAATATACCTCAATACAAACTCAAATGTGACTATACTTCTCTGTGGAATGCTAATATCCTTATGGGTAAGTATTCTGATATTTGGGTGACTATTCTGACGAGTAAACAAGAACCACAGTTTAAAATTATCAAAGATGGGTAATTAATTATACCAGTACAAGATCTTTGATCATGCTATTAGAAATGGGAGTCTGGAGAATATTGTCAACAGGGAAAATTAAAGGTGCTACAGGAAAAGTCTGAAATTCATTAATGTATTTGCAATGTAGACTAATGATGATTAGTGTCCAAACCATAAAGAACTCAGAAAATATGACTGTGAAAGAACATCACCTGTGCCATGCAGCATAACACATAATGATACAACAACAAACTTCTTAAATACCAGGTATACCTCATTACAACATACTTGAAAAGTGACAATGCAGGATCAACAAAAAAGCAAATAATTCAAAACAGAATAAGCCAAATGAAAACTGAGACTATATAGATAGGTACTGTAATAAAATAACAATCACTTCTGAACAATTATGATCATCCCCCCCCCCCCCCCCCCAAAATGGTATCTTCTTCTTCTTCTTCACTTCCTCTTTTACCGCTGTGGGTGTCGAGGGAGATATAAGGTTCTGTTTCTAGCTCTTCTGGCTGCCTCGACCATAGGCACATCGTACTGTTGTAGAGTTTCTCTTATGTTATCCTTCCATCTTGTTCTTGGTCTACCCCGTGCTCTACGTCCTTCTTCTCTTCCCATGTATGCTTTGTATGGTATGGTGACAAAAAAAATGGTATAAAGCTTTCAAATTGACTTCCAGTCAAAGTTTGTAGCCAAATTCTCCAACCTTTTTTAATGTGTCCACTCCCGGATTTTTAAAAAAAATCAAGGGTGCACCAGGTGTAACAGTGCTTGGTTGATGCACAAACACATGTAGGTATGTGCTCACAGATATTATGTTTTTACATCTTTCCTAGACTTGATAGCAGAAGGGAGTCAGTAGCAGTAATGAAAACCATTAACATTAATTAGTAAAACTATAATTCCAATTTGTTTTATACATGGAAAAGGGAGAAAGAGAAAAACAAGAGAGGGAGGAAGGTAGAGATGGAGAGGAAGAAGATAGAGGCATATAGAAAGATACAGACAGGTATAAACACATAGCAGGATGAAGGGGAAGAAAAACAAAGAGGATGTGGGGGAAAAAGACAAATAAAAAAAGCGGGAGAGAAAGAAATAGACAAGAGGGAGGAGGAGGTACAGAGAGAGGCAGCAACCAACAGAGAGGGGTAGTGTGATTTAGAAACAAACAGGGAGATGAGGAGAGGGAAGAGGAGAGAGAGAGAGAGGCAAACAGACATAGCGATAAATGGGAGAGGGAGCACAGACATAGAGAGATACAAATAGGGAGGGAAAGAGGAACAAACAGATATATGGGTAAATAGAGGGAGAGCAAGAGAGACAAACAGACATTGAGAGATAGAGAAAGATTGATGGACAAATAGATACATACAGGGAGGGGGAGAGAGAGAGAGTGGACACAGAACCAAACAAGGAGGGGAGAGGGGCAAACAGACACAGATAAGAGAGGAAAATTGGGAGATGGTGAAACAGAGGGATAGAGATAGGGGACAGAGAAAGAAAGGCGGAGTCGGAGGGGATAGGTGAGAGAGAAAAAAGAGAGTAGAAAGGACAGGAGGGAGAGAGATGGACAGTAAGAGAGAGAGAGAGAAAACAGATATTAATAAAGAGAAAAGATGAGAGGGAAATTGGAGGGGGAGAAGGGCAGAAGGGAAGGAAGGAGGGAGAAAAGATGGAAAGTTAGTGAGAGGGGACATAATAGAAAGCAACAAAAATAAGGAGGGGAAAAGGGGGAAGGGGGAGGAGGTGGGTGAAAAGTGGGTGAGAGACAGAGAGAGAGAACACCATTCACCAAACCTGGGTGCCACCCTTCCCTCCACACACACACACACTGTGGTGGTGGGGTCAGAAGTTCTAGCCTCATTTCTTGAGAATTCTGCTGATGGAGATGCAGCTATTTACAACAATTTCCCCATGTGAGTTCTAGGGCCCAATGTGGAAAAACAATAATAGACCCACTGCCTCCTCAACAAGCATGTTTTAAGAGAAAACTAACTAAAGTCAGAGTGCATCTGCCTGAGAGGCAATGAACCAACGGTGTGCATACAAATAAGCCTGATTCGTAAAATGGATGTGCATGCAAAACTCAGGTACTGGAACAAGACTGAAGTCCAGAGATGGTTAAACAACCAAAACTTTCTGCCAGAGTTTACCGGCAGTGAACACGAAGAAAAGGATTTAAACGATAGGTATATCACTTGACATGTACAACACTCTTGTGCTTTCATGGTTTTGGTTCAAGGAAGAACTGCAAAACAAGATAGCAGTGCTGCTGCTTTTACTACAAGCGGGCTGACTATGAAGGTGATGTTACTAGCAAAAGCAATTATGTGGCTAGAGACTGCATTTTTATCCCCATTCATACTTTTTAAGTGATTGCATAAGTATGCTTACAAAGATTGACACCGGATGTGTTTGAAGACAATGATTGAAGTCTCTGAGGAAATCTCGTCTAATAGCAATAAGTTTCATTTTTGTGACAAGGTACTCTAGGGTAAGAGGGAATGCACAAGCAGACTGGCTTGCTGATAATGACCATGGTAAGTACAGGACAAGGAATGGACCGCACTGATGTTCTCACTGAGGTAGGACAAGTAGATGACTCAGGAGCCACCAGTGAATCGTCAACATTAAAAAGATTAGAAACACTTTGTGTCAAAAGAGGTAATGTCAGACATGAACACTATACAGGCGACCAAAGAAGATTAGTAAATCAACACGGTACTTCACTACTAGTGTTGTTATCAGTCGCAGACGATAAGGCCTAAGTCACTTATTAGTAAAGTGATATCTGAAGATGGGATCAGTGCGCTTATGGGCTTGTCCAGTAATCTATAATCACAGTCTGTCAATTAACTAACTAATAATTTGTAAAATTTAATATAAACGCGATAAACCGTTGAATTGCGTATGCTTCTTGGTGTTTTAAATGTTTAATGCTGGTAAGAGCGATTCTGAAGCGTTTCCCAGATTGTTTGTTATGAAATGTTAACTCAACGCCATGTTGTTTTCCTTAGCGACATGTTGCGTGCACATTAACAGGAAGTCAATGTGGTCACATGATTGCAATGGCAGCTCTCATCTGTTGGTTCAAAACAGTGCTCTAATGTTATAGTTCAATATAATTGCAGGGGACTTTTTTTTTAAAATATTTCAACAATGACAATTTGGAAAAAAACTGACAGCCGAACAAAACTTGGCGTTGGTGAGATTATGTTTATTCCATATTCTATTTAAAATTATTTGTACTGATTATGAATAACTGAAGAAAGTTAGATACAAGGAAGTGAAGTGACGAGCGAGGAAGTGGCACTTAGTGGGTTCCCTGTTTTCACGTAGTAAAACTAAATTGGAGTAATTTCATTATATTCATAATGGGAGTAGCATCGTCAGTCATTAAACAAATTATTTTAACTATTTTAAACCGCATTCGTCATAACTGTTATGTATTGGGCTAACAGTTCATTTTGTCCCATTAAAAAATAATTAAAACACTATTAATATTATTTTATAAACAAATAATATAATATCAATAAAGAATATCATTAAATTATCGGCTCTCCTCCGAAATTTTACACCCGCATTATGGCGCCGAAAAATATCCGTACTTGGCTCAGTGCTATTAAAAATATGGCAAAACTAGGATCAGCTGCGTATAGCGAAACAAAAGCTCTAACAGGCTCTGAGCAATATGTAAATTGCGAACCTGTTTCTTATTGTTTCTGATTACCTGACAATTTTAAGAGACGCAACACTGCAGACGATAGTTAAGCTGAGTTAAGAACTGACCAGTGACTTCGTAGCATTTTGTGATCATTTCCATAAGTGCTCTTTTCTCATCTTCATAAGCACTCACATAGTTTCCCTTTCCTTTAAGTAAATGCTAAATTAAATGTGCTCCCTTTCCCTCTGCAGTAGCCAGCGAAGAGTCAGTATGCTAATAGTATGTGTTGCAACCTGATTAAAAGTCTGCCTATGATTCCCCCCTCTGTTGAATATCTTCCAGACCCCTGCTGACTCCTGGCTGAATTAGTCTATCAGTGTTTGAATACTTGGTCTGTTCTGTTGCACTGTCCACATAATCCCAGAGAGTCTTCACCATTTCTGCTTTGATCAAAACATACCTCACCAGACAGAAGAACAGCTGCAGCCAATCTGTCAGCTTGCTCGTTACCTGAAAAACCCGAATGTCCTGGGCAGAAGATTGAGTTTATGCTCTAGATCAGTCTTATTAAGCGAAGCATGCCATCTGTATGCCAGTTTCTATTTTTGGAAGCATGCTCAGGGAGTCCATTACAGTGACCAAATGTTGGGCTGTGCTGCTCTCAGACCATCAGAAAGCTGCCGTTACCGTGCCTCCTCCATTCTCATACTGGATGTTGTGATGTTATACGTGAGGCTCTCTGGTTTCAGACAGTGCCCATCAACCTTCGCAATAAAACCCCACCCACTATTTTAATCTCTCACTGCAGTCATATCTGTGCATATAAAGATGTCTCCTGGGTGTGATTAATTAGCTCTTGCACAGATGCCTCAGTTATCCACTCCCTGTACCCTCAGTCCAAGGTAACTTCTGATATCTGGTAAATTGTCTTCCGGCTCCCATCTCTTTCAGAACCTCTGGGTTGCTCTTTTTGGCTGTTCAAGGTATTTTAAGCATTCTTTTATAAAACCACATCTCTGACGCCTTAAGAAATTGTTTGGCCTGCCTACCGATAGTCCATAAATCATAGCCAGATGTTAAAACTGGATGAATGTAGCGAGCAAGAATGTCAGCCTAGTGTACTGTAGTGCAACTCTAGCTCTCCTGCCTGCGGTTGCACTTTTTTTTAAAGTAAGTATCTGCGTTATGTATCATATTTATTCCACGAGCCCCAGCCATTGTGAACAGTGAATTAAGTACTAGTACTGTAACTGCCTGAGTGAATGCACTTAAGGAATAGGGCCTGGGTAACCAGTAAGCGGCTTCAGGAACTGGGTGGAAAGAGCAGTGTCCGGAGTGGGTGCTGTTGGAGGGGGTGAAATGAGAGGGAATGCTACCAGACAGGGATTAGGGTTTCGCCGTAGGCCAACAGTTAGGGAAGGCTGGGGGATATGGATTGCAGCATGTATTTGTCTATACATTTTATTGTAATATACCGTGATAAAAAGACTTAACGAATTTGGGAAATGCATGGAAAAACATTTATATATAAACGAAACACATATATATGTATACACACACACATATGCCTTGAGACCACCCAGCCCCCTAACAGAAGTCAGCTAATTCTGAAAGCTACCTCATGTACACTCAACTAATTAGGGAGTTGAAGATTACACATAACAATGCTGAATATAGGTTAAGTGCATTCTGTTCACCATTTCTTGCTCTGAGGGCATGACTCTCATTGTGTTGAATTCGTAGACCACTTGACAGAGCTATTTCGGGATCAGTGTGGCTATTTCAGTTATTTGTGTTTCTAAGTGTGATAAAGTACCTGATGCTCTATATACTGCTCATTTAATTGGCTTTCCAGTTTCCTGAAGTGCTATGAGACTGTGCTCACACTTGCTGTTAATTAATGTAACTGATAGATGTAAGGTTGCAGAATCATTTAGCGTAATTAGCACTATTAACAGATTTGTGTATGTTTGTGCGTATGTATATGTGCGTGTATTCATTCATTGTCATGTTGTGCCATTATCTGTCACCTACAGCTTGTAGTCTATTCCACCATTCCTTTCTTTCCTGTACAGTCACTTTGATATTTTGGCTACTCTCATCAGATTATCAGATTAAATTAGATTAGAATTTATACCCCATTAGGACATCACACAAGAAATGAACACCTGATGACACAAAGTGCCACCATGCAGATGAGGATCACCCGGGAAACCGCTTTCAGCCATTAGACCATATTTATGGTGGAGCTGTATTATGGCCCCTGGCAAGAGACAGGGTGGGGCTATAAAATAACGAAAATTTACATCTCACAAGGAGATGGCTAGGTTATAGTTAATATTACTTACTCTCTCATCAATGTTTACCTTAGCATTTCTCTCTGGGTGTTTGTTTATGCATTTATGTGTATGAACAGAGAGAGAGAGAGACACATGTATACTCTCTTTGTCTCCCCTTGAATTTGCCAATGGACAATAAATAATAAAAACTTAAGGAATGGGATTTTTTTTGTCTAACACTTTTTGTTGTGAGAACATTCTAAAATGTCAACCAACAGAGATCTAAAAGAATAATACAAAGACACAAGAAGGAATAAGTACCTGATTATCTCATGTCATCTGGTGCCTTTTTCTTTCTCCACCCCTACCTCCTTCTTTTGGAGCATTTAGATATGTACATTGACGTATGTACATGACACATAACTTCGTGTATGTGTGAGATCATGTTTTTATTCATGTGTGTGTGCATGCTGTTTCTCTAATCATCGTCATGATGCACTTGATGATCCTAAAGTTCCTCTAAAATACTTATCTTATATAGTTACGAGCTGTGAAATAATTATAAACACAGTATATATCTTCTTCTATTCCACCTTGTACCTTAGCGAAGTGTCAGGGGAAGAGGTAACATTCGTTGATTAGCTCTGTCAAAAAGGTTGAGGTTGGTGTTCATTTCTGTAAGGCTATTCTTTATGCCAATCCTATCTTTTCCGAGGTCGTCCCCTCGCTCTGTACTCGTTGTAACGTTTCACTGTGGCTCTCTGTGACAGATAGTACCGAGGCATTCTTGTTAGGTGTCTAAACCACTTTATTTGTTGTTCTTTGGTGACTTTTAAGACTGGCTTTATTCCGAGCATTCGTCTCTCGTATTTTATCTTTCCTTGAAACTCTTGCAGCTCTTCTGAGTCATTTCATCTCTGTTGTCACAATTTTATTTTCATTAGAGGATGTAAGTTTCCACTTTTAGCACTGATAGCATTGTGATGGCCAAAAATAGTACTGATAAGATTAACTTTAGTTAGTGCTCTGGGGTGTGTGTATATTATATATATATATATATATATATATATATATATATATATATATATATATATATATATATATATATATATATATATATATATATAATATTTTTATTGTAATGTTTTGTTTTTAAAGCAGCTCATTCAGCAATGTTAGGTAAGTTCTGGAACAAATCCAAGTCCAGAAATGGACAAACAGCCAGAACTTTCCTGCTGGTGTTTACACCCAGTGAATACAAAGATGAAGAAGACGTTTGTATGTCATTTTGAATCTTAAAAAAATCACTGTGATGTTTTGAAGAGAAAAAAAAGTGTTGTTATGTGTATGTCAACAAATGAACCACTCATTTGTACATTCAACCACATGTGTATTTTATAATTCAGCTATATACAACTTCCACAACAATGACGAACACAAAATATCACTGGACATTGGAGACACTGTTCAGATTCTGGAGGAAACGGATGGTATGAATATTTGTTTCACAAAAATTTGTAACATGACTGCATTGTTAATCATATTCTGTTATTTGTGTACTTGAATTTCTGTTTTTGACCATTTTAGTTCTTTTTATTAAAGAGCTGTACTGTGGTAGAATAATTATTGGAGAGTAATTGTTCTAACCCTTACATTACTGCACACTTATCATCATCATCAAGTGCCTTTCCATGTAGTGTGGACAGTCTTCACATCTTGTTATTTACAGCAGTCAAATGTTTGCCCGTTGTGAATTTGTTACTGGGTTTTTAAAAAAAACTTCAGCCATTGCGTGCCTTATTGTGAGTTCTGGCCACACTGTAAACAAAGACATGTATTTTGAATAATTTACAATCTCAGGCAACCAATGATTATTAAGATTTGTGAAAGCAACTGCTATAAAATGGTTTAAGCCCAGAATTATGCAGACAAATGGACATGATTTTCACCTTTCCTTTACCCCGATGAAACAGAGTTTTTAGTGTAGTCGATTTTGTGTTACAGTTAGAAGGATTAATTTATTTGCTTTATTTTAATAAATTGTTACTGTAGGGTGAACCTGACAAGATACATCGAAATATGTCAGGCAGTAAATTGTGCATTGTTTGTATCTACTTTGTTTAAATTTACAGCAGTATTTATTTTTGTTTGAAGGGGCTGACTAAATACAGTCAAGAATGTTCTCTCACTGCTATTTTTTCTTCCATAAATTTTCTCAGTTATGACATTTTCGAGCTCTCTTCTTTTAATCTGGTAAAGAAATGATGACTGCCTCTTTCTGATGTTTTTGTTAAGGTTTTCTTTGTTGCTTATTCTCTTTCTAATTTAAGCTAATCATTTTGGCTGTTCAGGGAATTTTTAGTGGCAATGGACTAAACGGAGAGGTCATTATAGGAGGCTGACTAAGTCAGTCAATGGGTAAGCTCTCTGTCTATACAGTATCTCAGAACTCTGTGACACTGCCATCAACAGGTTATATTGATAATCTCCTCAGGGGAGAGTTGGCTTTTGTTGTTTGGAGGTTGCAAACATACTTCATGATTTCAGTATGCCCAGAGATTCTAGCTGCAGGTAATTTGGCAGCAGACCATTTAAATATGAAAAACGGACAGAAAGCAATGGCAGACTACTGAACGTAGGATATTCTTGTGAAGCCAAACAGCTGAATAAAGGATACCTTTTTAAACTTTGCTGCCTTGCACAGTTTATCTTTGAGGATCAAAGCTAGACAGTTGTGTTTGTCCAGAGTAAATTATGCTTTTTTTCTTTTCTTTACATTACACAGGAAAATGTAAGTTAATGGTGAAATCTATGGTGCTGAAGATGTTTCTAAACATTTTAGTACTTGCCATGGGAGACCATCTTTTCTTGTTTACTTGCCATGTGAGACCATCTTTTCTTGTTTACTTGCCATGTGAGACCATCTTTTTTTGTTTGCTTGCCATGTGAGACCATCTTTTCTTGTTTACTTGCCATGTGAGACCATCTTTTTTTGTTTACTTGCCATGTGAGACCATCTTTTCTTGTTTGCTTGCCATGTGAGACCATCCTTTCTTGTTTACTTGCCATGTGAGACCATCTTTTCTTGTTTGCTTGCCATGTGAGACCATCTTTTGTTGTTTACTTGCCATGTGAGACCATCTTTTCTTGTTTACTTGCCATGTGAGACCATCTTTTTTTGTTTGCTTGCCATGTAAAACCATCTTTTCTTGTTTACTTGCCATGTGAGACCATCCTTTCTTGTTTACTTGCCATGTGAGACCATCTTTTCTTGTTTACTTGCCATGTGAGACCATCTTTTCTTGTTTACTTGCCATGTGAGACCATCTTTTCTTGTTTGCTTGCCATGTGAGACCATCTTTTCTTGTTTGCTTGCCATGTTAGACCATCTTTTCTTGTTTGCTTGCCATGTGAGACCATCTTTTGTTGTTTACTTGCCATGTGAGACCATCTTTTGTTGTTTACTTGCCATGTGAGACCATCTTTTCTTGTTTACTTGCCATGTGAGACCATCTTTTTTTGTTTACTTGCCCTGTGAGACCATCTTTTCTTGTTTACTTGCCATGTGAGACCATCTTTTCTTGTTTACTTGCTATGTGAGACCATCTTTTCTTGTTTACTTGCCATGTGAGACCATCTTTTCTTGTTTGCAGAATACTTCACTGTATATACAACACGCTTAAAACATGATTTCTCTTTTTCAGAGTGGTTTAGAGGATTTGCTATTAAGAACAAGACAAAAAAAGGAATTTTCCCCCGTAACTACATTGCTCTGAAAGAAGCCTCTGTGCACGTCAGTGGGTAAGTTAATAGCAGTAAAACATTTCAGAAGAGTCACGCTTTTAAGACACTGCATTCCTCTTACACTGTAACATGTTCATCAGAATGTAATGTATTATAGTAGATGTTAATTTACAGTAGGACATCAGCCTCTGTGTGGAAATCCAAAGCCGGTCTGTCTGTATATATAAGTTTTTTTAAAATATGCATGGTATAGTTTGAGGGTCACTATCAAATGATCATTCCTCCCCCTTCCCCGCTATCTTTCAGTCTCCAGCTTTGTGTATTTATTAAATTGTTGGCACCATTATGTGCCATAACAAAACAATATAAAAAATGTGTCTTTGTCTTTCTTTCCATAAATCTTTTAAGTTGTCATACGGTCGACTTTTTATTTTAACTGTGTCACTAAATATTGCCATTTTCTCATGTTTATTATGCACTTTTTTTGTCTTTTAGTTGCTGAAAAGATTTTTTTTATTTAATTTGACTGTCTAAAGAATTGTAAGCATTCGTCTATAAAATAATATCTCTGAGACCTTAAAGAATGGATGAGTAGACTGCAAGCCCTATGCGACATGTGATGGCACAACAGGACATTGAGGATGAGGCCTCACAGAGAATTGTTGTTGCTTGTTTTACTAATTGTCCAGGACTTACAGGGATTTGTTAAAACATTCTTTGAAGCTTGTAAGAATTCTTTGTTGTACCCTTCAGTGACAGTTATTTACTGCATAAAACAGTTTTTCTTTGCTGGTCCTATTATGTTCCCTATCTCTATGAAAATATCTTCCACCTTATCAATTTGTCAGGATACCGGATATATGTACCACCATAAATACTGCTGGCTTCAATTGTACATTTAGTCATAATCTGTTTCTTTGATATTACCTTTACTTGTTTTGCTGATAATCAAGCTAAGGTCACTTTTTTAACCTTTGTATCTCATTTTGCTTACATTCCTCTGTCTTTTTACAATGAAGTCAGTGTCGTCATTATACAGGCTCATAGTGACCCTTGAAACAGTTTTCAGGACCTTCAAAAAAAGCTGGAAAAGTTCTAAGAAAAAAAAAAAGAAGAAATGAAAAGATTGTTTATAAAACCCATGTGTTGTCATTGCTGAATGTTATCTGTAGTAGAGGTTGATGGCAGTCCTTCTCCCTCTTCATGCATTACACTTGTTTGACCAGTTTTAAACTTCTCAATCTTCAAAAACGGGTTTTCCATGATTGCATTTCCACCCATATTGTGATGATAGTCTACAGTGAATTTGTGAACCTTTGACATTCTTCGACAATTGGAATCATATCACTGCTTGTTGTTTCTTTTTGGTGCAAACTTCTAATGGAATGGCCATGATCTATCTGCAACAGAAGGGGAAAAAATGGTGGAATTAAGATCAAACTTTCATAGCATTACTACAACAGTATAATAATAAGGCTTTTGTCTTGACTACAAGTAGTCTGGCTATGGAAATGGTGGCAGTGATAAGAACAATGATATGGCTAGAGACACATCATTTTACCCATGCATGCTTTCTAAATGATTTCATGAGCATGCTTAAGAATATAGAGACAGGATCGATTCGAAGAAAGTGATTGGAGTCTCTGAGGAAATCTTGTCTGATAGGAATTAGTTTTTGTGTGTGCCAGGATACTCTAGGGTAAGAGGGAATGAACAAGTGGATTGGCTTTGCTGGCAGGGCCATGTTAGGTACAGGACTGAGCCGATCTTCTCAGTGCTCTCAAGGAGGCAGGATGAGAAGATGATTCAGGAGAAGACATTGAATCAGCAACACTCAAAAGACTACAAGAACTTCAGGTCAAAAGAGGTGTCGCCAAATATGAACACTATACGGGCAACCAAAGAAGATTAGTAAACCAACACACAACTGGTGTTATCAGTTACCACATGCGAGGGATATGCTGAGGCTTGTCTAGTGTGCAGTGAGGATAATTTGTCGATTAACTAACTAACAATGAAATAAGTGTGGACAGTGCAAGAAGAGTTATGTCAAACGTATAGATAATTTTTGACCTTCCCTCATAGAATGTGCGTAGCCTAACACTTGACACCTCGGTGGCAGTATCTGCCATGAGACCTTACCTTACTGTTTACAACTGTCTTCTGCAGGGCACATGAAACAGTAACAAGCACAGAGCATCCTCTAATTACAGAACTCACAAATGTCCTCAGGGAATGGCATGCCATATGGAGACAGATGTATGTGGTATGTATTGTTTTCTTTCAGCAATATTACTCTCACTCTTGTAAATTAAAGGACCATTTCTCACGCCTTCAGGTGTATTCTACGTATAAGGCTAGACCTATGTTTTATAGACCAATCGGCACTTGATGGGTGATGTGGTCAGCATTATAAGACTGCCTTTACTTCCCAGGACTTTACATGGCGCCCATTTAACACTGGGTTAACTTGGGAGTCAGGGTAATTTTTGGGGAGAAAATCCGGCTGTGTCACGACCTGAACCCACAACCTTCAGATGTGCAGGAAAGCATCTAGCCATCACACCTTTGTGGCTCCCACTTTTACTCTTGGGGTCTCATATATTCTAGAAACTTTAATAATTAAAATACATTTGTTCATATTATTTTTAAGCTGAACAAAATTCCTTTGTCACCTTTTCTTCCTAGTAGGAATACTTGATTTTTTCTTCATTTTTTTTAGGAGCGAAACCCACTGCTAGAACAGGTCCAAGAGATGATAGGAGAATTGGTAGAGAGGAGAAAAAAAATACTGGCTCGAATCTTCACTGTAGTAAGTATATCTGAATAATTCTCACTGTTTTCATGTCAGTTGTATATATTGAACATAGGAAAGAAAAGCTGATCATACTGAAGCATTTACATTTTATAATACTGAACACTGCAGTGGCAAAATCTGTGTTGGTCATGTAGCTGTTAAGTGATGAAGAAGCCTGATAAATGTAATGAATGTTAGCCATGAAAACCCAGTGGTTGGTGTGCTTATCACTTTTGGATTCTGAGGAGAAACAACATTTACTTTATTTACCCCATAAGTACCACTCTGCAACTGACCCATCATCATGAAATGGATACTGGACAATATGCAACATTTTTTGGGAAAGAAAGAACTCCATCTCCAACCACAGCTTTAAAAGTTTGGCCTTACTTTACATCTTTATTGGAGTATCTATTTTGGGACTACATATATTATATTAAACTTGAAGTACTGATAAGTAGATTTTTTTTCATAATGAGTTGGGTTGATTCAAGAACTGACATCACAGCACTCGGGGCATTCCCATAAGCGCCCCGTGACCATCTTCAGCAGCCAGTGCAGAGTTCCAGTAATGGTACCAGTAGCATTCTAATTTAACGTTCGTCTCACCTTTTCTCTGAGCCTCGAGCATCTGCCAGAACCCCTCGTCACTCCCCACTGCATCAGTCTCAACAGACTGGTCATCCATCTGCTCCTCCGAACTGTACATGCTCTCCCACAAGGCACTAACCACGTCTGCCTTATCATGCACCAATATTCCACCAAGTTGTGCAGAGCCAGCCAGTCTGTCCTCCTGTTAATTTCTTAACACACTGGCGGTCCCAGAGAAAAAAATATTTTTTTCAGAATTTGCTCATTTAAGTATTTTTTTTCATCTTCCACCTCAGTCCATTATCCCTTATGGAATTGGTGAACATTGTGTCTCATAAATGTATGGTAATGAACACTACCTATATTCTTGTTACAACATTGTACTCATGTTTGGGATTTGAACTTCCAGGATGAACTCAAAGAAGTTCAGCAGAAGGTCACATCACTCATTGATCAGGGTAATGCACTGCTGAAGCTAGATCTGGTTGTTAGAGATGAACAAGGCAATATCCTCAACCCAGATCAGACTAGTATTGTTGAACTGTACAAAAGTGTAAGTTTTTTACTTATTTGTTGTTGTTGTTCATCTTGTCAGCACAAACAATGATCATATGTGCTGTAGTCCTTTTAAAAACAAAATGTTAAGCACAGAGGGCATTTGTCAACTAAACTGATTTGTCATGGTACCAACACTGTGGTTGATTCATGTTAGCACATGCAGCAACAGATTTTCTTAGACAACTGTTAATCAGGTATTGTGACAATTTTTTAAACTCTACAGAAGTTACTTCCCATGTATGCAGAGCTGAGTTATGAACCAACATCACAGCACTCAAGACATTCCTATAAGTGCTTCATTCCCATCTTCTACAGCCCACTCAAAGTTCTAAGTCTAATAGTAGCTAAGCAGGTTGATTATATGTCCATCTTGCCTTTCTTCTGGGTGTAGAATATCGACCATATCCCCTGATCATTCCCTGCTGCACCATTGTCTCCAGATCATACTGTTTTTCTGCAGTGATAGGATACACACTTACTGCCACAAAATGTGACAAATATAAAATGTTGCTAATTGGTTAGGTGAGATCCTACACGAAAACAACAAATACAAGCTCTGGGCACTATACTTCTGAGAAGAAAAGTAAATTGTTTGCCACTGATAATCCATATTAAAAGCAAATAAAATTAGCAATGCAACCGACAGTGAACTTCATAAGAGGCAACTGTGAAGTGTTGCATGAGACTGGCTGCCTCATCTTCTAGCAAAATTCAACCAGTGTTGAATAAGTCTATGAAGGACTTTGCAGGAATTTGTTGAAGTTTGTGCTCCATTGAATGATGAAAGACAGAGGAAGAACTTGTTCTTTACCTCACTATTTACCTATTTCCGGAGCCAGAATAGGTATCTTTAAACTTGTTTATCTCTGTGATTGATGTCTTTTTGTATCTTCTTTGTACTTACATTTGGATAACACTCCAACCTCCCTGAATAAATTCTGTTGATGCTGTTGGTGATTAGATGGGGTGACTTCCTCAGTATGTTTCTTTTCCAGATCATTTACAGAAAATTGTCATTTATTTCCAGTTGGAAAACGTGAAATATAGGCCAGTTTTAGAGAAATGTTATTATAACAGGTAAACAAAGAAGTTCTGATGACAAGCCTTTATCAGCAGACTTTAAAAAAAAAAGGAAATTAGTATTAGGCGTTTCAATATTATGTGTCCATGAAACAAAAATGAGCAAGCACATGAAATGAAATATAAGGTATGTAACTGAATTTCTCAGAATTGTGAATGAATCTTTCAGTTCATTTTTTAAAATCTGTTAACGTTGCCACACCATCATTTGTTGTAATTGACCTATACTTTTTGTGTTTAAACTGTTTATATTTTCTCAGTTTTTTCCCACATTTCAACCCATTTAATTTAACAATACTGCATTTTTGAGGTTGCATCAACATTAGACCCATGCTTGCAGGTAGGGGATCTTACCACTCTAGAGATGGAACCTGAGTCACTTTTTACCAACTTCTGTGCATGTGGCTTTTACTCACCTTGTCAGCATGTTGTGTTGTTATGCATCATATAGGGCTCTAGTCTTTTGTTCCATTGTGTCCCTTGCAAAACTTTTTGATATCATAGATAGTCTAGTGCCCTTGGTCTCTCTCAACAATCTTTATCAGGGTTTCTTTTGGACTCATTTCCTTATTGGTTTTCCATTTCACTGACTGCAAGATGATTCTCTGTTCATTTGCTCTCATGATGTGCCAAGTATATTACCATCTTCTTTGCCTTATAAATGATGATACAAGCAGTTGTTCAGACATTTTCACTTTTCTTGAAGTCATCCCATTTAATATTAGTCAGTTTTTCTTAAGAATTTGTTTTCAAATGTTTTAACGTTCATTCCATGTCTTTAGAGATTCTCTAACCTTCACTGGCGTGAGTTAAAATTTAAATAACATTACAATAAAAAATGTGTACCTTGGTTTGGAAACTATAATGTAGTTCCATATTTGTTTCAATCTTTTAAAAGCTGCTGTTGCTGTCCATTGAGTATCATAATCTTTTTCATTGTGTTTTCCTTGAGAATTAACTTGCCACCTGAGCACATAAATCTGTATTTTTTAAATTTATTTTTTTAATGACATTTGATTGATCTGTTAATATAGAATTTTGAATTAAGAATCAACATCATAGAAATCGGGACACCCACATAAGCGCTCTGTCCCCATCTTCAGCAGCAAACGAAGAGTTCCAATTCCGATGGCACCAGTAACTTTCTGATTTTATATCCGTCTCGCCTTTTCCTTGAGTGTTGAGCATCGGCCAGATTCCCTGACAACTCCTCGCAACACCATTCTCCTCCGACCATAATGATCTTTTTGCACTTCAGCACTGTTTACTCGCTTCTAACATCTAAGTGGTGAAGAACCGGCAAATCTATCTGCCTGTTCATTTCCCAACACACTAGCATACCTGGAGAGAATATCCAAAGGATGCTAACTACCCAGGATCTGTGAAGTGATGCTTGATCTGTTTTTCATGTCTTAAGTATGTTGAATATATATTTTAACTACTTTATTGCACATTAACTGTTGCTATATCTGTCCTGTCTTTCAAGCACGTGGAAGCTGCTGAGAGAATTCATAGAGAAACAGTAAGTAATTTATGGAAGTGTTTGTAGCTGACTTTTGGAGACTGATTTCTACAAATATTGTCTTCTAATGCTATCTCTGATCACTTGTAATGATTTTCTGAAATGTCACTGTTACTAATTATTATAAGGTAGAAAATTATGTTTATTCACTTTATCTCTCCTTTTTCCAAGTCTGTCACATTTCCAAACCGTTTTTTTTCCTGATTAGTTAATTACGTTTAACATGTTTTGCTTTTCTTTTTTCTTTTGATTGAACTCTGTTATTTTTTAATAGTATGTGATGTCCATGGTTGTGCTAGTTTGGTTCCCAGTCTTAACGTCATTTGTTTTCTTTGAAATGTACTTTTTCCTCCACTTGTTTTGTTTCAGTTTAGAAAGCCTGTATTGATTGATTTCTTTAATTGCATTCTTTGTTTGATAGATTGTGATGTAGGTACTTTGTTTGGGTGCCCTTTCAATTTGAAAAGCCTGTGTTGATATCTGTTAATGTATTTTCTCCCTGGCTTGAGAACAGTGAATGAAATTCTCCCCACACGGAAGTGTCAGTAGATATCTACAATACAACAGTCTCTAGGAGGCATCGTCTTTTAAGATTTAAATTGCAAGTTTCATAAATCTAACAGTATTGATATGCGATAGAAGACACCACTACACAACTCAAAGATAATTACACAGTCACTCAAATTATTATATTAATGATAAGCGAACTGTTAACTACACCAAGCAGTGAGACAGAGTTAGTTGAAAGAGATCATAATGAAAACATACACGCCGATCCTGAAGAAGTACATCCCCAACTGAACAAAATACTTTTCGCAGACGACCAAAGCATAATACATGAAAACGAAAAAGAACTTCAAATCCACGTAAATGCGCTACACACAGTCTGCAACGAATATAACATGAAGATCAGCATCACCAAAACTAATTCTGAAAATAAGTAGAACACCTAATATACTAACTATTCAAGTTAACAACGAACAACTCAAACAAGTGCAGCAATTTAAATACTTGGGGAGCATCTTCACAGATGATGGAAGAATTGATAGGGAACTTGAGGCAAGATGTCAAAAGGCGAACCCAGTAACTTACCAACTCTCCCCACTGCTAAAACACCCAAGCATCACTATGGCACTAAAACGACAACTGATAAATTGCATGTTTATACCAACCCTCTGCTACCAATGCCAAACCTGGTCCCTAACAAGAGCACCGGAGAAAAAGATCACGACGTGCGAAATGAGATGCTTACGTAAGGCTGCCAATGTCACAAGGAGAGACAGAGTTCGAAACGAGAACATTAGAGCAATTGTAGGAACCACACCATGCCTGCAATACATAAAGAAGCAACAAATAAAGTGGTTTGGCCACTTGATGCGAATGCAAACCGACCAACTGCCTCTACGAGCATACAACGAACAGCACTACTGCCCTAGAGCAAGAGGCAGACTGAGAGTATGATGGATAGACAATATATCAGAGATCCTGAGGCAACACGGACTAACAACAACACATGCAACACACCTGGCCCAGGATAGAAAACTGCGACTCCCCACTACGCTGTGAGGCAATTGTGGACAAGACAAGACTCAAATTATATGAATATTTAGAAGATAGCTGTATCAATCAACAACTTGGAAATGATTCTGACACTGCGAGAAGTTAAATATAAGGGGACTGTCTGCGTTGCTTGACACTATAAACTTGAGTGTCATTTTGAAGGTCACTGTCCTAATGGTTTTGTGACCACTGATGGTTGTCTCTTCCTGCTATATTCCACGATCTCACTTGTTCTATAAACGCAGGTTACGATAAAGTGGATTGAATCACTTCCTAGTACTTAGTTCAGAGCCAAAGAACAGGGATCAGCCGGCCTTAAATACAGGGCACTGCCATACTCAGACAAGAATGTTAACCTGTTCCAACAAGTAAAAGACAGTACGACTCTTGACATTCATTGGTATGTGTCTGATGCACATACATAGTGAACCTGGGGTGAGTTCAGCTAATCATCTCTGCTCAGTCTACATCAGCGAAGGTCGTAATGTCGCTCATATGGAAAATGCTAGACAAGATACTACATAAAGAGAAGTGAAATGAGGTGTTATTATGTTTCACGGAAGATAAAGCAGTGGGTGGCAAGAGAGATCAAGATTGTCGCACTGGCTTGAGCTGCGGTCACGCCAACAGCAAACTTACAGAGGATCATGGAGACTCAGGACTGTATTCTTTATATGACAGCATGTGATATTCTATACTTATGCTAATTTTGCCATCGCTTACTTATTCCATTTCTTTGAACACGTCAGTTTAGGTGATTGTTAGAGAGTAACATGTAACAACAATTTTGTTAAAGAGTAACATGTAACAGTTTAGAAGTAAAAGCTGATATTATACAAATGAGATGTGCAAAATCAGTTTCCTTAATAAATCAGATGAGATGTGCAAAATCAGTTCCCTCAAATAAAGCCTGTTGCATGATCCAGTTGGATCTGAGGTAACTTAACATTGAAGGCCACACCAAGATGTGTGGAGGGAGGGAAAAAGACCATATGTACAGCATGGAGTCTTGTAGGCTTTTCGAGCAACAATAAAAAAAAAGAAAGAGAATAACTAATAGGTCTTATTTAATTATATCAGAAAACACTTTTGAAAAGTAACTATTTTTACTATAAAATGTAGAGCATAAATTTAAAATCTGTCAACATATTTCAGCATAAAAGGGACAGTGACATAGAAACAAGACCTAACTGGCCATCTTCGTTCAATCTCTATGTCATGCTGAGAAACTTTGTCTGTAAAATTGGTGAAGATTCAGATATCATCATGAATTTGTTCGATACCAGAGAGGAAAAGTTTATCAGGTATTTTACACCTTGGTACTTGTTCATCTGTGTTTAATGTTTAATTGAGAATCGACATCACTAAACTCTGGACATTCCCATTAGCTCTTCATCCCCATCTTCAGCAGCAAGTGCAGAGTTTCAATTCCAATGGTACCAATAGCAGTCTGATTACATCACCTTTCCCATGATCGTCGACCCAGTCCCCTGGTCTAACTTCACAGTACCATCCTCTTCAGGCAATGAAGATCCATTTTTGATTCCACACTATTCACTTGCCACTAAAGACCCCATACAACATCTAGCTTGTCATACATCAATTCACCACCAAGTTTTGCAGAACCTGCCTGTTCATTTCCTAATACACCATTGTTGGAAAATCTCCATAGTATGCTAACTACCCGAGACTTCTAAAGGCAGGCTTGCAACTCTTCACGCATACCAGTCCCCACCTTTGTCAACATGCTCTTTGGGTCGATTACAGTTACGGCATGTGTCTGCAGCTGATTCTCAAGAGCTAGCAAAAGGCTGCAGTTGATGCCTCCACCTCCATTCTTAAACTAGATGTTGTGGCATTATATGCTAGATTTTGTTGCACTAAATGACATCCTTTCACTTTTGCTAAGAACCCCTATGTGCTTTGTCTGCCTCTCAACACGGAGCCATCTGTATAGATTACTTCATCACCTGGGTGAAAATTGTCATTAATCATTTGTTGGACTTCTGATTCTGCAGAACCCACTGGCCAGTCCTTGCTCTCATGGCCCAGTATGATCAGAACCCCACACTTTTACTGGGACATTCTGACCCACTCCTCTCCTCACCCAATGTTATCAAGCTTGCACACATGTCCAATTGTGTCTTCAGTTTGCTCCATCCAAGACCTTGCTCTTTTCAGTCTGTGACCCTTAGCTGTATCGAGAGCTTCAAGCAGGAGGTTTTTCTTATCTGCGGCTACTCTGAGATATAACTTTGCTTGCAGCACCTTGAGCCTATCTGTATTATCACATTCATACTACTAACTGAGATATCTCTTGTACATCCCACAATTATCCCCATGGCTTCATTCTGTATGCGTTCAAGTTTCATCAGCTGACACTTTGATATGGTAAGCATTCCACGTCCATAATCTATCACTGACAGGATCACATGCTGGAATGTTGTTTCATGTCCATTGCTGCCATAACCTTCAGTATATTGAGTCCTTTTGGGCATTTCACCGCAACTGCCTCCACATGATCAATAAAGGACAGGCTTCTATTGAAAATGATACCCAGTTACCTAATTGCTTTCTCTTTTGATGTTTATGTCATTAATTTGTTCATCTATCATGGTTTAGTGATATCAGAGTAAATGTTACACATTATATTGTATGCTGTTATCTGTTTCTTAGATAGTGTTCACTGGCTGTAACTCAGAGGAAAGTTCTGGTTGTTCATCCACTGGAAACAAAACCAAACTTGAGTTTTGCATGCACATTTAAAAAAAAAATAGATCTGACTCATTTGTTTGCAGACTTGCCTCTCAGACTGATGTACTCCAACTTTGAAGATAACACCCCTAATTTATCGCCTCCAATAGTATGCTTTTAGAGAGGTACTTGGTCTATTCTCTCCCCCCACCCCCACCCCCCCCCCCCCATGGGGTTCAGAACCCATCCCATACAGGGTTTATGCTGTTATGAGACATAGTATTTCTTCTTTCAGATTGCTTTGCATTCCAGCATACATCAGTTTTTCTATGTTTTAATGTGTGTCAAGTCTGGTAGTCTGGTAGTCTTAGTTTCAGCTTCATAGCAAACGGGTCACCCCATCTTTGCTCCGCTCCTGTGCCATGTAATTTAAGTTGCTGGAAGTTCGCAATTTTTTAAAAACAAATTTTACTAAGCCTTTTAAATTAGGGATCTGTAAAATGGATGTGCACGTGGAGTGGGGTATACTCTTGGCGGTGTCAAAAAAAAAATAGTACAAACTTACTAACATTCATCATATATCAGTTGTTGTTTAAGATGTATTTGACAAAAAGCAAATAGTGTACAAAGATAGGAAACTAATCTCTTGATTTTGAAAACAGTCACCAAAATTAGACTCCTAGATCAGGTCTGTGTTCTTTACCTGAATATGGTGGTCATATGATTTGGTGAATCAAATGACTGTCATTGCATAAAAGGATAGTGATGAATCACAAAGTTTGATTTCATATGTCACCACAGTCATCAAATAGAAGTCTTCTCATTCTTAGCGTTCGTCAGTGGTAAATTCCGGCGGAAATTTATGTTTTGTTTGTCCACTTCTGGACTTTTGTCTTTTTTGCGTGCACATCCATTTTACAGATCCCTAATTTAAAAGGCTTTGTAAAATTTGTTTTTAAAAAAATTGCGAACTTCCGGCAACTTAAATTAAGCACTTCCGGCAACTTCCGCTCAGGCGGCGTGGATTGGGGCTAAACTAGATAGCTTCGACTCATGAGCTGCAGCTACCGCATATCCTGCAGCTTTCTTCATTTTATTTGCTCGTGAGTCCCAGCCATCTAGTTTAGCCCCAATCCACGCCGCTCACGTGGAGTGGGGTTTACTCTTGGCGGTGTCGGTACGGTCCCTGGAAGTGCGCAATTGACACGTAACAGGCTCTGTTAGGGTATATTTTCGGCCTCAATAATTTGGGACTGTTATTGGGAAGATAGCCAAAAAAATTACATGGAAAATCCTTAGTCACCTTTTAGGACATGCTTTTTATTTTTAGGGAAGCAGTGGGTCTGTTTTTTTTTCTCTTCCTCCCTATAATGGGGCAGAGAACCCGTATAGGAAATTAAATGTAATTAAAGTTGACATCAATAAGTGGTTTAATCACAAAACCACAACATGATACTGCATATTTTATGTTTGTGTGTGGGAGTTTGACAAAAAAATAGGGGCTGAAAATAAGTATTTTGTCTCAGAAGATTTACTTTTTTCTTTTTGTTTTCTCCAATCAACAGTGAGAACTATGTGGTCAAATGGGGCAAACAAGGTGTGCCAAAGGATATTGACATGTTAAATAATTTCAGAGTTGTCTTCACAGTAAGTTTTACTGAATTATTTGTTTGACTGTTCTGAAACTTAACTAGTGCACAGAAATAACTTTTTGAAATGTTTGCTTAAAAGAGAATGAAGTATACAGTTTAGCAACTGTCAATATTTTTGGTCAGCATCTATCTTCTTCGTGCTCACCGGCTATAAACTCTGGCAGAAAGTGTTAGTTGTTTATCCATTTTTGGACTTTTCTTGTTCTAGCACTTGAGTTTTGCATGCACATCTGTTTTACAGATCTGGCTTAATTGTAAGCAGACTGTTGGTTTCTCAAAGGAAACACCCCTAATTAGTCTTTTTTTTACAGCATGCTTGTTAGAAGGTTATGGGTTTTTTTTTTTTTTTTTTTTTTTTTTTACAAAATGGAATCTACGTAGGGAGGTCAGCATATAATTTCGTCAACAAAAATGTTAAAAAATTCATTTTGCTAGTCCATCTGATTTTCATTGAGCATATCTTTATGTGAACCTTTATTTTCTCAGGATCTAGGATCAAAAGACAGGATGAGAGAAAAGGTGTATCTTGTCTTCCAGATTGTCAGAATAGGTAAGTCTGTTTTTATTCACTGCATTAAAGTTGTAAAATAAAAAATTATGTGTAATTTTTAGGTTGTGAAAGCTTGAAAATATGCAACCATATCATGTTAAATATTCCCACATTTATTACTTTCTCATGTTAAAGGAATTTTAGCAGTATTTATGTATGTGCGCACACACATACTCACACCTGCTGCCTTTCACTGCGCACGGTCTATCCATTGTTTTGAGGCGCCGTTTTCAAGCCTAAACGTCACCACAACAGACCCATTCTTATACTTACCTACCACCCTCACTACAGCCGTGCTAAAAATATTTCAAGGTCATTCTAGTTAAGAGTCGGTTACATCCTGCCTCTGAGTCCCACTTTGGGACCTGTATGCAGGACCTGTCCATGTGTGGTTCAGGGTACCAGACTGGAATTCCCAAATGCCACCTTCCACATATGGGAAGCATTCTATTGCACAAGCTGTAATGTAATTTACGCCATCAGCTGCAAAAGATGTGGCATGAAATACATTGGTGAAACAGGTTTACGACTGGTTGACAGGTTCAGACAACATATAGTGGACGTGCAGAATGGCACCCTAAGACCAGTATCACTGCATTTCAATTTCCAGGACCACATGGAGATGACAGCCATTAAATCTTGCCACTCCAGCGACAGACTTTGTCTCTTGAAAATTGCTGTAATATACAATTATGGAACTCTCTCCTAGTGGACTAAACTGCCAACATAGCTTCATCTAAAATCCTGGGGGATTGAACCGCTTACACAGTTACATCTTATCATTGAATGATGGCCCCTGGCATTTTCCCTGGATATTTATTTTCCCGTTCCCTCGCCGGTTTATTGGCTAGACATCACCCTGGCTGCCTCAAGATACGAAGATAAGTGATATTGTGTGTTTTTGTAGTATTTTCTAATTTATGTAGGTGATGATGAAGGCTCCATAACCTCAACATTCACGTTTTGTTTGTGTTTGGTATATTGTGAAGCTCACTGATATACTTTTTGTTTGGTTTTATATCTTTCTCAGAGAGATAGAAAGAAAGTGAAATGGCATTGTGTTCGGTGAAATTAATTGACAGAGTGAAGAAAGGGCGTTTAATAATGTTAACATTTGTGAAGTATATGTCATTTATGTAGCAGCAGAGCTTGTTTTAATTGTGATAAACAACATAATTGAACTGCACACTTTTTGAATGCAAATGATCTTCAGAAACCTTGTTTTATTATTTTGAGCATCTTCTCCCATGTCTAGTCTGTAACTGAACTTCCAATCCTCTCTCTCCTCTGATGGTCTGGTAATGTTGACATGGCTTGTACTGTTATTTCTAGTGTGTTTTCAGAATTTTTTTTTTTTTTTTTTTTTCTTACATAGATTTGTTGTTGTTGTTCTGCGTAATGAGTGGTACTTCTGCTTTTCTTACATAGATTTGTTGTTGTTCTGCGTAATGAGTGGTACTTCTGCTTATACACACACTAGTAGGGAAAAAAGCAACGACCACTGTCTTGGTGAGAAAGTGCACTTTATTGACTCTTTGTGCCAACAGTGATCTGCAGTTCTGGTGTGGGATGGTTAGATTTGGCATATCTGACAACTACCTTATTCATGTTTACCTTGTCTGTGCAAGCTTCAAAATTTTGCTGGGACTGGCACGTTTTTTGTAACTAGTTCTTAAAGGGGACAGTGAAGGATATTTTGTGTGATTTACACTGGCATAGGAAAGGAGCATTTATTGGGCAACCCATCTACAGTGACATTGGAACCTAGACTAACAACTAACAATTGCTCCTGTTTCCACTGATTATGAATACACCTGATCATGCCTGTGATGTCACTGGCTGAGTCAACTTATTACAGCCATGTTTGTGTTAGCCTACAGCAAACTGATCATTTAATTTGCTTTGCCTATCTTCACAATTGTTGGGTGTGAAAATTCTGCATCTGATGTGTATTTAATATTAATAGCCTCTTGTGTTTGGTCACAGGTGTCATGGATCCAAAGTACGTTGACAATAAAAAACAAACTCAAGGAATAAGAAGGCCCTATGGAGTTGCAGGTAATTTGTATGTAACAACAAATAACATGCCACATGACAGATTGACTTTTGCCCAGGATAAATAAATAAATAATCGTTTTACACACTCACTTCAGCAAAGCACTGAACAATCTGTAGTTCAGTTTTATTTTGATTGGCCTGTTTATCTACCGTATTTCTTATTTTGCAAGCCACCACATATTAGTTTTCTTTAGTCACTATTAACTTTCATACTGTTTACAATAAAACTTAATGGTAACATTTTAATGCTTGTATTTATTCTCCTGTCATATCAGAACCCTTTCAAGTGTAAAAGCAAATCGAGTAATAACTGTTGATGCACCCTCGTCTTCACAGGCAACATGCACAATGATACACTAAATTAACTGCATCATTGCATCTATCTATCAATCTATTGTCTTCTTCACTTTTACCGGGTTGCAGCCCAGTGTCGGGGTTTAAAATATTTGTTTTGTGCTTCTCGCGTGATTTGAGTGACAGTTTTCTGGATCTTCTGGCCGTATTCAGCTACTCCATCTATCCATTTTTTCCTGGGTCTTTCTCTGGCCTTTCTTCCCGATGTTCTACTGTAAAAGGCCTTATAGGCAATCTGATCCGGTTGCATTCTTACTAAATGGCCAAACCACTTCATTCTCTGTCTTTCAATATGTTTCATGCATGCTCTTGTTCCAACTTTGTCTCTAATGCTGATGTTTGTGACTCTGTCTCTTCGTGTATTGTTGGTGACTCTTCGGAGACATCGCATTTCAAAAGTAGTTATTTTTTGCATATGTGATTTGTTCATTGTCCACGTTTGGCACTGATAACATAACGTAGGGATGAAAATGCTGTTGATCATCCGTTGTTTGGCTGGTAACGAGATCTTTGGATGACGAAGAAGTGGGGCCAGTTGGTAGTTGACTGCATTGGCTTTTTGAACTCTAGCCTGTATCTCTTTATCGAGTCTTCCATCTTCTGTAGATATGCATCCTAAGTACTTGAATTCTTGAACTTGTTCTAATTGTATGTCATTGATCTTTATGTTTACATTACTGTGTTTCTTTCCTAAATGGTCATTACTTCAGTTTTTGAGGTGTTTATTTTCATGTCAAATTTTGTACAGTTAGTAAGCAATGAATCAACATGTTTATGTAGTTTTTGTTCTTCTTCTTGTAACAAACATTGGTCATCTGCAAAGAGTAGTTCATTTATAATATCTGTGTTTTGGTTTGACTCCTGTGCAATTTTATCCATATATGTGATGAAGAGTAGGGGTGATAGGACTTGTTGTACTCCTGATGTAATGGGGAACCAGTCTGTCATACCTTCCATTGTTCTTACAGCACTCTGGCTATTTTGAAAGAGAGCCATTATGTTTCCCAATAATTGACTCGGTACACCATATTCTTCAAGAATGTTCCATAGTTTATTTCTGTTAACCCTGTCAAAAGCCATCTCTTGATCAATGAATATAAGATTCTGGTGTTTATTATATTCGATTGTCTGTTCACAAATTTGCCGAAGAGTAAATATTGCATCAGTGCAGCTCTTTCCTTTGCTAAATCCAAACTGATTGTTACTTAATTGAGGTTCTAATATCACCCTCGCTTTTCGTTCTAATATTTTTGCAAACATTTTTCCTACATGGCTTTGTAAGAAGATACCTCTGTATGTTTCACAATCTCGTTTATCACCTTTCTTCTTCCATATGGGAACTATAATTGCTCTCTGCCAGTCAACGGGAACTTTCATTTCCTCCCAGGCCATATCGAATATTCTTGTCAGCCATTTTACTGCTGTTGCCTTACATGCAAGTATTATGTCTGTTGTAATACCATCTGTTCTGGCCGCTTTGCTCTAGGATCTTTTCAACTTCAGATTCTAATATATTAGGTTCTTGTTCTTGTCCAAATTTTTTTTATAAGACACTGGTTCTTGTGGTCCACTATTTAGTAATTCAGAAAAATATTCTTGCTATCTTCTTTTAACATTTTGGGATTTGGTGAGTGGTTTTTTAGCCTTGCTGTTTATGATCTGATGGGTTAAATTTCTCTTCTCTCAGTCTCATAGCCTTGATGCTTTGGTAGAACTGACCTGGTGAATCAGTGCATAGCCTTGCTAATTGTTCTCCGTAGTTTGCCCATGATTCTGATTTCGCCGAATTTACTTTCCTCTTGCTCTTTGCTCTTGCTTTTCTATATTTGATGTAATTTGGACTTTTGCCACTGATGAAAATATTTCTTATTTTCTTTGATAGAAATTTTAACTTTTTCATTCCACCATGCTGTTTGTTTCATGTGTCTTCTTGGCTTTCGGAGTCCGCACTTTTCTGTCATTACATTCAGGATGCAGGTTTTAAAAATTTGCCACTCTTCTTCTATGTCATTTCCTCTCTCTAGAGTACTGAAGGTGTTTTTAACTGTTTCATCAACTTGAATTGCCACATCTTTGTCTTTTAGTTTCTCTATGGCTGTCTGATCCATTAGCTGTGGTGTTTTATCAGAGCAAATTCTTGTTGGTTTATAGAGCCAAAGTACTACAGGTCTATGGTCAGAGTCTATTATTGCATTTGGGATGGCCCTGTAGTTCTTTATTCTCCATCTGTCGCTCTTTTTTGTGAGAATAAAATCTATCTGTGATGCTTGGTTAATATTATTCCATTTATACCAGGTCAATATCTTGCTTCTCTTATGTTGGTATAGCGTGTTGCTGATAATTAGTTCATGCTCTGCACATACATTGAGTAATTGTTCTCCATTGTTGTTACATTTATTTTCTTTGTCACTAAATGGTCCCATATATGTGGACCATGGAGGTCGACGTTCTCCCACATGTCCGTTGAAATCTCCCATCACATACAAGCCATCAGTGTCTGTAACTTTACTGATGGTTTCACTAAGTTGGTTAAAAATTCTGTTCTTTCTTCTTCAATGTAAGTGTCGTTACAAGGAGCATATACATTGAATATACGATACTATTCTTTTACCTGCAGCCAGTCTGATACTTATGAATCTCTCTAACACGAATTCTGAATCTAGTAAATATTTTGCTGTGTCTGGAGCAATGATAAAACCCACTCCATGTTTGTTAGTTTCTTGTGGTTGAGTTACTTTCCAAATCAGAACAAAGTTCTTATGAATTTTCTGGACGCCTTGAGCTTTTCTTCTGATATCAGCAATTCCCAAAACTTTGATTTTACTCTAATCATAAATTCACCAATTCAGCCACTTTATCCCCCATACCACAAATGTTCCATGTAGCCATCTTAAAAACTGTCGTGCCGGATCTGTATCTTGGCCGGTGTTTCTTTCATGACTCTGTCTTGTGTGTGGCGGTTTGAAGCGCTGGTGTAATCGCGCTTTTTCTTCAAAATACACCATAAATCTTGAGCAATGTGCTTGAACAAACTAATCCCCTACCGGCTTGCTGGGCCTGTCGTTGGATCATCCTTGTTTGAACAATAATTTGATGGAAATCCCCTAAAAACAAAATTTATCAAAAACATTGCATAGAGAATGTTTACTGAGCAGGATGACTCAGTGATTCAGTCTCTCTTATCCTGTCCCCATGTTGTTCACTCTTTCCAGTTCTTAACCGTTTCACCCATAACAAAATCTTCCAAAATGACCTTTTTCAAAATTTAGATAAAAAGAAACCTATTGTTATAACACTCTAAAATTCTGCCTTAAGAAACTAGAGAAAGAAAAAAGCAAAAAAATTTTGGAGTTTTGGTCATTTTTATAAACATCCTGGGGATCTAACCCCTAGACCACTGAGCAGAGAGGCAAGCAAGAAGTCAACATCTACATTGCAGCTGTCAAGTCACTGAAACAATTTATAGTAATTTAATTTTTTTAATGCAGTTTTTTATGCATTTTTAAAACAATGAGTGAATTCACCAAAATCAAATGTAGTGTAGAATTATTTCTTTTCCTTAGACCAGTGGCTCTCAACCTTCCTAATACCCTGACCCTTTAATATGTTGTAGCAACCCTGAAACATACAATTATTTTATTACCATAACTTTAGTGAATATGTGTTTTCCGATGGTCTTGAGAACGATGATGTCACAGTTTTAAAAAATGTGATTTATTTCACCCCTAAAAATATTGCAGTATATTTTTGGGGGTATACATAGTCACACTCACCATGTCTACACACTGCAGTCACAACCAGTATCAGGACTGTAAAACAGGCATATTGGCTACTGCCCTAAGTATATTAGCTAAAATCTGTAAATGTTGGAAAACAGTTTTCTTGAGCAAAACAGTTGAACCCATAATTCATATATGTCATGGCTGTGCAGAATCTTTGTGCGTTATGGGAATTTTAGAGCTCATGCATCCATGTTGCATATTACTCCAAGTCCAATCCATAGCCATTAAGAACTGGAAATAATTGCTTGTTGCTAATCACTAGTCAAGATATTAAGAGCAGTGCACACAGTGGTCAAGCGAAGTATTGAAACAATGTTTGCACATTTAGATCTCAGACTTTTGTAAAAATCTCTTTAAAATGTTTTTGTTCAGTGGCACCATTGTGATATTTGTGTATTGTCTAGTTTTTGTGTGTAAAGCTTTCGTTGTTATTAGGGTTCAGGTTGTAATATCTGTTCCTCTATTTGTTCTTCCTACAGTAATGGATATTACAGATTTCATGCAAGGAACCAAGACAAGCTCAGAAGATTTTCAGCATTTTATACCATTCCAACAGTAAGTAAAACAAGATTCTATACTCTATGATGTTAGTAGTTGAAGGAGAAAATGAGTGTGGTTGACTTGTTCAGTGTTTTGACATCTACACGGTGATGTTGATTGTCTCACATCTGTAGGAGAAATTTTGAAGCTTCTTAATGGTATTTATAACTCAAGATAATGCACATCTGAAGCACAAACAAAAGAAGATTTTAGAATTATGGTTGCCAAAGTCTGCTATATTCCAGACACCCAAAGAAGAAGCATTCAGGCCAATTCCATGGGAATGAAACCAACAAATTGTTCTGGAAACCTGAGCAGTGTTTTCTTGATTTCTTTGTGATTGACAAGGCTATTATTCTTTTTTATATATCTGGTATATTTATATCTGTACACTCTGTATTAGTGAGTTCTAACAAAACACCTAGTCTTCCTCAGCTATTAAGTTGATGCATTGAAGTAAAATTTTAGAAGTTATTATAAAATCAGACCTGCAGACACCAACAGAGATGAATAGAGTCGACTGATATCTGCACAATTGAATCATAGACACTCAGAATCTGAAAGAGAAGCAGAATAATACTTAATAGATACACATAAGGATAAGAAATGGAAACTTGGTTTCAGAGTTTATTAAATTATATAACTCATTTCACTATCTTAACTCTTCTTTGCTGTTGAATATTAATAATTTTAGAGATTTGTATTATTCCCTGTAATTCTGCTTTGCCATTATGCAGAAACTGTCACATTCATAACTGAACAAAATATCTACATGTGTACATATGTATCTTTTTATTAGCACTTAGTATAGGTAGGCAGAATTGTGTACATCTATCTGAACACTTGTTACTAATATTTGGACAAGGCATCAATCCATTCTAGCCATATTGTGGTCAGGGAGGACATTAGGTGAGCCAACTTGGGATGTTGAAGAAATATAGTTCCAAATAAATTGGCCAAGTAGGATGTAACACACTCAGCAGTTCATCTTACCTAGAACTTAAAAATGGTTTGATTTTTTGTGTGTCCACAAACTACTGTCATAACTCTACCTGCATAAGATAAAACCAACTATTTTATACTTGAAAATACTGTGGTTGAAAAGGGCATGCATCCTACCACCATGTTAGACTGGCAACGAATTGACCTTGATTAGGACTGGAAGTCAAAAGGGGTGAAGCCAAACAAACACACTACACAGAAGGCCAAAGAAGAAGAATATACTGACATAGAACTGGTTGTGCAAGTATCCACATGATGAGCAGCAATATACTAATTAGGGGATTCAAGTACTCCTGGACTTAATGGTTTGATGTGCAGTTTAAATTGATTTACAGAGAGGAGGACCTGAACAAAGAACACTGGTGGGGAGGGGGGGGGGGTGTATGGTAACGGGTGCCACCAGTTGATGAGATATATGTAAATGTACACAGATTCTTTTTCTTGTACACATGGAGTAGTCTGATCATGTGTGTGCCACACTTCATCTCTGTCAGTCAGCTGTTACCTGGTTTTCCTGACATCAAAAGTGCATTGCTATTATTTTGGTAAATTTAGAGACTGGGCCAGTGCCTTATTGAAGTGACGTGATGGTGAAACACATTGACTACTGTTAATTGACTGTTACTAACTGGTACTTTTTTATTTTCCCCATCACATTTTACTTACATTATCATAAGTGGTACTTGAAATAGATAGATAATAAATGTCCTCCCTTCGTAAATGTATGAAGATCAACATTGCTTTTTCCCATTCAGTTGTGGTGAAGAATTCATGTACACTGTTATCAAAAAAGTTATTGCTGCAAAGGATATCAATCACAGAGGACAGGGTCTCTGGGTCTCCCTGAAGATTTTGCATGGAGACATGAAGCAAGTAAGTTCATGTTGCTGAACAGTTGTCTTCATAGGTGTTTTCTTCAAGTTTCTCTGTGTCATTTGTACAGGGGTTTCTTGCTTCTCATTTGAGTTGTGAGAACCCAATTTAGTGTGTGTGTGAATGTATTGGGGAGGGGTGGGGGGGGGGGGGGCCAAATAGATCCACTTCTCATCTAACCTAAAAAATCATGTCATAAATGGTGACCGATTAGGGTGTTTCTTCAAAGTCATCTGCTGAGAGGTGAGGAACCAGCAGTCTGCAGACAAATAAGCCAGATTTGTAAAGTGGATGTGCATGCACAACTAAAGTTGTGGAATAAGACCAAAGTTCAAAAATGGATAAATAACCAGAACTTTCTGCCAGAGTTAACTGGTGAATTTTGTTGTTGTAGGAACATACATGACTTCACATTTTATTCCTCTGATGAATCATTGATCATGTTAATATTAAGTCTCTGTCTGTCTGTCTGTCTCTCTCTCTGTGTATCTCTCTCTCTCTGTGTATCTCTCTCTCTCTCTGTGTGTATCTCTCTCTCTCTCTCTCTCTCTCTCTGTGTATCTCTCTCTCTCTCTCTCTCTCTCTGTATGTGTGTGAACGGGAGATAAACCATTTTTTCTTGTGAACATGTATGACTTCATATTTTATTCCCCTGCTGCATCACTGCACATGTTGATGTTAACCTAAATATGCGAAAGAGAGCTTTAAATCTCTTCCTGATTTGGCTCTAAATGTAGTTATTAATTTCCCTTGTCTTTTCCTGATAAAAGGTGAAAGAAACCTATCCCCACCTGGTGTTGCCTGGTACAGCAATAGCACGCAAGATGGGTTTCCCAGATGTTATAATGCCAGGTATGATTTTCATTTATTACCAGTGATGAGATTGTGATTGAACTGTGGCATGTGTGGTGTATTGTGATTGAAAACTGTTTAGGTGATTGTCTCCCTTGACATCATATTTTGGATTTGTAAAAGCTCATTTGCCTGTCTTTAAACTCAAGGATACGGTATCCTTTACGGTTTATCTCCAATCAGAGCATCAATAGCAAATGTCATGCCTTTATGTCTTCTGCAAATAGCCATCAAGAAGAGGGACCTGACTGAAGAATAGCAACAATAAACACATGTACAATAAATTATAAGAAATGATATGACTGTTGAAAATAATAATATTAGATACAAAAGAGTTAAGTTATAGAAAACTAACTTAAAGCTGTTTTTAATTTACAAAAAATAGATAAGCGGTCCAAAATGAAATTCCCTTACCTTGTAATGGCAGACAACTGAAAACATTTCAGGCTGTGAATAATGGAATCTCAGTGATATCTGTTAATTTAGGGACACTGTAAGGACTAAAGAAAACCTGCTAGTGTATTCATTCACATATACAGTACTAACAGCTGAAAGCAAATCTGACCATGCTCAGATCTAAGAATCTGCCTCTTCATCATAACAGTTTGGGAATCAACTGTGTTGGAGATTAGGCTGGAAGAAACACATCTCATGCAGTTGAGTGAGATCAATGATGAGAATTGAGCACATGAGAAAAGTTAGTGGACACAACATGAAAGCCAAATTTTCCTGTCCAAGGATAGTTGACAGTCATTTTTATTTTAATGCACGTATCAGGAGGCTGTAGTTTATTCAATAGTTTATTTTCAGATTTTAATTTGTCTCACGTAGATGTAGGCATAATTATGCTCAGTGTTTATAATGGTCAATTGTCTGTTTAACACTAACAGAAGAAGATAATTGTTTTGTGGGAAGAAAAAAAAATGGGGTGAGGGAATAGGAAATCCTGCCCTATTATAAATTCCCCACCCCCCTAACTATCCCCATGTGTAAATATGTTTTACTTTATGGGTCGCTGGGTGAATTACAAAAGACTGTGAAGTTCATACTAGAGACAACATTGCAGATATAGATAATCTCTTTCAAGTGAATGAAAGAAGAAGCAGATAAACATGTTATTTTTGTTTAGGGTATTCAGTCTTGGCTATCTTGTCTTTAGTTCAGAATTTTTTTTTTTTTTTTTTAAGTACAAGTTTATTGTCTGTAGAGGTAACATTTGGTTAACAAAGTTTTCCTTGTTAGCACTACCAGTCAATACTTACTGTGAATAGACACATTGTCAAAACATATAGCCCCCCCCCCACCACCCCTCCATCCCGCCACCCCCCCCCTTCCCCCCCCACCCCCCTCCCCCCCCCGTCCCACACTATCCCCCCCCTCCCCCCCCCCCCCCCCCTTCCTCCCCCCCCCACGCCTCCCCTCCTCCCCCCCTCCCCCCCCACTCCCCCCCGCCCCCACCCTCCTCCCGCCCACCGCCATATATTATATTGCATTGACTAAGTAATCCTCCTATAGATCATATGGTTTTTAATGTGTTGTTTCTCTATCATGTTGGAACCAAACAATGTCTACATCAAACACTGTAGGCATAGATCAGGGTAAGGCTACATGTTGACTACAGGAAGCAGTGTCATATTTACAGTGCTTTCATTATTGCTTACTGACACAAGAGACCAGACCTTGGTTATTACTGGATAAAGCATTTGCAGCTGTATTCTTTTGTTGTGTATCTGTGATTTATTTCTCACTGCTAATATAATACATCTTTAAGTAAAAGAGTAAATACACTTTTTTTTTTTAAACAATGTTTGCTGTCTGTTTTACTGTTGTACCTTGCATGCTGAACATCTTGCTTGTGATTTTGATGTAAACAAATTTCTTTCTTTTAATTTATCAAATTTTGGTTTAGAGAGAAAAAACATTGTTAGAAGCCCTGAAAAATCACTTGAACGTTTGTGCTGGCAAACATTCCATATTGTTTTACTCAACTGACATTTCTGGCTGATTAAATTGATTTACAAAATTACAATTGGAGGAGATTGGAAATTATGTTGGGAAACTTGGAGAGTAATATAGGGTGCAAGAAAATAAGACTGTTTCAGTTGCAGAAATAATATAGGAATTGCAAAAGTGAGAGACATGGGGTTTCCAGCACATTTGATCACTTAATTTTATCACATTGTATCTAGTCAAGTCTGGATAAGTAGAAGTCGCAGTGACCTAAGAAAATGCTTCCACTTATCAGAATTTCTACTTATCCAGCCAGCACACACAACAGAGAAAATTGCCGGGACTAAGCTGGTCATGTCGACCTAATCGAAATTCGACTTATCCGAGTTTGACTTAAGTGGACTCGACTGTAATGGGTTAGCAGTTAGAGGAGTGCCTGATAAAACATCAGACATAGAGTGCAAAAGGGAATAAGACAGGATTGCATCCTGTTCCCCTGTCTGTACAAAATGTGTACACATATGCATGCGTACACACACAGGACAGACAGACAAGACAGAAATGACAAATGTTAAAACTAAATGCAGCCTGTGACAGTTTTTGTCTGTTTCTAATTGGTGGAAACATAATTTCTGAGACCTGAAAGTTGATTCCTGAACACTGATAGGTATATATATATCCATCCCCCTCCTAAACAGTGCATATGGATTAGGACAATTATTTGTCTGTTAACAGACACAGTGATGATAAACTCTTATTTGTTTCAAATATTATAATTGAGCTGCCCTGTAAAAGTAGTCAGTCCTGCTTGTTCTCTGCTAATGCTGAATGTTGGGCAGTGTAAATTTGACATCCCTCTTGTGCCAACAGCTTTAGGTTTAGGAGCACATTGCAGGTTATACTATCTTTATCCCAGGATGAGGAAATGGAACCTGCAAACTTAGTATTATGGCAGGGCAGACCGTTCCCTTAGCCTTGGCTGGCAGCTGGTCAAAGTGGGAGCTCTGACAGGCAGATCACTGCTCCACTGAGGCTTCAGCTTCTCTAGCATGCTTTCTTCCAAACAAATTTTTGTTACCTTTTCCCTTGCAGTTTACAAAGAATGCTGAGATATGGATTGTACTGCATGGGTTAGTCATGGTCTGTACAGTATAGGCCAAGCTTTAAGATGTGGAGATGAGAAATTTCATCCATCCTTAATTGTACCTACCAAGGGCTGCGATTCTCACATCTTACTGTAGAGGCAAATTATAGACATTTTACATGATCTGAACGTAAAAGAACAAACAAGTTATTCTACCAGAGCAAGGAAGATGCAAACCAGCCATAGCTTATTAAATCTTTTTCTTCTTCTTCAGTCCTCTTTTACCACTGTGAATGTCAAGGGAGATATAAGGTTCGGCTTTTAGTTTCTTCTGGCCACTTCAATCATAAACATATCATACTGTTGTAAAGTTTCTCTAATGTTATCTTTTCTTCTTGTTCTTGATTTATCCCATGCTCTGCATCGGTCCCCTCTTTTAAGTGTTTGCCTTCCTCGTCACTAGGATTTCTCTTTAAGTGAGCAGACCATTTAAACTGCTGCCTTTGTATGCTATTTAGAACTGGTTCTGTGCTGACTTTGTCTCTTATGACCTTATTCCTGATTTTATTTTTTCTGGTCACTCCTGCAGCCTTTCTCAGACATCTATCTCATTTCCATGGTTATTAAATTTCATTTTATGTTTTATTGTGAGTGACTACATCTGACACTGGTAGTGTAGGTGGGAAAGAATAGACTTTTTCTTTGTGCTGATGATCCTAATTATCTTATGCTGCAAGAGGAGGGCTAGCTGTCCCAGTACTTGGTTTTCTTTAATTTATCCATTTTACCGTCTTTGGTGAATGTTATTCTCCGATGTCTAATAATTGCTATCACACTCCACTCAATAGGATACTAATCAAATAACCAAAAAAAGCAATGTAGCTCTAGGTATAATATCACACATTGCAGCACTGGTAGGTATAGTGATGAAGGCTGCTGCAGCAGTACTTAAAAATTATTGTTTATAATTATTGTTTTGGGTGTTGTACTCCTGCACACTTTAAGGATGTACACTGTTGTTGTTGTTAAAATGTGTTATTGCTATGGATGTTGTATTTGTAAATATATGAAAAGTGCATGTTGTTACTAAAATACCTGTTATTTCTGTGTTGATTGCTGTAAATAATTATGTTAATTACAGAAGGGTATGTTGCAATATCTTTAGGTGTATCTATGTCTGTAGCATTGTTGATGATGAATAATATACTATTACTGTCTGAACTGTTGGTAGGAAAGAAAATATTTTATTTCTTTAAGTTGTTGTGCTTATTGTGACAGTTCTTACTGTGATTGTTGGTTTTTTATAAAAGGGAGTAAGTGAACGCGAGACTAACAAGTAGTTATAGAAAGTAGTAGGAAGGGAAATATTAGGAAAGAAAATAAAGATAAAGAAAAAAGATAATTGTGAGATAGTCCTTAAAATGAGTCGAGTTAATGGATAAAGATATACAAATCAAAATCTTCAGACATATGACGTTGATTGGAAGGAATGGGATCAAGTCAGACAATTCAAGTATTTCAGACATTTAAAGTTGATTAGATTGAATGGGATCAAGTCACAGTTCAAAAAGTGCAGACATATTAGACCTCAGTTAACTGGTTTCATCTTATATTTATGTTCAAATGTTTAGCCTTCATGTGTGGGTTTATCCTGTTGCTGGCCTCTTTGGCACTTCTTATTCCATTATAACTTTTTTAATGATTCCTTTACTGAGCCCTGTCTATGATTAAACCTTTTAGAAGCATAGCATTATTGAAACTTCTAAGAACACACCATGGTTGTAACATCTAAGAACACACCATGGTTGTAACATCTAAGGACACACCATGGTTGTAACATCTAAGAACACACCATGGTTGTAACATCTAAGAACACACTATGGTTGTAACATTTAAGAACACACCATGGTTGTAACATCTAAGAACACTGCATAGCTGAACAATCTGGAAGCATGACAGGGTTGAACTGTCTAGGAATATAGCATGGTTGACCATTCTAGAAATATGGCGTCGTTGAACCTTATCTTAAATTTGATATGGTTGAACCTTCTAGGTTTTTACATGGTTAAACCTTCTAGATTTTGACATGGTTGAACCTTATATTTACTTCTGAGGATTGCATCATTGCACATGTCTATGGAACAGCACAGTTGAGCTGTCATGGTTGATCCATGCTATGGAACATAGCAGAATTGAGCCAGTTAGAAACACAACAGGATTGAATTCTCTAGGGACATGACATGTTTGAGCTGTCTAGGGACCCCATGGTTGAGTTGTCTAGGGACACAGCATGGTTGAGTTGTCTAGGGACACAGCATGGTTGAGTTGTCAATGGACACGTGGTTGAGCCATCTAGAAACACAGCGTGGTTGAGACATCTAGCAACACAGATGGTTGAGCCATGTAGGAACACAACATAGTTGAGCCATCTAGCAACACAGATGGTTAAGACACCTAGCGGCACAAATGGTTGAGCCATCTGGGAACACAACACTGTTGATTTTTCTTGGGACATATTAAAGTTGAGCCTTCTAATGACACAGACTGGTTGAGCCTTAATGAAGCATTTCATATATTTTTAAGAAGTACAGATAAATATGTTTAAGATCACCATATGGTGAAAATGGACCATCAATGAGTCAGATGATTTTATGAATTGTAAGCATGTTGAAAATACACTGAAATGGCCGTTTACACTTACACCATCAGAGATATGACTTTTTAAAACTTACTTTTTTCAGTAACAAATTTTTTTTTTAAATCTATAATATATTTTTTTACTTCTAGATATTTGTCAATTCTCTAATTTGATACCTTTTTTTTAACCATTTTGCATGTATATTGTCGCTTGAATAAATACAATGCTTTTCCAATAGCATGTATCTAATTTCTTGTATTTGTTGTAAAACCAAACCGATGAATTAATATTTTGTTTGATACTTTTAATAGTTGCTTTTGAGCATATGACTGGGAAGGTAAAACAAGAACACAGACCTAATCCATGAATCTGGTGATAATTGCGATGACAAACCATGAATCTGCATGACATATGATAAAAACTTATGTGTGCATATTAAAAGGTTTAATTATACAGATTAGTTAATTGTTGTTTTTTAAAAATAATTATTACAGAATTACTTTTTAAAGGATTTTGTGGTGTTGTAACTAATTATATTTTACTGACCTTCACCTATACATGCAGCTTCACTTATTTATGTAGACAAGACAAAATTAAGGTGATAAATCATCTTATTATACTACACATCGAAGGTCCTATGTTCCTGTAGAAACACTCCATTCTTCCAGCTAAATTTGCTTACTCTGAATAACAATTTTTTTAATTTATTGTTAGGTGATGTCCGCAATGACATCTATTTGACAGTGATGCAAGGTGAGTTTACCAAAGGACCAGGAAAAACTACAGACAAGAATGTGGAAGTCACCATGTGTGTTTGTGACAGTAAAGGAGAAAGTATGCAGGTAATTAATTCTGGAACTTGTCAGTCATCTACTATAGATATTCTGTGTCACTGACTGTTTATTTAGCAAATTGCCAAAACTACTGTAGGGTTAATATTACTGTGATATGTAACCAGCTAATGGATTGTATAACATAAAAACTTCAGAGATTCAACTTTGTCTTAGTTTGTAATTCAGCTAATAATTGAAGTGCATTGTTTTCCCAGATAATTTTATTGCAGTTTGCAAACTAGAAATAAAAAGCTCAAGAGAAAAATAATGAGGTAAATATCTGAAAGAATTTGTTGTAAAGGAAAATCAAAAAAAAGATTTCATTCACGAGTGATGATCAAATGATCAGCTTGTTCTCTCATATTTTTGGGCATAGCACAAAATGCTGTTTCAAGATGATCTTAACATGTTTTGGAACAGGATAATCTGCTTGTGGCGCTGCGTATTTGTTGTATATTTGCTGTATGTTATATATAAGAAGTTACTTCAAAAACAAAAAGAAAATGCATTTATTTTGTAGTATAAACTAGTTTTTGTTTGTTTTATTTTCTCAGGATGTTGTTAGCTATGGCTGCATTGACCAGCCAAGTTCTGAATACCGGTCTATTGTCTATTACCATGAGGATAAACCAAAGTGGTTTGAAACAGTGAAAGTAAGTAGTCAACATCTTTATCCTTATTAATTTCTTTACCTCTTACATGATAACTCTACCGGTCTCTTGCTGTCTCTTGGTTAGTTTCTCCCCTCTGTTTGGTCACATTTACAAATTAAACAAACAACAAAAAACACTCAGTTCCTTTAGTCCTACAAACTTCACTAAGTGTAATCTGTACCAAGCAACACAATGCAGCCTGATATTTGGCCGAAGCATGCTATGCAGACCTGGCTAATTATTTAACCCCATTATCTATGTATGTTTTAATTATCAGTGGAATTCACTGGACAAATGTTGGGTTATTGTCTGGGACTTAACAGAGTTAATATGCCAAAAACCACCATGCTTCTTGTTGAAACAGTCAGCAACACATTATCTTTGTTGAATAGTTTTTAAAAAATGTATTAATCAAGAAAGAAAGGCATAGATTCATCTGCTGTGTTCACAGACCACACAAAAATGTCGTATACCTCCAGAATGTTTGAATAACCTTGTCTCATGCAGTTTGAAATAGGATTGTAAATGGAACCCACCAAGAGTGTCATTGTCAGGATGTTCAACATTTTGAGATCTGACGAACATTTTTATTTTCAAAATTAAACGTTTGTTATCAGTGTTAGAAAACAATCATTACCTGAGATTTATAAACTAGTTAGTCAGTCCAAAACATAAAATATCATCACCAAAACACATATTGTATGATGTTAAAGACAATCCATACTTCTATGGCTTACATACAATTTAATGGCATATTCACCCAAAGGAAATAAAGAAAACCATTGTGGTCACTGGGTTTTAATGGAATATGGATAAATATTGTTCCTGTTATTTAATGAACATTTATAAAGAGATGTTAAATTATACTTGAGTTGTTAAATCTTTGCATTCAAAATAACTAATTGAGAAGTGAAATATACTTTAAGTCAGATTAACTTGTTTTTTGTTTTGTTCAGGTTGCTGTCTCAACTGATGTGGAATTCAAAGGACTTCATTTAAAATTTCTGTTTCGGCACAGGTCTTCAGCGGAAGGTAACCTTCTGTCCACTTGATTCATTAATTCATGTATTTGTGAAACTAACTCTGTAAGAGAAAGTCATAGCTAACTCCTTGACTTTTTTATAAGAATAATCTGGAGTGACATTGGTGTAATAAATAAAGTCTTTTTGTTATGTTTGCTATACAGTAAACCAGCAAAGTTGGAAATGACAGAAATAAGAAGATGATGGAAATTGTCAATGGAAACAAATTATGTATCAGAAGTTACTGCCAGCTAGAAAAAGTTTAACTATCCTAGTGCTAGAACAAAGCTGTCTGATGCAGCTGACACTGTAGGCTTACTTTCACCAGTGTTTTATACATCATCATCATCAAGTGCCTTGCCGAATGGCCTGGGTGATCATGCCTCTCCACAATCTGCAATCTCCTGCAGCATGTATCAGTTCGTGTGCCGACGTGTTAATACAAGTAAATCAAAAACGGCTATCTAGCATTAAAAGTCATGGGTTACCTACATGGATTAGCTTTCAAAAGACCTATTTGGCCATGGAATTTACTTTAAATACCCATACAGAGTCTCTTATGAATTCTAAGATATGTGCAGTGACAATTTGAAGTGCAGGTTATGAAGCACATTTGGTGACTTTCATTTGTTACACATTTTATCCTTAGTCATGTGATTTTCAGTGACACATTCTCATTAAAACACTGAAAAACTCTTCATTGTATAAATCATCAGTTGTTAGAGCACTCCACAATTAGACCAGTTCCTACTTTATTAGTGTCCAGCACTTTTAAACATCTCCTAATAGCTACCAGTCAGAGATGACTGGTAACTTAGTGTGTTTATAGAACCGCTACCAAGGACCTGAACTTTCAAGAGCAAGGCATTGAGCTGTCACGAGTAGACAGTTCCGAAGTTTTGTGGTTAAAGAGTATTAGTATTTACTATTCTTTACTATAGAAATGTGATGTTCTTATGATATCATCATCATCAAGTGCTTGGCCAACTAGTGTGGACAGTCATGCCTCTCCACAATCTGCCATTACAAAAGGCTGTCATGAATTGTCTTGCATAGTCTTTCTCTGTGTCTTTCCCACAGATCTTTCCAGTGGTCATAATATCTTCAAGTTTCTTTCAAAAACATGACCAGAAAATTCAGACTAACTCTATCTGATGTTTGTGGTAAGTTTTCTTTTAGCCCCACTCTTTTCAAAATATCTAGGTGGCTCTTTTTTGACGGTACAGAGGATTTTAAGGATTCTTCTGTAAAAGCAAATCTCTGAGGCCTCAAGAAATTATTTGGTTTGTTTATAAATTGTCCAGGATTAACATCCATAAGTGAAAACTGGCTCCATCTAGCATGCAGGAATTCTTGTCCTAAGCTCCAGTTGCATGGATTTATTTCATAAAATGTTCTTCATTTAATCAAATGCAGTTTCAGCCTGTCCTGTTCTGTTTTTCTTTGATCTCTATGATATCTACCGAATGTGAAAGATGTGATTGTTAGTAACAGATCAGTTATTTAGTACTAATTGTCTTCTTAAGCTTTTATCTTTAGACACAAGAGTAATGAACATGCACTAGCTTTGAATAGTATTTATTTTGGATGACAGAATCTCTTTTTATTTCAAACAGCAAAAGATCGCTCAGAAAAGCCATTTGCCATGTCATTTGTGAGAATAATGAATGATAACGGAACAACACTGGAGGATCAGATCCATGACCTTCTAGTCTACAAGGTACATACCCAAGTATTTTATATTTGCTTTGCATCAATATAGAACTCTTCATCATATCTGTAAGGTGTCTTCATTCTAGTTATAGAAAGTTGCATGGTTTTTTGGTTTAAGGGAAAAAAAAACTACAACATAGAAATATCCTGAAAATTGTTGCTTCTGTTGTTGATGTAATATGATCTTTGTTATTCTTATTATTGTTTTTAATGAAACTATTGAGATAATTAAAGTTGCAGATTATGTTTTTCTTTTGAATGCAACTGGTGACAGTGACCTCAAATTTCTTACTATCTTTTTAATGTCTTTTAAAAGTAACATCATGAAGCCAAACAACCAATTAAAAAGTCATAATGTGACTGATTCTTGGCCCTTTGCCCAGCAGTGACGTCATTAGTTAACAAAATCATTTAGTAATAAATTTTATGTTGTCCTTAGGGGCCATTTGTTTGACTGTTAAAAATGAAAAACCTAAAACCCATGAACAAAACAGTACTGGTCTAAACCTCATCCTGCCTGGTCAGTATGTACTGTTCTGTTTGATAACTTGGTTACATTCTAATATGGTTGTCTGCACTTGTGAAGTTTTTTGTACCAGTTTTGTACATCCATCTGGTTTCTGTGCTTGGAGAGGTGAAGCAGGAGTCTGCAGTTAGAGGCCTCTGGAGATGGCCTGATGGAACACTTATAGGAATGTCACAGAGTGCTGTGATGTATTTTTTAACTCATCCTAATTCATTTTCAAGTTACAATTAACCAGTCAGTCATAATATTTATTAATTACATTTAATTCCTAATGATGAGAATGCCATCTTTGACAACAGGTAGAGAGTAAGAAACATGATGATGCTGCCACTTATCTGAAGTTACCATGTAGCAGACATGAGCTGGAACAGTTTGGCAACTCAAACCACAAACAAACAGGAGGACTAACTCTCAGCACAAAGGATTCTTTCTCTGTTTACTCATATGTCTGCTCGACAAAGCTCACACATAATGGTATGTACAGTGTTTCTAAACCTGTCTCCTTTATTTTCCCTTTACTTCTCTCTAAGTGTTTATGTGGATGTGTGGTATGTGTATGCATGTTGTGTGCGTGTGTCCTTAAGTACATTGTAGTTTATAACTTGCATCTGTTTTCTTCTGTTTCAAGTTGATCTGCTTGGTTTGCTTAAGTGGCATGAAGTTTTGGATGACACAAAGGCACTGAAAACTTACTTAGAACATCTCATGAAAGAGGAGGGTGAAGAAATTGTCAAGGTATTGTTTGTCACTTACATTAACAAATTTTGGTCACTTTCAGTTAATCATGTGATTCTAGCCAGCCAGAATAAGTGAATGCTGTATTTCCTACACAGTCTCAGAGCAAGATATTGTCAGTGTTTTTTTGTGTGTGTGTGTGTACATGGAATAAGTGGGTTCCATTTGTGTTTAAAATATATAAATATTTATTATTTGCAAATTGAATCGTTAGAATTTGAGTTTTTTCCTTTTGCAGCTCTAATCTTAGTTATATTCCTTTTAGTAATGAGATTCACTAGTAGCCACATTGTAGAATTTGTTGTATCAAACTTGTACTTAAGTAGCTTGTACACATGATTTACAAAGGTAATTTCCCTCTTTTTTTGCTGCCTAGTTTTTGCAAGACCTTTTGGACTCTTTGTTCAACATTCTCATGCAGCACAACAATAATGAACTATGTGACAACCTGGTGTTTGATGCACTGGTAAGTGCAAGTCTGTGTTAACCTGATGTTTAGTTTACTGATAACCTGTTAGTTTGTAATAACTAGTATTTGATGTACATGTAAGTGCAAGCCTGTAGAACAATAGTTTTTAGGACAGATAAATGTTTGTCTGTAATACCCTGGTGTTTGAAGTCTATCACCATGGGATGTCCAGTACAAATAAGTAGTTAGTCTGTAATAGCTTGGTGTTTCATGCACTGATAAATGCAAGTCTGTGATAGTGGAATGTTCAATACACATAATAAGCGGTGCTTTCTTAATATCCTACCCCAAACAGGGAAAATCCACAGGTCAGGGGACAGTAATATTTCAGGGGGTGGTAGATAGGCTGCATGCAGTCGTGGGACCTAGGCTGCATGCAGTTGTGGAACCTAAACTGCACTCTTTCGTGGGAGGTAGGTGGTTTGGGATTTGGGCCAGTTGTAGATGTTTTAGATTCGTTAAAAGCATCAGAAAGCCGGGAAACCCAGTCTTACCAGCCTCTAAAATGTTGGACTATCCTGTGACATTCTTTGGGGTAGGATATTACGAAAGAACCTAATAAGCTAGTGTTTTACTGGGTACTGCAAGAATGTGTTTAGTACTAATAAATAGTTTTAATCTGTAATATCCTGGTGTTTGATGCACTGTTAAGTGCATGTGATAATGTGGTGTTACAAGTAAATTACTGGTCTCTAATGACCTGGAGTTTGATTACTGATTAATTATTAGAATCTGCAATAATTTTTTGTTTGGTGAAAACTGATACTTTGCAACACAAAAGAAGTGAGGTGAACGATATATTAATCTGTCCCTGTTTCATGTTGACATGTCACTGTTTTATATTGACCTGTCACTGTTTCATGTTGACCTGTCACTGTTTTATGTTGACATGTCACTGTTTTATGTTGACCTGTCACTGTTTCATATTGACCTGTCACTGTTTTATATTGACATGTCACTGTTTTATTTTGACCTGTCACTGTTTTATATTGACCAGTCACTGTTTTATATTGACATGTCACTGTTTTATATTGACCTTTCACTGTTTCATATTGACCTGTCACTGTTTTATATTGACCAGTCACTGTTTTATATTGACCTGTCACTGTTTTATGTTGACCAGTCACTGTTTCATGTTGACCTGTCACTGTTTTATATTGACATGTCACTGTTTTATATTGACCAGTCACTGTTTTATATTGACCTGTCACTGTTTTATATTGACCTGTCACTGTTTCATATTGACCTGTCACTGTTTTATATTGACCAGTCACTGTTTCATGTTGACCTGTCACTGTTTCATGTTGACCTGTCACTGTTTTATATTGACCAGTCACTGTTTTTTTATTGACCTGTCACTGTTTCATATTGACCTGTCACTGTTTTATATTGACCTGTCACTGTTTTATATTGACCAGTCACTGTTTCATATTGACCTGTCACTGTTTTTTATTGACCAGTCACTGTTTCATATTGACCTGTCACTGTTTTATATTGACCAGTCACTGTTTCATATTGACCAGTCACTGTTTCATGTTGACCTGTCACTGTTTTATGTTGACCTGTCACTGCTTTATATTGACCTTTCACTGTTTTATATTGACCTGTCACTGCTTTAAATTGAACTGTCGCTGTTTTATATTGATACATCAATGTTTTAAATTGATATATCACTGTTTTATATTGATATATCACTGTTTTATATTGACCTGTCACTGTTTTATATTGACCTTTCACTGTTTTATATTGACCTGTCACTGTTTTATATTGACCTGTCACTGTTTTATATTGACCTGTCACTGTTTTATATTGACCTGTCACTGTTTTATATTGACCTGTCACTGTTTTATATTGACCAGTCACTGTTTTATATTGACCTTCACTGTTTTATATTGACCTTCACTGTTTTATATTGACCAGTCACTGTTGCAACACAAAAGAAGTGAGGTGAACGATATATTAACCTGTCCCTGTTTCATGTTGACATGTCACTGCTTTAAATTGACCTGTCACTGTTTTATATTGATATATCACTGTTTTATATTGACCTGTCACTGTTTTATATTGACCTGTCACTGTTTTATACTAACCTGTCACTGTTTTATATTGACCTGTCACTGTTTTATATTGACCAGTCACTGTTTTATATTGACCTTCACTGTTTTATATTGACCAGTCACTGTTTCATTTTGACCTTTCACTGTTTTATATTGACCAGTCACTGTTTTATATTGACCAGTCACTGTTTTATATTGACCTTTCACTGTTTTATATTGACCTTCACTGTTTTATATTGACCAGTCACTGTTTCATTTTGACCTTTCACTGTTTTATATTGACCTTTCACTGTTTTATATTGACCAGTCACTGTTTTATATTGACCTTTCACTGTTTTATATTATCCTTTCACTGTTTTATATTGACCTTTCACTGTTTTATATTGACCTTTCACTGTTTTATATTGACCTTCACTGTTTTATATTGACCTTTCACTGTTTTATATTGACCTTCACTGTTTTATATTGACCTTTCACTGTTTTATATTGACCTTTCACTGTTTTATATTGACCTTTCACTGTTTTATATTGACCTTTTACTGTTTTATATTGACCTTCACTGTTTTATATTGACCAGTCACTGTTTCATTTTGACCTTTCACTGTTTTATATTGACCTTTCACTGTTTTATATTGACCAGTCACTGTTTTATATTGACCTGTCACTGTTTTATATTGACTAGTCACTGTTTTAAATTGACCTTCACTGTTTTATATTGACCAGTCACTGTTTCATGTTGACCTTTCACTGTTTTATATTGACCTGTCACTGTTTTATACTAACCTGTCACTGTTTTATATTGACCAGTCACTGTTTTATATTGACCAGTCACTGTTTTATATTGACCTTCACTATTTTATATTGACCAGTCACTGTTTCATTTTGACCAGCCACTGTTTCATGTTGACCTGTCACTGTTTTATATTGACCTGTCACTGTTTTATATTGACCAGTCACTGTTTTTTATTGACCAGTCACTGTTTTATATTGACCTATCACTGTTTTATATTGATATATCACTGTTTTATATTGACCTGTCACTGTTTTATATTGACCTGTCACTGTTTTATATTGACTTGTCACTGTTTTTGTTGTTGTTGACATGTCCTTGTTTTATATTGACATGTCCCTGTTTTATATTGACGTGTCACTGTTTTATGTTGACCTATCACTGTTTTATATTGACCTGTCCCTGTTTTATATTGATATATCACTGTTTTATATTGACCTGTCCCTGTTTTATATTGACATGTCCTTGTTTTATATTGACCTGTCCCTGTTTTATATTGACATGTCCTTCTTTTATATTGACATGTCCTTGTTTTATATTGACATGTCCTTCTTTTATATTGACCTGTCCCTGTTTTATATTGACATGTCCCTGTTTTTTATTGACCTGCCCCTGTTTTATTTTGACATGTCCCTGTTTTTTATTGACCTGCCCCTGTTTCATTTTGACGTGTCACTGTTTTTTTATTGATTTGTCACTGTTTTATATTGACCAGTCACTGTTTTATATTGACCTGTCACTGTTTTATATTGACCAGCCACTGTTTCATATTGATCTGTCACTGTTTTTTATTGACCAGTCACTGTTTTATATTGACCTGTCACTGTTTTATATTGACCATTCACTGTTTCATATTGACCTGTCACTGTTTTATATTGACCAGTCAATGTTTCATATTGACCAGGCACTGTTTCATATTGACCTGTCACAATTTTATATTGACCAGTCACTGTTTTATATTGACCTGTCACTGTTTCATATTGACCAGTCACTGTTTCATATTGACCAGTCACTGTTTCTTATTGACCAGTCACGGTTTCATGTTGACCTGTCACTGTTTTATATTGACATGTCACTGTTTTATATTGACCTGTCACTGTTTCATGTTGACCTGTCACTGTTTTATGTTGACATGTCACTGTTTTATGTTGACCTGTCACTGTTTCATATTGACCTGTCACTGTTTTATATTGACATGTCACTGTTTTATTTTGACCTGTCACTGTTTTAAATTGACCAGTCACTGTTTTATATTGACATGTCACTGTTTTATATTGACCTTTCACTGTTTCATATTGACCTGTCACTGTTTTATATTGACCAGTCACTGTTTTATATTGACCTGTCACTGTTTTATGTTGACCAGTCACTGTTTCATGTTGACCTGTCACTGTTTTATATTGACATGTCACTGTTTTATATTGACCAGTCACTGTTTTATATTGACCTGTCACTGTTTTATATTGACCTGTCACTGTTTCATATTGACCTGTCACTGTTTTATATTGACCAGTCACTGTTTCATGTTGACCTGTACTGGTTTATGTTGACCTGTCACTGTTTTATATTGACCAGTCACTGTTTTTTTATTGACCTGTCACTGTTTCATATTGACCTGTCACTGTTTTATATTGACCTGTCACTGTTTTATATTGACCAGTCACTGTTTCATATTGACCTGTCCATGTTTTTTTATTGACCAGTCACTGTTTCATATTGACCTGTCACTGTTTTATATTGACCAGTCACTGTTTCATATTGACCAGTCACTGTTTCATGTTGACCTGTCACTGTTTTATGTTGACCTGTCACTGTTTTATATTGACCAGTCAGTGTTTCATATTGACCTGTCACCGTTTTATATTGACCTGTCACAATTTTATATTGACCAGTCACTGTTTTATATTGACCAGTCACTGTTTTATATTGACCTGTCACTGTTTCATATTGACCAGTCACTGTTTCATATTGACCAGTCACTGTTTTATATTGACCAGTCACTGTTTCATTTTGACCAGTCACTGTTTTATATTGACATGTCACTGTTTTATATTGACCTGTCACTGTTTTATATTGACCAGTCACTGTTTCATATTGACCAGTCACTGTTTTATGTTGACCTGTCACTGTTTTATATTGAAATGTCACTGTTTTATATTGACCTGTCACTGTTTTATATTGACATGTCACTGTTTTATATTGACCAGTCACTGTTTTATATTGACCAGTCACTGTTTCATATTGACCAGTCACTGTTTCATGTTGACCTGTCACTGTTTTATATTGACATGTCACTGTTTTATATTGACCTGTCACTGTTTTATTTCATGTTGACCTGTCACTGTTTTATATTGACCAGTCACATGTCACTGTCACTGTTTTATATTGACCTGTCACTGTTTCATATTGACCTGTCACTGTTTTTATATTGACCAGGTCACTGTTTCATATTGACCTGTCACTGTTTCATGTTGACCTGTCACTTTCATGTTGACCTGTCACTGTTTCTTATTGACCTGTCACTGTTTCTTATTGACCTGTCACTGTTTTATATTGACCTGTCACTGTTTCATATTGACCTGTCACTGTTTTATATTGACCTGTCACTGTTTTATATTGACCTGTCACTGTTTTATATTGACCAGTCACTGTTTATATTGACCAGTCACTGTTTTATATTGACCTGTCACTGTTTTATATTGACCTCTCACCACTTTACATTGAGACTATAAACAGTGAAACTGCATACTTGCAGGAGAAAGTGGATGAACACACATTCATGTATTTTGTTTAAAGCAACAACACATCAGCAAGCAGTAAAGATCAACAGAATTGTTATCTTCAGATGAGACGATCAGAAACAACTAAAATGCTATTGCTTCCATAAAATGAACATCAGTAAATTCACACTGAATCACATATTGTACACTTGACCCAGTTACTGAAAGTCACAAGAACATTATATTCCTATGTGCATTTCAAAGCTCTTTTTGTGTGTGCGGGGCACTGCTCCCTTAACAAGCATGACAAAAAAGGTGTTTTCCACAAAGTCGGAATGCATGTGCCTGAGAGCCGGGCAAGCAGCAGTATGCACACAAATAAGCTAAGTAAAACAGATGCACATACAAAACTGGAGTTCTGCAACAAGAGCTAAGTCCCTCCAGTTGCTAACGACAAAAAGAAGAACATCAGAGTCTGAAAAAATGAAAGTACTTGATATATCTAGGAATTAAACAGTATCTGCTGTTTGTTAACTACCATAAAAAAGTGCTGAAAACAGTTGACAAACTCCTTGCACATTTTACTTTTGTGAAGAAGGGCTGATTTTTATAAATGTAGATATTGTAAATATATGAATACTACTTGATCTAGGGGATAACCTTATGCTCCGAATGACATCAGCTGAATGCTATTTTGTTCTCAATTTCAGGTCTACATAATAGTACTAATTTCTGATCGCAAATACCACCAGTTTCGCCCTGTGCTGGATGCATATATCGATACTGCCTTCAGTTTTGCAATGGCATACAAGTATGTTCACTTTTAAGAATGTTTAGATCCTCGTCAGTTAACAGGAAGTACCAGTAATTTAGATGTTTGCTGTGATGTCTCATTTAATACATTTGTTGCTGTCAGTCAAATAACTGAATTTGTGAAGAAAATAATTGACCTGTTCAGCTCTTAGCAGGTTAGTATTTGAAGACTACAGATACAAGATTGTAAAATTACTTGATAAGCTAAGTCTTAAATGATATACAAGCTTTACATGAAGTTTGACCAGGAGAACCTCAGGAAATATTCTGGTCACTCCATCTCATGAAACTGTAAGTTAATGTCTGTAAAGTCTTTCAGCATTTAATAGTTTAATTTTTTACATGTGGTCAGCACTCTGTCTACACTGTAGGAGTATCATCATCAAGTGCCGTCTCCACATTTAAGATTGGCTGTAGAGTGACTCCAACATCCTGTGCCAAATGGTAAACTTATGTATATCTTTCCAGTAATCTCTTGAAGCTATATTTCTTCGTCTCCAGTTTTTTCCTCAAATGGCAGGACATTAATCTGCTTAATAATCAGATTCTGAACAGCTTAACTTGTAATTTCAATTATTTATTCATTATCTAAATTTTTGCATTATACAAATGAAAATTATGTTACATTTGAAGTGGTAATTTAGATATTTAGTTGTAAAAAACTGTTTTGTTTTGTTGGGTTTTGCCCATTCCCTATTCTCTTATTTCTCTTTGAAATAACTTATTATGATTCCTGACAGTCCAAAGTCATATTCTCACATAATGTAACCTTGCAGGTCATTATGTACTGACTTACCTGTTTTTTCCTTCAGTAAACTGATGGTAATCTTGAAAGATTATGTGGACAAGGCAAGTGAGAAGTGCCCCCAGAGTGAAACTTCATTGCTGCCGGCCATAAAATCTCTTGAATACATTTTTAAGTTCATCATCAGATCGAGATGTCTCTTTGCAATGTAAGTTCCCTGCATTTATTTTTTTTTTTTAAACACTATTTTGTAGTTTGGTTAAATAGTTAAAGTTTAACTTAACCAAGGATTAGCATAATGTCTGTAGAACTATTTTTGTTAGTTAGACAATATATTCATTGTCAAAATAGGAATAATTTACATAAGATAAAAAACTTATTTAACTTGTTTTAAATTAAATACAAATTATTTTAGATTTACTTTTACATTTAAATTTTCTAAAGTAAAGAACGTTTACTGTAATTAAATATTTCTTTGTTTAATTTTGGGTTTGGTTAAAATATAGAACTTGTTAAATAAACCCTTTTATTTTGTTGCCTATTAAAAGTGTGGAATATATTTTGTATAATCGGCATTGTAATTTTATAATATTATTAATCACTTGTAATTATCTGTTTGGATTGTTCATATTCTTGTATTCTCTAGGTTGAATGAGGGTCGGGGCAAGCAGCAGTTTGAGATCTCATTAAAACAGCTTATCACTGCAATCTCTAACATGATGGTCTACAAAACAGATCAGACCCTGTTGGTACAGGTATGTACATTACCACAGTCTGTCAGTTTTTTTGTTTTTTTTCAATGCATTTAAGACTATGGCTGCAATGGACATAGATCAGAGAATGCTTTTCACACTATGTCAACACCTGATCTTTTTTTTAGTGATTGATGATGGACTAGGACTGCTTACTGTCTCAAAGAATCAGATGGATAAACTGAAGCGCATACAGAACACATCTGTGCTGGTAATTCTGGGTTGTACCGAGACACCCCAGTGGTGTGTATGTGATATATCCTTGGTTTGCTGACTGTTGCAGGTAGGCGCAAGGTGCTGCAGGCGAAGTCATATCTCAGAGCAGCTACAGACACAGATCACTCTTTGCACGAAGCTCTGAATGCAGTCAGGGGTCAGCAGCTGATAAGAGGGAAGTCATGGATGGCTCAGGCAGAAGACACAATCAGACAGGTTTGCATCCTTGAGAACATTAGGCGAGGAGAGGAGTGGGTCAGAATGGTAGCAAAACTGTCAGATTTGTGTAAAGTCATAATCACATTGAATCAGGAGTATAGAGAATGGCCAGCAGGTGCCATGGAAGTGGAAATTCAACAATTAATTCAAGATAATGCTCACTCAGAGGATGTGATTATTTTTACAGATGGTTCAGTGTTGAGAGGCAAAAGAAGTGCTTGGGGTTTCTTAGTAAAAGTTAATGGTCGACGTTTGATGCAGGAGAGCCTAGCATATGCTATCACAACTTCCAGCTTAAGAATGGAAGTGGAGGTGGTCACTGTAGCTTTCCACTGATTAGAGAATACGACAAACACAAACACACATCATGACTGTAACCGACTCAGAAAGTATGCAGAGGAAGGTCAAGACAGGCAGACCTAAATTATGTGTACGACTCCACGTCTTGGAGTGGGCTGCCATTAAGAGAAACCACATTACTATTTGCCTGATTTATTCTCATTATCTTTGTCTTTCCTTTATGGATTTTCAGACCAAGCTGCTGTGATCTCGCATCAAGTATATTTAATTTATCTTGCATCTGATTCCGTGAATGGGACAGAAGAGAAATATCATCAGCGAAGTCCAGATCATCAAGCTGTTTTGTAGGAGTCCACTGAATTCAATTCTTGGTGTTAGCAGTTACTGTTTTCTTAGTCCAGTCTATAGCCAGTAAAAATAAGAGAGGCAGCAAAAGACATCCCTGTCGCACACCTGTTTTTATTTCAAATGCATCTGTTAGTTTTCCCTCATGAAGAACTTGACATTTCATGTCTTTATATGTTGCCTTTACTAAGTTGATAATTTTCTGTGGGATTCCATAGTGCCCCATCAATTTCCAGAGAGATTCCCTATCAATGCTGTCAAATGCTTTTTCATAGTCTGTAAATCCAATGTAAAGTGGTGTGTTCAGTTCAATGCTTTGCTCTATTATTATACGTAATGTGGCTATCTGGTCAGTACAGGATCTGTTTGACCGAAAACCTGCCTGCTCATCTCTTAGCATTTTATCAATAGCATCTTTTAATCTTTCCAAAATAATTCTACTTAATATTTTTCCAGGAACTGACAGCAGCATAATTCCTCTATAGTTTTCACACTCCTCTAGATCACCTTGTTTGGGCAGTTTCACAAGATATCCTTCTCTCCAGTCTACTGGTATTTCTTCGGTCTCCCAGACTTTACTGAAAAATCTATATAGCAATTCTGTTGATGTGTTTATGTTTGCCCTGATGGCTTCAGCTGAGATACCATCTGGGCCTGTCGCCTTTTCTTCCCGGAGAAGATTGATAGCTTTTCTAATTTCCTTGGTCTATTTAGAAGCATTTCAAAATATTCAACCCATCTATCCATTTGATCTTTAGTGTTAGTAAGTACCTTTCCTTGACCATTTTTGATTGATCCAGTTGGCTACCTACTAATTTTCTTGTGTTACTGTGAAGTTCTCTGAGGTTTCCTTTTCCTGCTGCTGTCTCCGCTTCTTGTGCTAGATCAATAAGATATTTCACTTTATTTTATCTGCCCTTATATGCCTCCTAACTTCCTTGTTGGCTTCTGTGTATTTCTCCTGAGCTCTAACTTTAGTAGCTCTAGTTTTGCTGTTGTTTAAGTCTGCCTTTTTTACTTTTCCTATCTTTAATCAGTTTAATGGTTTATGGTGTTATCCATGCTTTATGTTTCCTTCCTTTCTTGCCAGATTCCTTTGATCTGATCCCAGCAGACTTCGGTGCTGACATCTTCAGCTAACTGCTGCAACACCTGGTACTTATTAGAGACCGTAACTGGGAACTGTTCCTTAACTTCTTTATCCCTGAGAAAGCCTACATTATTTTGGTTTCTATGATTATAAGATGTTATATATCTTTTTAGTTTCAACTTGATTTTACTTACCACCAGGAAATGGTCAGTAAATACATCGGCACCTCTGAAAGCCCTAACATCGTAAAGGGATGATCTAAACTTTTTGTTAATACATAGGTGTTCAATTTGATTAGTTGTCTTATGGTCTGGTGATTCCCATTTTGCCTTATGTATTCTTTTATGGGGGAAAATACTTCCACCAATAACACACTGGTTTCCTGCACAAAAATTTGTGAACAATTCTCCATTTTCATTCATTACTCATAGACCATGTCTTCCCATAATTTCTTCATAACCTGTGTTGTCTGATCCTATCTTAGCATTCAAGTCACCCATCAAAATTTTTAAGTTGCCCTTTCTTTCATTATTTATAATATTTTGAAGCTGCATGTAAAAATCTTCCTTAACAGATGCATCTTTATCATTTGTTGGTGCATAACACTGTATTATCGACATGTTCACCTTCTGTTTCACTGTTCTAAAAGATGCTCTTATTATTCTGGGACTCACAGCTTCCCATTCTATTACATGTGAGGGATATTGTCTGGATCTTTTCTCTGGGTCACACCTATGTGTTGGGAAATGAACAGGCAGACAGACTGGCTGGCTCTGCACAACTTGGTGGAATATTGATGTGTTAAAGGCAGGCGAGGTTAGGGCCGTGTGAGAGAGCATGCACAATTTAGAGGAGCACATGGATCACCACAGTCTGGTGAGACTGATGCAGCGGGGAGTGACAAGGGGTTCTGGCCGATGTTTGACGCTCAGAGGAAAGGCAAGACGGACGTTTAATCAGAATGCTACTGACACCATTTGTATTGGAACTCTTCACTGGCTGCTGACGATGGGGACGGAGCGTTTATGGGAGTACCACGAGTGCTGTGATGTCAGTTCTTGAATCAACTCAACTTTTTTTTTTCCTTTTGTCTCTTACTTGCTTGTTTGTATATTAGTGTCAACAGTGGTTATAAAAATATTTTTTCATGGTTCTTTGAATGGTTTAAGTTCACCAGTTGGTTCACTTCATCTCAGTACCAGGAACGAAAATATGGAGAAGGATCTCACAGACAAAAAGGTAATACTTCATAACCTAGCAAAGGCAGCCTTCATCAGAGAGAGAAATAAACAGATGAGGGAAAGTTAGCTTAAAAAGGCGGAGTCATTTAACCTCATAAAGGACACTTCACATTGTGGAATCTCACAAAAAAGCCTGAATGGAGACGAGACAGAAAGCCAGAGTTGTACTCCAAACAGATAAAGGAACCTTTACTAGCAGGGTGGCAGCAGACGTGCTCACTATAACATACCAGAAGAAAAGAGAGGTCAATATTCCCATGCAAAGGATTAATAGTACAAAACCAGACCAAGGCTCTTCTGGAGGACACTAGCAGAAGAGCAACAGAGGCCTACATTTCAAAAGATTTCACCATGCAAGAGCTGGAATCTGGAATTGGAGAGCAGAAAATGAAAAAGCCCCAGGGGTTGACGGCATTATAAATGAATTTCTCTCACATCTAGGGCCTGATCTCAAAAGGTTTTTCCTCTGCATTTACAACCAGAGCTGACAAAAAGGTATATTGCTGTCAGCCTGGAAGGAAGCCCTCATCCAGCCTATCCTTAAAAAGGCTAGAGACAGAAAAGACCCAAAAAAGCTATAGATCCATCAGCCTTCTTAGCAGTATAGGAAAATTAGTTCTTTGAGACAAACTCAATAGTCACCTCCACACAGACAGGATACAGACAGCATAGAAATACAGAGGACCACTTGACATATCTGGGGCAGGGCATTGAAAATGTCTTTCAAGGAGAAAAGTTCTTGCTGTCTTCTTTGACCTCTCTCATGTTTTCAATACAGTTTGGAAAGAAGGCCTACAACTAAAACTGCTACAGGCAGGAGTTGTGCACAGCATGTACAGGTGGATCACAGTCTTCCTTTTCCAACGTTTAGCCAGATTAAGAATTGATGGACACATTGCCATAATGGCAAAACTAAGAGGACTTCCCCACAGCAGTGCAATAGCACAAACCCTGTTCCTGGTTTACATAAACATATCACAGCAACCTGCCACCAGCACGTTTCTAATACCTTTCATGCTGATGATGTTGCTGTTTGGACAGCCTCTGAATACACGAGGACAGAACACTTTGGAAAATGTAGAAGCCCAGACTGAAAAGTGGTGTCTAAAGCTAAATAATTCAAAAAGCACAGCATCACTTCTCTCTCTCTCTCCCAAAAAAGAAAGATAGCATTTTTATGTGCCAGTGTTTTCAACACTATATCTCTATGACCCTACGGATCAAGGAGTATGTTATGTTATAGATCTTTATCTAGAATAATTCCAGGTGATGATCGTGATTCAGTTGCCACTTTCTTGCAACTGACAGAAGGCAGACAGAAAAGAGGACTGTGGTCTAGATTAAAATGATACAGTAGGAAACATTCCTGTATGTGTGGAATTTTTCTCCATTTTCTGATAGGATTAGGGACTGTAACGGGGACATCAGTGTCCAATGGTTTAATTATAATAAGACTTACAAAAAAACCTATGAAATAATTTTAAAATGTTATGATCATTTAGGGTGCTGCCTTGAAATACATGAGTACCATTATTGGTGATGTTATGAGAGTGTTTGATCCCACAGAACTTAGGTAAGTTAGCTTCAAAATATTTTTATTTGAATCTTATTTATTAATCCAAATTAGTTTAGTAACAATGACAGTAACTCTTTGCATGAACCTTATTGTTTATAATTTAATATGTGTGATAGTTCGTTTGTCTGTCACTGTCTCTCCCTTCCACCTCATTCTCACTCTTGTTTACACACATGTGTACATAGACATACATAAAAGCTGGAGACAGTCAGTAAAGAAGAAAAAAAGGGAGGAAGATATTATTATAGATGGATAAACACTAGCTTCATCAAGTGCAGAGAAACTAAAAGAGTGTACATCCAGAGTGAGGGAAACAACATGTTAAGAGTTCCTTTGCAACCAGTTTACTTTGTGACCCTTGAGTGATTGTGTTAAGAACCTTTAAAAAGTTGTGAATACTTTGCATATAATTATAACCATAATTGTAACCACTTTACAAAATATTTAAGACTTTACAAATTGACTGACATGTGTTCTACTTGGTTTACTGACTTGCAGATTGTTTTTAATGCTTGTTTCCTTTTTTCCTTGCTAAATATTTCAATGATAATACATGTGATTTATATTATTTTACATTTTCTCCTCAGTCATCTGCTCGTTCAGTTCATTGGGAATGTTCCACCCGAGCGACTCACAAAGCAAAAGATGAAGTGCATTGATCAGATCATCCAGACCGACCTCTTCAGTTTACCTCGTGAGTCTCGTGTTCTGACACATTAATGTATCCCACACTGAGACACTTGTCTGGTTACACACCAACTGGATGTTCAAGTGCAGTTTGTCCATTTGCCTACAAACAGTGATTCTTAGAGTTCCTAGTAGTGACAAACTTAAGTAGTGTTCCAAGTAGAATAGTCCTCTACTGGAACCATAAAAGGTACACAGACTGGTTACATCATGTGTCATTTACTCACCCGGATAAAGTGGATTTAACCATCCTCAGTATGTCAGCTCTTAGTGTACCCCAGTAACAGCACTCAACAGCTGTGGTGCTGATACGGTGGCTTAGCCATTATGACACTGAGGACAAACTGTTTTGTACATCATTATAGTTAAAGTGATTTCTCCACACTACAGTCATAGCTAATTATAACTAAGGTAATAATAACTGTGGCATGAAGATAACACACCATTAGATTAGTTCTTTGAATTACATTTTGTTTACTGTCATGATTAAAATACCAATCACTAGTTATGCCTTACTGTGGTCATTTTCATTATACTGCAGTTTCAACTAACGGAGAAAATTAAGATAGTGTCCTTATTAATTATTTAACCTGTAAGAGCATGCTCAGCAATAGATAACACCCCAGTTTAAAAACACAACAGTTAACATGTTCTTGATATTACTGTAGATTTTCCGTACCTGGAGAACCAGGTGACCTCCAGTGATATGCCTTTGTTTCTGGATCACATCCGTAGACCCACAGTTCAGCTCCGTTTATGACTATTTTGAGGAGATCTGGCTCATTGGTTGAAGTTTGCAGCAAATCATTAGCAACTGTTGCATCAGGTTACTTCTGTTCAGGTTGCACAATCACATAGTGAATGTTGCTGTGACTCATCTCATACCCAGATCTTGGGTAGAATTTTAGATAAATAGTTCTGGGAATTCCCAGATCCTCTTCTGATGCTGACTCTGTCATTAACTGATATTTGTTTATAGCTGCTCACACACATTCAGCATTTCTGGTGTTCTCCTTGTTGCAAGCCTTCCATAAATGGAACCACACTCAGCAGATTCTCAACCGTCTTTGAAGCGTTTATGCCACATCTTTTTGATGCATTCATTATGTTATCCCTAAATGCCCTCTGAATCATCTGTGGGTGCCCACAGTACTGCTGCAATATTGTTGTGAGATATTTATTAACTGTTTGTTTAGTATGTGCGATATGATTTTATTCATATCCTGTCTCATTTCTTATATTATGTATGTGGCAACATAGAATGAATGCTTTCTTCTGTTTACAGATTGTCGAGCAATTTACTTATATTATGTATGTGACAACATAGAATAAATGCTTTCTTCTGTTTACAGATTGTCGAGCAATTTTGCTGCCTCCTTTTCTGCAACATACTCATAATTTAATGGAAAACTCAGAGGAGATGGAAGACTGCATATCAATCCTCAGTCACATTATGGACAGACTCTGGACATGCAAAGTAATATTGTTGATGTTTGTGCCCTTTACTTTGTTTGTTAGATCATTTCTAGAATTAAGAGATGTTTACAGTGTGTGTGTGTGTGTGTGTGTGTGTGTGTGTGTGTGTGTGTGTGTGTGTGGTGTGTGTTGTGTGTGTGTTTGTGTGTGTGTGTTGTGTGTGTGTGTTGTGTGTGTGTGTGTGTGTGTGTGTTGTGTGTGTGTGTGTGTGTGTGTGTGTGTGTGTGTGTGTGTGTGTGATGTGTGTGTGTGTGTGTGTGTGGGTGTGTGTTGTGTGTGTGTGTGTGTGTGTGTGTGGTGTGTGTGTGGGTGTGTGTGGGTGTGTGTGTGTGAGATGTGTGTGTGTGTGTGTGTGTTGTGTGTGTGTGTGTGTACGTACACACATATTTATATGATATATATATATATATATATATATATATATATATATAATATATATATATATATTATATATATATAATATATATATATATATATGTATATAAATATGTGTTGTGTGTATATATAATACACACACACACATATATATATATCTTTGTACGTACATACAATATACATACATGCATACATATACATACATACATATATACATACATATATATAGCATATATATATATATATATATATAGATATATATATATATATATATATGTGTGTGTGTGTGTATAAATATGTGTGTGTATAAATATACACACACACATATTTATATACATATATATACACACATATTTATACATACACCTATATATATAGTGTGATGTATATACATATACATACATATGAATGTATATATATGTATGTGTGTATATATACATATACATACATATGTTATGTATATATATATGTATGTGTCTGTGTATATATATATGTGTGTGTATATATTTTTTACACACACACACACACACATATATATATACACATCATGTATATATATATATATATATATATATATATATATTATATAGTATATATATATATCTATCATATATATATATATAGATATATATATTATACATACTAGCTGTACCCGGCCACGCGTTGCTGTGGCGTAATTGAGATAGTCTTTGATTCCACCCCCACCACAACTAAATCCACCTACTACCCTCTCCCTCATGCAAAGGTTTTTAGAAAAGAAAGACAATGGAAATCGCACCTGTCTAATAAAGTTAATGACGCAGTCAATGTCTGCGCCGACGTCGAGATAGTCCTTGATTGCCTCCCCCCCCCCCCCCTTTCCCCACGAAGGTTGTTTGAAAAAAAAAAAGAAAATAGAATCATGTTTAATATGTTTATTGTGGCAAATATAGAGATAATCTTGTTTGCGGTACCTCTCTACCTACTCTATGTATTAGGCGTTGGCTGCACGTAATTCGCCGGCGATGGCAGAAACCTTGCGTTCTGACTGCGGCGGCGCATGCGCAATTACTAACGTGGCTATAATTAGAAATCACTAAAGTTATAAATATTAGTTGCAAATATTATGGCATAAATTGTGGTCACCTATCTCTAACAGTGACAGGTTGGATTTCAAACAACGATGGTTCAAAATCCGGTATCACATACCAAACATATCCTGAAAATTTCAGCTAAATCGGTTCAGTAGTTTCCGAGTCTAAAGGGGCAAACACAAACACATGATATTTTTATATATAAAATAGTCTGGGTTTTCCAACTTTAGAACACGCACCATATAATTGTGTCTTTATATTAGTGGTCGTTTAAATGGTGCTATTAGCAACGGTAACAAAAGTTATTTGGTTAACACATGCTAAAGCTGTTTGTATTTATATAGGAGACGGAAGTAAAGCTACAACTGTACTTGTGAATAACAAAGTAAGTCGTAAAAAATAGAAAAGCGGAGGTAGCGTTTAGTAAAATATAAACAAATTAGGTAATGAGAACTTGAAAATCAAGTGTAAAAGCTCTTTAATTTCTCTTAAATTTAAGTCATTACCCCTCTCCCCCTCTTCCACCGACTACTGCTCTCTCCCTCTTCGAAGGATTTGGAAAATCACTAACTGGCGATATTTTGTTGTTGCTGTAACTGACATTGACATTTTTTCCCTGTCCATCTGGACTAAAATAGTGGAGCATGAATTGTAAAAGGTAGTGAATAGGGCTAGTGTAATATTTACCACATCATCCGTCAAGTACCAGTACAACTACTAAAAATAATGTCACTGCTATCTGTGTTACCCATCGGAGTAGACAGAGAGTCGTGAGCCAGAAAAGATTTGGTTCCGCATGGCTAGTGCTGTCGCCACAGGACTGGTCAGGTTAGGATGATTTCACTTGCCGACAGAAGAAACGCCATAACCTTACCGGCGGCGGTTTCACGTGACTTAAAGCTCTCTCAGTAAATAGTTCCCCCCCCCCCTCCCCCCAAATTCACCGACAACTCTTTCCCTCATTGAAGTAGTTTGGGAGAAAAAAAACCACTTGAAAAGCAAAACGAACACAGGAAAAAAAACACATAATTAGGAAATGAACGCCATTGTAAACAGCACAGCTTAAAAATTCAACACAGATGACATAGCTAATGAAAGTCTATAAAATTTCAGCGTAACCGTGCAATCGGAAAGTTTAACAATGCAATCATAAGTATGCGAAATGGTCAAATTTAATATCAATTGGTTTTACCCATTTACTTTTTTTTTTTTTTTTATATATAAGGCAACATGGCTAGTGCTGTCACCACGACAGAGCAGATGAGGATATTTATTTTAGTCCGGGGTAAAAAAAAAATTTAACGGCTGCGGATTCGAACCCAGGTCCTACCGCACATGAACCCAGTGTTCTAACCATGTGACCAGCCAGCCACTTAATCGGAACAACGAAAAGAGAACTCAACTATTAGACATGTGTGAGTCCCTACTACTGTGTCACGACGTAGACAAGATACTCCAGATATATTGATGAAATAGAAATCGTATGTGTCTAACACGTTAATGAAGTTAATGTCGCAGTCACTGTCTGCGCCGAGTCAAGATAGTCCTTGGTGCCCCCTGACCCCCCCCCCCCCTTTCCATCGAAGGTTGTTTGAAAAAAAAAACAGAAAATAGAAATCGTGTTTTAATATGGTTTATTGTGGCAAATATAGAGATAGTCTTGTTTGCTGTACACGACCTACTCTATGTATTAGTATTAGAGAAAGCGTGTGGCTGCACACGTAACTCGCCGGCGAATGGTAAATACGGCGCTATGCGCAATAACTAACGTAGCTATAATTAGAATCACTAAAGTTATAAATATTAGTTGCGTATATTTTGGCATAAATTGTGGGTCACCTATCTCTAACAGTGACAGGTTGAATTTCAAACCACGATGGTGTTCAAAATCCGGTATCACAACAAAACATATCCTGAAAATTTCAGCTAAATCGGATTCAGTAGTTTCCGAGTCTATAGAGACCAAACAAACACACAAACATTGATTTTGAGATATATATATACATATATTATATATAGATATTATATAGATAATATATATATATATATATATATTCTATATATATATATATATATATAGTATATATATTATATATATATTATATATATATATGCTATATATATATATATATATATATATATAAATATATATATATGTGTGTGTATCTACTTTATCAACTATAGTGTAATCAACAACAAAAAACTGTAATGTGATGAGAGAATCTGAGACTGCACAACAGCGTAACCAACTATAATGTATCTGCAAAAAAAAAAAAATTACAGTGAAACAAAATTACTGTAAAAACAAAACAAACATGATGGATGACCAAAAAAGCATTATCAGTTACAGTGAAACAAAAACTGTAAAGTGATATAAAAACACTAAGACGATTACTCATGATAGCTACGTTTATTTGAGAGTGCAATATGAGAATGAATTCAACAAAGACACTATGGAAAACAGGTGTCACTGTACTTTAGTGTCAGTCTGTCTTGTCTTGTCTTGTTCACAATTGCCTCACAGCGTAGTGGGGAGTCGCAGTTTTCTATCCTGGGCCAGGTGTGTTGCACGTGTTGTTGTTAGTCCGTGTTGCCTCAGGATCTCTGATATATAGTCTATCTATCGTTTTCTCGGTCTGCCTCTTGCTCTAGGACAGTAGTGCTGTTCGTTGTATGCTCGTAGAGGCAGTTGGTCGGTTTGCATTCGCATCAAGTGGCCAAACCACTCTATTTGTTGCTTCTTTATGTATTGCTGGCATGGTGTGGTTCCTACAATTGCTCTAATGTTCTCGTTTTGAACTCTGTCTCTCCTTGTGACATTGGCAGCCTTACGTAAGCATCTCATTTCGCACGTCGTGATCTTTTTCTCCTGTGCTCTTGTTAGGGACCAGGTTTGGCATTGGTAGCAGAGGGTTGGTATAAACATGCAATTTATCAGTTGTCGTTTTAGTGCCATAGTGATGCTTGGGTGTTTTAGCAGTGTTTTAGCATTAGTGTCAGTTTTCAGTAGAAATGTTTCAATTTTGTAGGATTCCAGAGATCTGGATATTGCTATTCTCATGGAGAAGATTTTACGAACAGTCATTCAGGCAGTCATTAAAATGGATCAGTCATCAAAACAAGTGGTGAGTTGTGTTCGTTTCGTCTTATCATTCTGTATATTTATTTAAAATATTTGTTATGTGACTGTTAATTAAATCTGTTTGGATAACATGCACTTTTCAGAGCACTTGTTTCTGATCTCTGATCTTTTTTTTTTCTGAATGTGTTGAAACTTAACCCTGCATAAGTCTGCTACTATTAATGTAAAATAGTTGTGCTAACAGATGGCTGTTATGAATATGTGTTCACTGTTACTAGAGCACAGGTTGTTAATATCTGCAAACATGTTTATTCATAATTGCTACCTCTTTTAGAAGACATGTTTAGTTCAGTGGGAGTAACCTAGGGATTATATTCATTGAACTTGTTCATGCAGCTTCAACTCTACTGGTCACAGTTATACCTGCACATTTTAAACCAGCATTCATTTTGTGTTTGAAAGTGAGTTATGTATGTTAAAGAACAATGAGATAATAGTTTCAGTTGAAGAAACATGCTCATTAACCATTTCTCTCATTGTATGGTTCAGCAGTTCAATGGAACCCTCGCACTATAATGTAGCCGCAAATGTTGACCATGTTGCAGCAGTACAGTTTTCATAAAAACAGAGTCAGACATATGGTTGAATATTTATGATTACACAGGAAAAATCATTTAGTTCGGAACAATTATATTCTTGAGACTTTAATTCTGAGCAATAAAAGAAAACGTAGAATTTGTTGAACTTTTTCCAGAAAAATATAATTCTTTTGTTGAAATCAATCTGCACTTCACTGTACTTGCATCTACTGATTTAATTGAAATATGCACTTGTTTGAGCCTGATGTGTATGATAAGGTTACGTTAACATCTTCTTCACATTTTTATCCAGTACCTAGATGAGACATATATTACTAATAAATCACTTTAGTTGTAGTGGGGTGAACTGTAGGTTTTGAAATCATTATGATTTATGTACAAAATGTTCTTTAAACATATCCATAAATAAATCTGTTGAAAAACAGTATTGTCAAGTATAGACAAATGTGAGTATACAGTATCATTTCTGTGTTTATGAGAGTCACAGCAGTTGGAAAGCTGAAATATATATATAGTACACATGTTATTGTGTAATGTCGTCTACTGGTGGTAGCAGTAATTTCAGTCTTTGTTGACTGTGCTGGTGCATTGACATTTAGTTAGCTTGATATTTTTCTTTTACTAAAATGTGCCTGTTATGTAATTTTCCCATGTGCATGTTTCTATCCCTTGCCCGAATCTCACTATAGAAAGATCATTAATACAATACACTTGGCAATGATCCAGGGGCCACTTGCAAGGCCTCCGCAGGCCGCCAGTTGAATGGCCCTGCTCTAGTAGCTATCTATAAAGATAAAATATGAAAGGTTAAAAAATAATGATCGGGTGTATTGCACCGGGTTTAATCCCATACGGCTAGCCACCTGTACTGAGCATCAAACAAAGCACGCACACACCACTGGCAGTAATTTCCGGCAGCCTCCATTTAAATTGCACCTGGAACTGAATAACACAGCTGTGAAACGAACCATCAACCTTTATATCATGAGACAAATGGCATAACCAGTTTACCATGGGAATCCCCACCCTCTCCTTTAAATGTAATCCCATAGCAGATACTGTCACTGGAGTGTAAAATATTGGGCCTTCCTGCATCCTAGACCATGATTAAGTTGGGGTGGCCAGTTCTTTTTCTCATGGTCTTTCCTGTCCAGAAAATGTGAGAACTCTGCTACCCATTTGTATGTGCTTGACCGATCCCAGAGCCATATTGCTCTGAACTGTTCTTGCCACCTCAGATGATTGACCTCGGACCACTGTCTCAACAGGCAGATGCACTTACCACTATGCCACCATGTCTATTTCAAGACATAATTATTTAATCTTTGGTTATTTTTTTTTTTTTTTGCCTCCCAAAAGAACACCTTACTTCAACTGTTTGTTTTTTATTCTATCTTTAATGTGACAATTTTTGTTATTTATAGATACTAATTCCGGTTACAACTACAGATGTTATGAATTATTGACCAAATATGTGTATTTGATCTGATCTAGTTGTTTGCTTTTGTGTTGAACTTACCCACCCTAACAGCAAACCATCAAAAACAAAAGTCGTAGGCTGCAGGTAAAGCAAGGATCACACAGCACCTGCCTTGCACTCTCATGCATTCGGTTGAAGTCACAAGCAGCCGTGCATAGCTCTGATCGTCTGTGCCTGTTATGCATTGTTCTGCTTGCTCTTGTTAACAAATTGGGTGTTTATTCACCATAAAGAATTGAATAATGGTACATTAACAAAGAATGTTTAGACAGAAATATTGTGAATGATCGTAATAAATTGTTGGATAAAACAGATATATTTGTCACAACTCTTAGACTAGAATCAAAATTAACTGTCAGCCCTTGAGTCTCTGAAAATATTTTTGAAAAATAAAGTGCTAAATAAATCATCTTGTTACCAGGTTGCATACAGCTCAGCTTGGATAGAATATTTGATGATCTTTAATAGGAAGAAAAGCTGCCTATTTCCATTTGGATGTATCTGTATATTACAAAAATTGCTGACAGAAAAATAATTCAAAATATCACAGTTGTTGTGATAAAAGATATTGGTGCATGCTGCAGTCAGAGTGCTGCCATGTTCTTTATATCACTTATTGTAATTGCACCATTTATTTACTGATTCATTTCCAAGTGTGAGAAACATGCCATCTCTGCATGACATGAGGAATGAGTGCCTGTGCATGTCACTGGGCATGATTGCCTGTGCATGTCATACATTGTGATAGTTGTCATTGATGGTGAATGCCTTCACATTGCATTTTCATTGAACCGTGATTGTAACATAGTAGAACAATTCACTTTTTACCATTTTATTATGATTTTGTGGGTAAATATTAGTTGTGTTTGTTCAGTTGTTGATTTGAATGGGACTTTTACAAATCGTTTTTTGTTTAGTTACTTCTAAGGGTCTTGCTATCTATGCTTCATCCTTCTTTGTGAATCATTTTAATATTTGTTAGTGTTTTTTTTTTTTTTTTATATTTATTTCGTAGTAATTAGTGTATTCTAATAGCTGAGTATTTTCATACACTTTGTCTTATTGTTCAGAAATTACAAAAACTCTACACTGGGTAGAGCTGATAAAAAGGAGAGAAAAAAAAACATGTTGCCTCTTTTGAGCCTCGGCACCAGTTTGGAGCATTTTTTGGTTTAATTCATTGGTCTTCCACCAGAATAGGGGGCATAACAAGAGCAAAATGTCAGCTTGGAACAGTAAAGTAATGGTCTTCTATGTGATCTTTCAAGCATTTGAAAGTAGGCCTTTATTTGTCTGAAGTTGTTCTTGATACCATCTTTCCATAGTTGGTGTAGTATTTCTCTTGCTCTGTGCTCATTATGTTTCTTCTATGTGGATCTCTTAGGTAGTTTATACCAGGGCATTTTCGACAGATAACCAAACCATTTTCTGTGTTCTTTAATGACTGGCTTTAGCCTGAATCTTCTTTTGATTTTATTTTTAATTTAAAGCTTCACCCCGGCTGTCGTTAGTGGCCTTAAAAAACCTAAACGGTTGAACAGGGTTGCTGAAACTTGCGTCCGAGGGGATTCTCATCCAAACTTTATGTCACTTGGTGTTAGTCCATTGTTGTGTGGTCTTGGTGGAGTTGAACATCACTCATTTTTAATTGTACCCCTTCTTTCCACTCTGGCAACTCTTTTCAGTCATTTTACCTGTGTTTTTTTATGATTTCCCTCTCATTAGTAGCTGTGAGGGTTTACATTTAGCACTGCTGGCATAAATATTGCAGCTAAATAATTGTCTTTTGTACATCACCTGTCAGATATTGGCAACAAACTCTGAAAATGTTTGAGTGGAGACTTGCAATGTTCAAATAATGTAGACTATAATTATGTATGTATATGTAATAAAGAGAGAGAAAATAAGGTTGTGGGGGTGAGGGGTGGTTAGAAGAGAAAAAGGTAGTAAAAGATTGTAGTTCTGACAGAAATGTTTCACTGACTTTTGATTATTTCTATTTGTTTTGTAATGTGAGTCAAGGAGAAGCCACATCTGAAGGTAACAGCATAAATATGTACATTTGGTGTCCACCTGATATTTGCTGCCATATTCTAGAGTTGTATCGCTGTTTTCAGTATTCAGACTACTGCCTAGAATCTTAGTGAAAGAGTTCAGCTTCTCATTTTTGTAATCCTAGCACATATAATCAATTTTTATAAGCTGTAAATCTTACTTCCAGTTATTCAGTTTACTTTTCTTATATATTTTAGTGTATGTGTGTGCGTGCCTAACTTCGTGTGTAAAATGGTGTTAAGCAATCTCTTTCATCATATCTGCCTCAAGTTTGAAAGTTATCACATTCACATCCCATAGCTAGATGTTTTACAGACATTATTAGTTCTAATAATATCATAAATTCCTCTCCATATTCTTCGTAATGACTTGCGTGTTTAGCTTGAGGTGAAAAACAGAAGGTACCTTCACCAGAAGCTGGGAATTAACAAAGAGTACCCATGAGACAGAATTGTTTCTGACCTGATGTGAAGTTTGTCTAGAGAAAGTAGTAGGCCATCAGTAAATGCATGTCAAGTCAAACACACATAATGCACTCACCTGCAAGAAACATATGGAAACATCAATATTTTTTTCTGGTGAAATATTATTCTTTATTGAATGGCACATAGCACTTGAACTTTAATGAAGACCACATTAAACATTTGTTTCTCACCAACTGGCATGTTAAAAAATATAAACGTTGCATATTTTGTCTCTTTCATTATATCATTGTATGTTTGAATGAAAAATGTAAGAAGGTTAAATATGTGAATTTATTTTTAGTTTTACGAAAAGTCTGTCTAGTCAACACATTTTATACTGTACTTCCCTTTAATGCCCTTCAATATTCTGTGCTTAATTAACTGAAAGAGAGCCAGATAATTTTAGTTGCCATAATATTATGTGCTTGCTTTCGACTGAGATATC